TATATAATTTAAAGAAAGTATTTCAAATGAATAAACATAGAGTAAACTACAGATGGAATTTTTTTTTACATTGGGTTTCAGGTTAAGTAAATTATCATTTAAAATTTTGAAGATTTAACCAAGAAATATATTATTATAATCTAAAATGGAAAAATCAATCTTTTAAATTGGGATATTTTTTGTTTTTAATGAAATTCCCACTTAAATACAATTATGGAATAAAGAATATCCGGGCCGGTGGACTTAATATTAAAATTAGTAAAAAAAAATATAAGCTCAAGAATTTTATTTTTTAAAAATCTAAACCAGGCCTATATCCTACTCAGGCCAATATATAAATGAAAGTAAAGTAAAATATTTATTAATAATATATAATTTAATATATTTTTTTTATTCCAATACAAATCAACGTATACATTAGTAAGTTTACAGTGGTGAAGACAGGAAGAGGTTTAACATTTAAATTTAATTAGATATTTAGATATGAAAATTATTTTCAATAAAAAAACTATCTCATAAGGTTTTTGATATTTTATTAAATTTAACTTTTTCATATATATATTAATTTCCATATAAGATACTTGATAACTCATATTAAAAAAATATGTTTATATAAATAACTAAGCAACTTTCAAATATATAATGTAAAATACAATTTTAGTTACAATTCAACTTAATTTTTTTCACTGCCCAATATTATATAATAAATACTGCCCAAATTTTTAATTTTTTTGATAAAAAAATATTGCCCATGTTTATAAATTTACTTTGCCCAAAAATTTATAAAGATTTAATTTGTTAATAAAATAAAATTTACTGCTCAAAAAAATCATAGCCTTTTCTTTATTATAAAAAAGGGTATAATTATTTTCTTCTAAGAGGCAAAAAATTTAGAAATTGAATTTAGGAAAAAGTGATAAGGGATTTTAAAAGATGGGTTTCTAAAAAGGTAAATACTATAAAATTTATATAGGAGAAAAATATAGATATATAATTTAGGAAAAGAGATTTTCAAATGAGGATGCTTTCATTTTTTTACTAAGAAAAGAAGTTAATTTTAAGTTTTTATATCTAAATATAAAACCCGAGCCAATTGGTAGCTCTACAGGTCTCCGATATATATTAAATAGATCGTATAATTCTTTACGAATTCTTATATATGATTTAACAAAATTTTTATACATAAAATTGACTCAGAAGTCGGTTGTAGTAGACTATAGAGTCTGCTTATAGGACTAGTGAGCCGCTTTAAGTCGGAGTCAATTTTTTGGCTATAAACTCGACTCGAATAATGGCTACGTCGACTCAACTTAGTCATTTAACAACACTAATGGCCCCGAGTATAAAATTCGGGCTTAAAAGTTAAAATGTTACCCATTTTGAAATTTTAGCTATATCATTGAGAGAAACTATATATGAATAGGCAGAGGAGTTTGCTAACACTTCTTTTTATGTATGCCAAATATTTTCAATTTAAAACCCATGCGGCTCTTTCATTATCAAATTCATAGTAAATTTTTGTCGAAAGTGTTGGCTATTAGCCGATATCGTTAAATTAGCCGATCTTATTTGATATATTAAAATAGCGGATCACAAACAGTATTATCTAAAATATCCAACAAATCTTTTATATTTAATCATAAATTATCATATTCAACACAAATAAAATAATTAGTATCCAAATAAAAATAGGCCTCTGCAAACGGAGGCAATGACAATACATGAAATTCAGTCATTTATTATAGATTATTTATATTTTATTATAAAGTATTGCATAAATATAATTAAATTATGAATCCAAAATGATCTTAAATCGATCCGTTAAATCGTATCAAACGTTATTATTTAAGGAATCAAAACAGATCCTATTTTTGTCTCCGGACCATTAAAAATTCTAAACTGGTTTGAACTATAGCATAGCTCTGCTGATTATTCAACGTCAGAGGGCATATGCGCTATATATCATGGATCGCGGAATTTATTTAAATACATTACAGCTATCAACTATATGTATACTTACTTTTTACAAAGAAATTTCTTATATTTTTTTGGACGTCGGAAATATTTTTAGGAAGAAAGAGGCATGGTAATTAAATTTAAAAATGAATAACATAGTTGATTAGTGATTTTGAACTTGGCACTCATTTAATAAAATATTTATATAGTCTTATTAATTTTTAAATAATAAAATCAAATCTATATATAATACTTAATAGAATTTTAAGAGAAATTATTGAGGGAGCTATCAAAAATATTAATTTTAGTTATCGGGGATATTATGGAGCCATGAAAAATAAATTTTTTGCTTCATGTAGCTACTCAAATTTTCAGGAAACGGTCCAAACGGAATTCTTCTTATAGACATTACCTCCCCATTAATAAGCGATCAGTCGTCTACCTTAACCATGGTAATTTTAGGCGGGAATGTATCTGACTTTGTGTCTCCCATGCTTTTTGGTACACAAATTGCTTTGCAAAAACCCAACTATATTATTAGGCCAATAGCTATATGGGCAACCTTTCGGTGTTTTGTCGTCAAAATGATCTACTCAAGAATCAATAATGATTAATCTTTCACTTTGAGTCCGTTTAAACTGCACAATAGTTGCGAGTGGTTGTGAGACTGCTACACTTAACCCAAATTCAACTGAAATCTATTTAATATTAATAACTATAAAAAATGACATAAGATTGTCATCTGTCAGACAGTAAATGCCATTTCTGCTTTTTAAAATTTTTAATAAATAAAAAAAAATCAAAAATGAATCTGACATTTTAATATAATGTCACGTGATATATACTAAAAGTAACTTTAGTATATAACAGGCGATAATCTATATGATGATTTTTATGAAAAAAATATTTAGTCACATCTTAGAAAAAATATCGAAATTCTTTTAAGCTTGATTTCTAATTTATTTTTTTGTTGACGATGATTGACTGTATTTACATATTATAAGGCCAAAAATCTGCAAGGTTATATAAATATAATATTATTGTATTTGTTTAAATGGTAGCTAATTATTTTAAAAAATGTTACATATCCATTTCCTAAAATTTATGTTAATTTTATAAAAGAGTGTGATTTTGCATCGTAACCATCTGCCAGTGAGGTCTAATAAAACGATTAAATATAATCCTGGGGTTGATTCCTCTTTATGGCGATCCTCAATCAGATATAATCTGAATTCATCCAACTAAACTGTTCCGCTAACGTAACGCCCAAAAATTTAAGATTCTTAGTCAACATCAACATACTTAGGACCCTCGGTTAGAGGCAACATGGCCGTTTGAACCTTTCTTCATTCAATTCTTGAAACTCTTTGCAACATGGGTCAAATCTAATTCCTACTTTGCTCTTATAAATTGTTTTATACCTTTGAAAGGCTTTTTTAATATAAAGCGGCATTCTTTACGCTCTTAGGAATACAATACCCATGTTTTTAAATATCCTACTCCTATAAACTTATATAAAACTGAAATCGAGAATGAAAGAAATTCGAAATCTTTGCTTGTTTAGCTTTAACTAATATCTCAAGCTAATTATACACTTAGAAAAGAGGTAAATTATTTTTGGAATATTCTTGTATTGATTTTTTTTTAACTTGCATAAATATTTTTGATCTTAATAGCTGTCTAAAATAAATAAATACCAAAGATCGTATTTTAAAACCCATGATCTCCTCTGCATTTTGTGGCCATGCCTTTTCCTTCTTCAAAGATCTAGGTTTCACAGATCCGTAGAATTACAGATGAACTTAGAGGAGGTTTTTTACCTCAGATAGACTTTCTATTGATATACAAATCGAATAATATCAGCTTCATTATACTAATATTTTATTTTATTTACATTATTATAAAATATTTTGATCTACATTAGAATATAAAATTTTTTGTTATTGAATTCGAAATTAAAGATTTTAATAAATAAAATGATTCAAAATCGCAAATTAAGGTCAATTATTGTAATTATGTATTCAAAATTAGTTGTAATATTATATTTCTTAGTAATTGAAGAAATAATGTTATTTTGCAATTCTCTTTAAGAAAATAATATATATAATCAACAATAGATTTTATTTTGCCTAAATTGAACTAATTTATCTATCGTTAAACAAAGACCGAGCTAATCCTTCACTGTGAAGGACAGCTTAGTGCGAACTGTTGTGAAAGTAGCCTGCCCATTTTGCACCACAGATGACTGGATGTTTTGATTCCTGACCAATGGAAACATACATTTATGTAATTATATTTTTACATTCTTAAATTCTAAATTTTATTTTATTTAAGTTCTATTTTCATATGTTAAAATTAATGAATTATTATTATAAATATACGAAGAAAATATTTTTTTTTCCCATTCCCCTAATTATTAAGGTTCATAATTTATCGAATTTGATATAACATTAATTAAATTATATTATTAAAATGGTTTGTAAAATGTGATATATAATTTAAAACCTGGATTGGAAATTATAAATTTTAAAGGCATAATAAGGAAGGATTATTATTAACTACAATTATAGATATAATAATATCAACATTGTCCTTATCCCCTTTTCTTTGATTTGGTTGGTAAGTTAGTTGATGATATATTATTACTTCACAAAATTATTTTTATAATTATTATTCAATATTTCGAAATATACAATATACATTTTTTTTGTTTATATACTGAGCTTAATTATAATACTATTAAAATATTATTTTCTTATAATAAACATTTCGCTTATATTGATCTAATTTATCTATCGTTAAAAAAAGACTGAGCTAATCCTACATAAAGAAATTATAGCAAAATTTCAAGTCGAATCCACAAATATTCTGGCCCAGTCTAAAATTTCTCTTTTGGCCTATATCCCTGTTGAGATTTATATAACGCGTTTATTATAAGCTGTAACATTTTTAAAAAAAGTTTCTGCACAATAAAGTTTATTCTTATATCATATATATATTGATTTTTACATACATATACTTTATTCGTTTAATATTAATTAACGCATATATTACAATATCAGAATAAAGTGCAATACAACATTTATAACCATATAAATATGTAATTACAAAAATTATAAAAATCCTTAAACAAATCATCCAATTCCTAAAATGAGAAAAGTAATTTTTTAAAAAAATAAATAATATGTATCGTTCCTTGGCGAAATTTTTTCTGTTCCTTAGAATAATTTGTATCTGCCGCCTTTGTTTAAATGTGTCATACTCGTTTGCTAGAAAATAATAATTAAATAAAAATATTTTATCTTAACATTTATTTATTGTTATATTTTTTTTTAAAAAAATTACAAATCTTGTTATGAATCGCCATATTGAGATGTTTTTTCCAGATTTTTCTCAAACGATATTTTAAATTAAAACTTCATATTTCTTAAAGGTATTCAATTTGGTAAGTGTGATGATTTAATGAAACATATTGACGAGAAACCCATTTATATAAAATTATAATCTTTGCAAAAATAATTAAAATATAGACGAAGCATTATTGAAATTATTTTATTCCTCCTTTTGTTATTTTAATTATTTTGGCAAACAAAATATTTTTATAATGGATGTGTTTTTAATTTAATCGTCAACATGTTTCAGTTAAATCATCCACAACACTTATAAATTTATAAATGTATGATATAACACATCCTATTTTTAATAATTTTATATTATTTATAATGGGTTTCAATGAATCCCGTTATGCAGAATGCCGTCAACTGATTGAAAGGATATCAGTTCGGAATACATTGACAAATCTTCTGCCTCATAGGATAACATGCTTCTTGTAAATTTAATATATACTCCCACATATTGGAAAAATGATACCATCTATTGACTTTAAAATTGTTATATTATTGTAAAATAATATTTTATTTTCAATTGATATTTATCACTGTTTAAGGGCGTTATTTTTATATTGTATTTCGTTCAATTGTGACTTGATATTTGGACATTATATTGTATACATTTTGAATTTAAAAGTTAATTCTTTAAAAGAAAAAGAAAATTAAAATCTTTTTATATAAAATAGATGATATTTTCTATAAAAAAAAAAATTTCTTGAATAGACTTATAATATATCATTCTTTAATAAATCGAATATCTACAATAAAAATAAGTTTACAATAAAATATATATTCTCAATCACTACTACCGCCTACCAAACTAGTCCCTACATTCATAAACTTATGAGCCGAAAAATATAGGAGATTTGCATCTGATTTTTTTCCGAAATTCTTGATATATATTTTTTTCCATTAGTACTCATATTTATTACTATTATTATTTTATAAATTTTGAATCTGCCAATATTTATTTTTGAAATTGGAATCATTTTTATTAGCGATAAATATTGCTAAAGGGAGATGAAAAAAGATGACAAGCTAACCGGGATCATTGGAGCACAATGCTCGATTTCCAAGATCAATATATATTCAAACTAATGCCTCGCCTTATAAATAGGTTTGAATGGCTTCTTATCCATATCCACACGAACGATGATAATAATAATTAATATTTTGGCCCCTCAAAGCTAATATTTTTTTTTATTATACCAAAATCTTATTATAGTGCATTCCTTGTATGACTTATAAAAAAAAAGTTTAGAAGGTCTGATATGCTTGGCAGAAATGAGTTTATGTGAACAGCCACTTATTCCTGTATGGGTCTAATCACAAATGCAATAAAAACATTCTAATTACTAAAATTATTTTTTTTTTGCAAAAAAAAATCAAGAAAATCGATTCTCTAGAAAAATTAAAGATATTGGTAGGAGCATTTATCAAATAAAAAGAGAACAAATTTCAGTCTTCAGAGTTTTCATAATATTTTATTTGATTGACATTTAGAACTCTTTTAATTAAAAACTCCGGCGAGTAGATTTTCTATAAAAGATAAAATTTCATGATAACGAGTCCAATTTGAAGATTAAATTGCCTATTTTTTTAAACTAAATCCGATGCAGACTTGGCACGTGATAATGGTTAGTTTGATTTAAATTTACCTAACGTTCAAAATTGAACAAATACCAAAAAAAACGCATGGCCCTAAATGTACTCAACTTATATGAAAATCATTAATTTTCGTAATTCCAATGAACTATTTTTTTTTCCTATCGTTTATTAATTAATTATTAAGATATCATGTTTTTATTGTCGCAAAAAAAATTAGTGTTTTTTAAAAAAAAATTATAATAATAATATTTACCATCTTGACCATTTCCTCTTTAATGAACCTCTTGATTTCGGCCTTGGCGGATTGAACACCGAAAGGAGTGCTAGACTCGATAGCCAAGTAAAGCTTGCGAGGTGGGGGAACTTCCAAAACGGTCCCGGTGGTCGTTATAACGGTTTTTTTATCTTTGGATTTCTTGCCTTTTTTTAAAAAAAAAGGGAATTATAAGGGGAATTCGGATGTATTCGAAGGATCAATGAGTGAGGGAAAAATGGGTGAGAGCAAAAAATATTATAATTTAATTTATTCGTTTTTCTCATCTATTTTCTGTCATATCCATTCATCCCTATTTAAAATAGTTTTACATTTTAAACTTCCCCCCATTAATTTTTAAATACATACCTTTTTTGCTGACATTAGTTGTTGGGTGCACGTATTGTCCTTTGACAGTTATACCCACGTCGGCAAATTCGCTGATGTAATTTACAGTGTCCTGTTTAAATATATATTATAATTAGCATATGTAACTGGACGGTCATTGATGATGCTAGTGCTGTTAAATGGCCAGATTTTGGGCGGCCCGATTAAGATTTTAGTCAAAAATAATATTACAGTGCACACAAATTGAGCGCTTACGTTTTGCCGTAATATTTAAATATAGAAAAAAAACGTAACGCGTTCCCTTGTTTAAATTGAGGTTGTCTTTTTTTTTTATTAATATCCGTCGATCCAAAATTTTAAATTAGTTCTAAAAAAAATAGAGGGTTCGTTATTTGAAAATTATATTATCGTCTGCGTTCTTATTTCTTTAATTATCTAAATATTCCTTTTTTGAGATTATAAGTAAGGTATTTACCAGAGTTGTTAAAAGATACTTTTTAAATGGATCTAGATACAACGTCTAAAATAATATCTAGATACAGATATTTTAATAAAAAATCTATCTAGATACAGATACCACATTTTTATATCTAGATACTTGTATCTAAATACAGGATCTAGATACTTGTATCTAGATCCTTTAACAACTCTGGTATTTACATTAACATTTTATATAATACAAAACGAATAATAAAAAACAAGTAAATGAAAAAAAAACAAACCTATTTGCGTTTTTTTTTAAAATGGTTGCTAACGCCAAACGGTAATTTTTACCAATTCGCACGAGTAAATTTAAAAAGCGTTACTTTGCGCTTGCAACGCAACGTTTGAAGCGCTCGATTTGCGCGCACTATTATACAGCTCCGGAAAATTTAACTCATAGGAGGCAAAAAGGTTTGAACCTTTATTTGCCAAATCTCGAGGGTTAAACAATATTATTTTGACTAAAATCCTAATCGGGGCCATAAAAATCGGGGCCATAAAAATCGGGCCGTTTAACAACATTAGATGATACCAAGGCTAAACATTATAAAATATAAGTAAAGGGGGAGGGTTGAGGGTAAGGTTGTTATAGCGGTCCCATTTATACAGAAACATCGTAAAAAAATGGTCTTTGGTCGGATCTTTGACCTATCATAGTTTTTTTTTTTCAAAATATAACAAATAATCGTTCGGATCATATACGGTTCTCATTCGAGAAAAAACATTATATAATAAATAAGGGGGATAATAAATGTACCAATCGATTATCGATTAGTGAACGTCAATCAAACAGTTTCAGATCGCTCTACGAGCATTTTATTTTCCGAATAATTTCGAATTGTGAAACAGCCTGAATCGATTTTTATTGGTTTTTACTATCCACTATTTTATGCCTTAAGAAAATGTAAAAAAAAAATAGTTCAACCAGCCCCGGTCCGTTTTAGTCCGCTATTGCTAGTCCGTATTTTTTAAAATAATTTTTTTTTCTTAATATATTTATTTATTCAATACCCTGGAAGTGATTTTCCACCTGCATTGCTGAGGCAGATCATTGATTTCGATCTCCTCTTCGTACTTACTGAGGTGGGGTATATTGGCATTCTGGTCCAGGGAACTCCCCGTTATTTGGAGGCCCACGTTATCCCCTTGATTATTGAACAAGGAAGGAAGCAGGAAGCCATCGGAGGAGGAAGAGGAAGGCAAATAATTCAATTTGGCGTTAAGTTTTTCAGCCAGAAGTTCGGCCATATTACGTTTTTTCTACATTATTTTTTTTGAAGAGAGAGATAATAGAAATCAACAGATGGTTGAAGTTGGTGATCCTTCCCAACTTTCAAACCGAGCTAACATCTCTCACGTTAATTTGGGTTACTTCGTATTTTTTTTTCAAGTTCAAACCAAAAAGTGCACACTTAACAACTTCACATTAAAAAAGTTTTTTGAGCTCCACCCCACCCTTAATCTATTAATCCTAAACGAAACAAAAAAAAATCACTCATTTAAAGTTTTAAAATTTATATAACAACCAGAGCCATTAAGAAAGAAAGAATGAAAGAAAGAATGAAAGAAAGAATGAAAGAAAGAAAGAAAGAAAGAAAGAAAGAAAGAAAGAAAGAAAGAAAGAAAGAAAGAAAGAAAGAAAGAAAGAAAGAAAGAAAGAAAGAAAGAAAGAAAGAAAGAAAGAAAGAAAGAAAGAAAGAAAGAAAGAAAGAAAGAAAGAAAGCAAATTTGCTTGTAGGATCATAAATATATCTGTTTAAGGTTCGTGCGACATTCTATCTAGTAATCAGCGTATTTTTTATCTAAAATCTTAATCTGGGCGTTATTGAAAATCCCTCAAATCGGGCCTTTTGACAATTGCTTCCCTGGATATTGTTTCTGGCCAAAAACATGGGGTTAAGAAAGATATACGTTCCTGAAGAGTTGTAAAAAAAGAAACGCCGAAAGGAGAAACATATTTTAACGTCATTTATTTTTATCGCCCAAACAAATATTGAACTAACCATACTAAGATACCATTTGAAACAACTGATAATATAGAAAAAAAAAGGCTCCACCCCACTATAATAACATTAAATAATACATTAAACCATGAATGTGGAGACCATTCACAACCGTTTACATTTTGTTAACGTAATTAAGTTGTAATTACGAGTTGTTTTTTTGAAAGGGATTTCACATCCCATGGCACAATGTCAAATTAATCCACCTAATCCCAAAAAATATTTTTATCTATTTCCTTGTTCCGCTGCCATCATACCTTAGAAAAAAAAATCTCGAGTGATGTTGAAGAGCCGAAGTTTGAGAGATTTTTCAAATTCAATTTTCTATTCTTTTAGCAGTAATTATAAAAAACCTCGTAATCTATGGGTTCGGCTTGCACTTTTCCTTTCATGAACGCCTCCGTGGCTCTTTGCACATAATCCGGTCCGCCCCCTGCTCCGCCTAGTACTAACTTAGAGGCGGCGGCTTTGGCGGCCTCGAGTTTGGGATTCGACGGGGTAGAACTATCACCGTCGTACGCTTGGTTGACCGCAATCGTTGATTGACGAGTTGAGGGGTCGAGTGACAGGAGCGATTTAGACGATTCCCCCTTGAACACTAGATCCAGGGCATGGTCCACCTTTTAATTAAAAAAAAATATATATATGATAATAGTGGATAAGTTCATTTTTATCTCTTTTTTTTCAAGGAGCCCTAAAAAAATCATTTACAACAATTTATGACCAGAAATTTCAAGATTATCGCTCTTAGATGGCACAAACGTTTAGACACCTATAGCGAAATCTCGTATTGATTAAGCCATTTTTAAAAATTGTCTCAAATAGAGCCGTTTCTCAACACCGAGATTTAAATAATACTTTGTCTCAGTATTTCCTTTAAAAAAAGGGGGCAGTGATATCCCAAAAGAAGGTAGATCATATCCTTCAAAAATGTTTTTTATATTAAACTTATCCAACGCATTTTGGTATATCATTTTTGCAAATATTTATTAAAACCCCCTTTTTTTTAAAAAAAAAAAATTTTCGCATTTGACCTTTTACAAAAATGTGTTTTATTATTTTTTAAAAAATATCGGCCCCGGGCGATAAATATATTTTTATGTCCAAACTCGAAAACGCGGAATTTGTCTTTTATCGATCGAATAGAAATGGTATGTAAGAAAAATTTTACTCGTATAAAACCTTGAAAAACGCCAATCAAGGTAAGAGGACAAATATTTTCTATGGGAGTTGCAAATTTTTTTTTTATAGGAAAATTTGATGCTTAAAATATTGATAAGTCAATAATACCTATTTTGTAAAATGTTTCAACGAGGGGGGAGGGGGTGAATCCCGCTACTTCACCCATGAAGTCGGCGCCTATGGAGGACACTCATATATTAATTTAAGGTCAAGTTTGGACGAGACCTTAAAAACATATGTTATGCCATGGCATCTGTCACTTTGTCCCCCAAAATTCCTGGTCAAGATTAGAAAAAAAGAATGAAAACGAATATTAATGTTTAAAAAAATGAATCTAAAAAATACGTTAGCGGGTAAGGTCTGAGAAGGATTCGACTCATCTTCCTCCTCCGGGTTCATCTGTTTTTTGACGTCCTTGACCAACCTTTCCTCTGTGCGGTCGAATTTAAAGCCGCGACCACCGAACCCAGTCGACGAAACGGTGTCTCCCCCTGAGCTCTCTTTGACCTCGTGACCGGCCTTTTTAAAAAAAATTAAATATGAATTCGTATGATTAAATTTTTTTTGTTTTAAAATATCCCCTCCTCCAATTGGTAAATTTCTTTCCTTCACTTTTCGAGGAAAAAAAACAAATTTGATTCAAAAATCCACGACATTTTTTCCATCTCGACATTTAAACGAATTTTTGTCACTTCAAAATATTGACTAAAAATAAAATATTCAAAAAAATAAGTATTTTTGGCATTCAAAAAAATAAGTTTTTTGACATTCAAAAAACAAGTATTTTTGACATTCAAGAAACAAGTATTTTGACATTCGAATAAACAAGTATTTTTGACATTCAAAAAAACAAGTATTTTTGACATTCAAAAAACAAGTATATTTGATATTCAAAAAAAAAATGGTTTTAAATTTTTGTTTTATATGAAAATACAATCAAAACCGACCCTCCTTAGTTTTCATCTCCTAAAGCTTGGATTCCTTAAATCAATTCTTTTCCCTTTCGCGTTATTTAATTATTTTTTTCCCGCTTCCACTCGAACAAACAATCAAAGAAAAAAATCTGGGTTTACCGCTTTCCGCTCCTCTTTGTAACTCTCCCAAAGCTTGATCAACGCTTCCGGAACGGGTGTTTTAGCCAACTCCAGGGCTTTGATCAGTTCCCCCGACATTTTGCCTTGTTGAGCCGTGACAAAGGTGTAAGAAAAACCTTTATTGCCAGCCCGACCCGTTCTCCTATACGATACATTTTGTTGTTTTTTTAAAAAAATAGGAATATATATCTCGGTTTTATATTAGATGAAAAGATTGATATAGGGGTGTTTTAAAAAAAATATATTTAAAACTGAGATGTACAAATCACTTTTTTTTAGCTGATAAGGTTACAAAAACCGATAAAACGCAAAGCAAAGTCGATATAAAAAATAATCATTTAGTGTAATTAATTAGGGAAAAAAAAACAATTACAAATTTTTTCTAAAAATTCATTTATCATAAAACTTCAAATTAATATAAAAGTTTAAAAAATAGGAAATATAAGATTAAAAATATTTTCTACCTTTTTTTTAAACGTTTATAAAAGTTAAAATAATAAAGTATCGTCTTAAAACAGTTAATATAGCCCCGATACAAGTCTAGCTGTTTTTTAGCGTTCGTATGACTAGCAGTTTCATTGATTACAAGTCCAAGCGTTTTAATCGGTTATAGGTCCAACTGTTTTTTACCGGTTCACAAGTCTAGCGGTTTGGTCATTCTAGCCACTTTTGTCGGTTACATCTTATAAGTGTGGCCAATTTTAGCCATTTTTAATCTTTAATCGGTTAGTGAATTGGCTAAATTTAAAGTTTTTCCCCATCTATCCGCCAAATCAATAACTTTTAAAAATGGGGCATAATATTACACTATTCCTATCATTTATGAGTGGGGATGGGGTGGTAGCTCGACAAGCCTGAATTTAAAATTCCGGCGAGTATAAATTATTTAGCATTCTGAAAATCTAGCTCTTTGGAGAGCCTTTTTAAAAAATGATAAGAACTAGGGGACGAACATTGAGGGGAGCAATAGCGGAGAGCAGACAAATATATATATATATCCTTACCCGCATCTATGCACGTAATCTTCGTAATGGTTAGGGCAATCGAAATTTACTACCACGTCCAAATTTTTGACGTCCAATCCTCGAGCGGCTATCGAAGTGGCTATCTGAAAAAGGTACAATATATTTATAATAATTCGATCTTAAAATTTGACAGTAATATGTGTAAATTTTTTCTTAGAAAAGCAGTTTAAACTCTATACACTTTGAACACTAATCTGAAAATTTTTGTTAATTTACGCTAAGAACACTTCCAATTAGAGATCTGCAAAAGTAGGCCGGGCCGGAAAAATAGGGCTCGGGCTGAGTCGGTAATTTTTTTGAAAAATTCGGGCCGGGTCGAATCTGGCTTTGGAAATTTTCTTAAATTTATCAATTTTATGTTGAATTTTTTTTATGTAAGGCTGAAAATCATAAATAAATTTTGAAGAAAAAAAATAACATAAGCTATTTTTAATGTAAAAATAAAATGGTGTCCAATTTCATTTTTCGGTATTTATAAAAAAATTTATTAATTTTTTAAATTTTTATTAAAAAAAATCGTATGTACAATTTTGAATGTTGTTAATTTTTTATAAATTTACTAACCCAAACGATTATAGCCTTTTATATTAATATTTTTTTTGGTCTTTATTTCATTCAAATATGTTAGAATATAATTAAAAGTTTCCACATTCATGTGAAATGTCTCACGGGAATTTATCAGGACAATAAGGTATAATATCAAATATTTTTAAAAAGTCCTTGATCTCTATAATGAATAATATATTTTCTAATTATAATATACACCTGAATTCCAAATATCTAAGCCAATTTCTATGTTCAGTCGTATCTTCGAATATTATATAATAAATAACTAATAAATGAATCATAATCAAGCATTTTAAATTATTTTAATTTTTTTTTTTTTAAAACTTAAATGTGTCAAAAGTTTTTTGTTAATAATTTGTGAAAATTTTAAATTTTTTAAGGATTTTTTTTTAAAAAAACATTTTTGAACGCAGCCCCTAAAAATAAAAATATTTTTATTTTATTTATAGAAACTAGACGCCATACAACTTATAACATATCTTTTATTTTGAGTAATCATAAAAATTAATTTCTACATTTAAAAGAAATTCGGGGAGGCCAGGCTGGTAAAATTTTTTCTAAAAAAATTTTCTGTGGTTAGGGTCGGGCCGGCAAAACTTTTTTAAAAAATATTTCGGGCCAGGCTTGAAGAATTAGGCCCGATGTTTTGTTATGAACTTTCTATTGATTTTTTCATACAAATTATTAAATTACACAAAAATCAGTAAAATTATCTATACGATTCATAAGTTAGGTATTCCAATTACGCTGGAACACGTTTCCGGCAAAATCATAACTTTTAAATTTAATAAAACCCGCTCGAAAAATTTAAAGTTGAAAAAAAATAACAACATTGCCAGAAAAAAAAGCGCATTGCGAAGATTTTAAATTTGCATAAAATAGAAGGCGCCATAAAATTATTCCTTGCCATAAATGCTTCGTATTAAAATTGAACCCACTAATATGCCCAAGCACTTATTCTCGGGATTTGGGATAGGAGGAGGAGGCTAAATGGCATCACATGAAATAGCCAAAAAGGGAAAAAAAAATATTACGCAAACGTAAAGATTTTGCTATCATATCAAGCCTGTGTAAAGTTAACGGTTCGTAACCTCGAGAGTTTTCCTGATATATTTAGATGGCAAAATGCGATATTATAACAATAGATCAAAAAACGCTCACCAGTATCTTCACGTGCCCCGCCTTGAAATCGCTTATAACGCTGTCCCTGTCAGCCTGATCAAGTCCGCCGTGGAGCGCGAGGCAAGAATAACCGGCCGTAGTTATGAGATTTTTGAGCAATTCGTCGGCCCTCTCCTGCTTCTCCACGAACACTAAAATCTTACTGGGCTCCCGCCATTGGCTTATCTGGTTACCGGGAATAATCGCCAGCTGCATGTTTCGATCGCTTACGGTATGCTCGGTCTTATCCGATTTCAAGAAGCGGGTTATGCTGAGCGGATTGGCGGCATTTTCGGATGTTTGGTTGCGAGCGGGTGGGCGATCCCCGTAAAAGTGCCCTAAAATTTCGAGGAGTTTGAGGTATTTTTGTTGATCGTTCTCCATGACGAGCTAAGTAAAATTGAAATAGATGCGATATATGTCGTAAGGGGAGTGAAAGTAACTTGTAGCTAGTTACATTGCAAAAGTAATTAATTATTTTGCAAGCTACCTTCATATATTTTTGATTAAATAAATAACTTTTGTTATTTTAAAAAATTGTAATATGGTATAGTAGTTTAAAAGAAATAATTGCCCTGAGAAAAATATACCACAAAATAATAATTGTTTTATCTCCAAATATAAACCTTCCTAGGCTAAAAAAAAAAACATCCTACAGGAGTAATTTTAAATCAGATATTATATATATATATATATAATATAATAAACCAGTGATTATATATTTTAAGTAACTTAAAAGTTAGAAAATATAGCTTGTTACCAAACTGTAGGGCTTAGAGTAATTTTAGAGTGATGCACTAAAGATTAGACAAATAATTATCTCACCCCCCCCCCCGATAAAAAAAAAGTGTTGGGCGGGGCATAAGAACAATTTAAAAATCTCTGGAGATACCGTAATCTTATTCTCGTAAGAGTTCACATATTTATTATATAAGATATAATTATTTACTATGTTTTGTTGAACGGTGTCGGTAACGACGGAACGACTACCCACTTGAATTTCGATAGGCTTCTTCAGTATTCTACGGGCCAGGGCTTCCATCTGCCGGGGAAAAGTGGCGCTAAGTAGCACGGTCTGTCGGTCGGGTCTGACCAATTCAATTATACGCATAACCTTTTTTTTTAAAGATAAATTGTATTGAAACCTTTTATTTGGGGTAATTGAAGCAGGTGCCCAGACCATACTGGAATGATCGATTTATGGCCAGATTTTTTAAAAAAGAAAAAAAATGGTTGCGATACTATGACCGACGTCTTGTAAAAAAAGATGAAGGGCAGAATTAGCCCGTTTAACCCATCCTACTCCATTAATTGTATAATTTTTTTATGTTGGAAAGTTAAAGAACATATATTTCAAAAATTAGTGGTTAGAAACATTTTCTATAAACCAAATTTGAATCCAGATAATCGCCATTGTTATTTCTGCTTAGAGTTCCCTTCCTGTGAAGATTAAGTCATTTTGAGGTAACTTGTTTAATCTCACTCATAAATTGGGAGGGTTATCGCAAATTATCATTTGAAACAAAGTATCATTTCAATACTTAAGGACTATATTTGGGCAGTATTGCTGATACTTAGATATAAGATAGTTACTTATATATCTCGTTTTTTTTTAATATTTTAGAAAGTAACTTGTATCTAAAGAAATAATTTTTGAAAATTGCATCTTAATCTAATGTAAATTTTTTTTTAAAGATCATATGGATGGAAGGGGGTGGTAATTATTGTAGGGGGTCGTCCAATTTTGAAAAAAGAAAATTGTTATTTATTTATTGTTATAGATTAGTAATTAATCAAGTTATATTAGTGATATATTTTCTACGATTATAATTTCTGCGAAACAATATTATTATTAATGTTGTAAACGGCTCGTTTTGAGCCGATTTTTAAAAAGGGCTAACTCATTATTGCCAGAAATATATTGACTAAGCCTCGAAATTTCGATACTATAATGTCTGGACCTTTGCTCCTTCTATGAGCAAAATTTTCAGACTTGTGTAATTATTATTATTATTTTACTTTGTTGTTTGCATAAACTATAATCGTAAAAAAACATATCACTAATATAACTTGATTACTAATCTAAAAAAAAATTTTCTTTTTCAAATTGAACGACCACACTAAATCACTTCAACCAACTATAAAATAGTTTTTAGCGCCAAGTTCATATCGTAAAAAAAAATTCGTTTCAATCCTTAAAGTCGAGTCTCACATAAAAAAAGTCTTAGGCTAAAAGCTTGGCTAAATAGTATTAGAATTGGCGTCAAAAGCTTGGCTAAATAGTATTGGAATTGGCGCCAAAAGCTAGGTATTAGTGGGGGCGGGAGGGCGGAATTGTGAAATAATTATGAGGAGTATTTCATCAGTTACTAAAAGTGTTCAGGAAACAATATTCATACAAGGTCCCCATCGTTTCTGGGAATCTAGATATTTATTCCTAGATGATTTTACCTTCATAGAGTTCCAAGTTCCGGTTCCAAACTCTAGCCATATTAACAAAATTACAAGATACTATGATACTACAAATAATAGGAAACCATCTTGACAAACGAGATATGATAAGAAAACTACATACATTTATTATCCGATAAAACCACTTCATTCGAACCAACGCAAACCCGGTTTAGTCGAGTTTTTCACCGAAAAAACGGCTTGCGCAGATGGGAGAAAAGTGTGGGGTTCTTTTTTGGGGCAAATGGAGTGAAAAGGAGGAAAATGAGAACTATAAATGTGTCAAAATCTTTTTTTGTTTTTCAAAAAAAAAAGTATTTAATATTTTTACTTGTGGCTCGAAACCCATGTCAAACATTCGATCAGCTTCGTCTAGTACGCAATAAGTTATCCGTTTGAGATTTGTAACTTTACCTAGAAAAAAAAGTAAATTTTTTTTTAGAGGGGTTAGTTTGTGTGCTACGTGTCAATAAAATGTCGTATCTGCGCCTTATAGCACTTAAATAAGCTACCTATATAAAAATGCGATTCGAGCAAACCAAAACATGGGCGTGCTAATTTCACTCTTCTAAATAGAATGCTAAAGAATAGGTTGGATTTGAGAACATATAAAAATCAGGACTTTCAAGAACATTGCCATAGTCATAAATTTGATTTCTTATAAATTAAATTATATTGGGAGGTATTATAACATCATTTATTCGCTTCATAAATCAGCCATTTCTAATTCTCTAATCCTATTTTTCATTCTATCTGCTATGATTTTCCATCTATATTATCAGATGTTAAATCACGATCTATGCTAAAAAACCAAATAATTATGCCGAGAACCGAGCCTGGCGATCTCCAATCGCACCTCATATTAGTTTCAACATTTTTTTACTATCAATAGATCCAGATATGTTGTCATATTATTGAAAATTACTCCTATTTAGGCTTTGCCCAAATCCATAATTTCCGATATAATGAGAATTTAAAATTTTATAAGTATTATATCTGTTGATTGATATGTAATTGACAGATATAGGCGTTTTTCAATTAATTTCGAATAGGATATAGATATAGATAACATTTATACATTCTTTGTTTTAGATCATGTGTTATTATTAGATAAAATAAAAATGGAATTATTCTTTGAAACGTATTTTTTTTAAAATATTTATATATATTTATTTTGTATTATTATTATTGTTTAGGATAATAAGTAGTAAGCAGAAAAAAAAAAATTTAATAAAACGCGGAATGCTGTCAATAAATAAGTTTTTTTTGAACGAAAAATTCTAATTTGCAAACATACAAAAAAAAACAGTTTTTAAATCTTTATACATTATTCGCTTCTATCATTCCTAACACTTTTTGGTCTATGTTTTTTTTAAACAAAAAAAAATGGAGGAAAAGATATACCGCTGTTAGAGGCGAGCATATCGATCATCCTCCCTGGTGTTGCAACAACGATGCTTGGACTCCTTTTCAGGGAGGCTATTTGTTCACTGATTCCCGCTCCGCCATATATGCAAACCACTTCTCCCAGATCTATTTTCAAAAAAAAATTAATAAATAAATGTATAAAAAGAAAAAGAGAGATATGTCAGCTGATCATTTTCCAAGTGTAAGCAAGCGATGGTTACACACCAACCTAGGAGTAGAGTGTTGTCAAACGGCTCGTTTTGCCGATTTTTTAAAAACGGGTTAACTAAGTATTTTAGCCAGAAAAAATATTGCCTATTAGATTTTGCTAATAGATGTCCAAACCTTTGTTCCTTCTACTACAAACAAAATTTTCAGGCTTGCGTAATATTATTCTAGATGAAATATTGAGTTAGCCATTTTTAAAAATCTGCTCAAAAAACAAGCCGTTTAACAACACTAGCTAGGAAAGGGACTTCTTCAAAAATGTCACCCACCATGTTTTAGATAAACATGTGACCGGAAAAGGAAGCGCGATTGTTTTTTTTTTAAAAAAAGTTTACCCGGAATATGTTCCGGGAGGTTAGGTTTCTCGTTAAATATTTCGGTTCTGAGGAAAAGTTTCCAATATGCGAATCTGAAGAGTATCTGAAACCGAACATTTTAAATCGTAAAAGAATTAGAAAGGAATGGGTAATTCGGATCCCTTGTAAATGCACATTATACAGGTCTTCAGGGCAGTGAGATACCAAATAATGCTGGTTCACTATGCCCCGCATTTCAAATTGATTCGATAAAAAGGAAGAAAACAAGTAATCGAAATGGAAACAAAAAGATTTTTTACTGCTGATTCTGGAGACGAATTTCCTGGCATCCTTATAAATTTGAGTGGCTAATTCACGGGTCGGCGTCATTATCAAAGCTGTTTTTTCAGATTTTTTTTTCGCGAAATAAAAAAAAAAACCAAAAATTAAAATTGGAAGAAAATGATAATTTCCTTTTAAAAAAAATCTGGGTAAATAATATGTAATATTAACTATTTTTCTTATAAAAATTTAAGCATATTTTGGTGCATAATTAATTATCGCGAGGCGAATTCGGCTCAAATGGGTTAAAAGTTTTGCTCTCAAATTAGGGATATCTATCATAAATAATTACGTGCTTCGTGCTAAAATAATGCTTTTCAATAAAATTTGAAAGAATTGGAGAGAAAGAAACGTTGTTATTTTTATTTGACATATACAAAAATTATTTTTCTTTGATGAATATTAGAAAGGAAAAAAAATGAGGAATTTAAGAGAAAAAAAATTTTAACCTATAGGTCCCTCGTTTTCCCCCGGTAATTCTTGGTGAGCTATATGCCTAAAAAGGGGTAAGAGAAAGGCTAAAGTTTTACCGCTACCAGTTTTAGCTATGGCTATAACGTCCCGCCCACTCATTATAGCGGGTAAGGCTTGGGTTTGAATCGGAGTGGGAGTCGTCATGTTCAACCTAAAGAAGAAGAAAAAATTTTTTTAGCTTATCGTTTAATGGAAAACAGGAATTATATCAATACAGATATTACGGTTGGGATAATTTCAGCTTCCCATAATCCTAGCGTTCAAAAATGGCCCTTTATGTAGTGTTGTTAAACGGCCCGATTTTACGCCGATTTTTAAAAGCGGCTAACTTCCATATTTTAGCCAGAAAAATATTGGCCTCGCCAATAGATGTATAAACCTTTCGAGCTATCCACGACCAAAATCTTCAGTCTTCGCGTTAATATCTTTTCTGGCTGATAAGTATTTTTTTTTTAAATCGGCTAAAATAAAGCCGTTTAACAAGACTACCCCCAAGTCGAAAACTATCAGTTTCATTTTGTTCAAGAACTAAAAAACGATTGGGGTGGGAAAAACCCAAAAAATGGTAATGTAATGTGGGTACATCTTTTCCTTTCCCCACACTCTAAAACTGTTAAGAATCTTTCAATTTTTTTTGTTTTTTATAATATTACGCTTTAACTATTTAGATTTACCAAGACACTTATAAAAATTAACCACATAGTATATATAATTTGAATATTTTTATGTAAAGTTGGTGCTAAAATAAATCGAAAATTGGCATAAATAATAAATTTTCGTATTTTTTTTTTACTTACAAAAAAAAATCATTATAAAGTAGGGAAAAAGTTTTCATCACCGAATCAAATATGTATAGCAATATATGTGAATCTAATCTGATATGGATTGATGGAATGCCAAACATACATGGATCTATGTAGAAAAATGGCATTTAATGCTAACATAGGCAAACGATTCAATCATTAAAATGCGCGTGTGCATATACTGAAGTCCGCCCCTGAAAAGGCATTTAGACAAAATGTGAAAGGCATTTAAACCCCATGACTTTCAGTGGCGTCCACCACTGTAGCCAAAGACATCGATTACAGCTGATTTCAAATGTATGCATGTAAACTTTTAATATATGAATCGTCGGTTAGCATAAAAAAGGAGGTTACGGAAATATGAAAAATATTTCAAGTGGGATTAAAGTCGATAATGGGTTACGTTTAAATAATAAAATAATTTGTTTCGTAACTTTTTGAGTATGTCTATTATTCGAACTGAAAGACCGGCTTGCGCCCATGTTTTAATCGGTCTGGGACAATTTTTGCCTCTGACTTGGATGTCCTCTAGCTTAGTTCGGTATTCGGCGACCTCTGCGTAACGGGAAATACAAATGTCAATTTTAATAATGATTTATTTCTTTCTTTCTTTCTATCTTTTCCTTTCTTTCTTTATAATGCATTTTGTTTTTAACTATTTATTTTCTATTTCTTTCTTTTACATCTTTCCTAATAATATCTGTTGTAAATAATATTAATTTATTATTTACAACATCTCACCCCTTTATTTGGGATGAATTATAGGTTTGATTCCCAAATTTTCGTCCTCAGGGTTGGCCAATAACATATCCTCAATTTTTTGTATTTCCCTCAATGATGCTTCTGCTTCCGATGTTGTAAAGTGATCATTAGCCACCCTGTAGAAAAAATGTTCTGGGCTCCCCGGATACTTGTCTCATAAAGTTATTCGTATTAGAATTTGAGACAATTCCCTTTGCCGCTAAACTCGGAACTCTCCATACCCTTTTTCTCGGTAACGGTCCATAGTTGGCTCGACAGTCTACAATCTTATGTCCCACTACCACATAAAAAAAACATTGGATATTGCTTATAGGTGTTCGTGATTGTTCTCTCATCATTGAATATCGAGTCAGATCCTCTTCTTCTCCCATATAATTGTGTTATAATTATTTGTCAAAGTTAATGTGTACAGAGCCCCTCGTCCATTTATTGAAAATTAAGGCTTGGGTGTAATCGTACCTTGTTGCTGTATTAACCATCTATCTAACCAGGCATCGGCCAATGGACTCCCTAAATTAGCCTGGTTCACTTGTATTATGGATTGTAGCGTTCTGATGTAGAAAGTCATCATATTTTCCATTATTTTTAGAAATTTTATTATAAATTCAAAACTTTCTTTAAAATTAAATTATTTTATTTAGAAATAAAAAACCAAAAATTTCTTTAAAATTGAATTATTTTATTTAGAAATCAAAAAAAATTTTTTTTTTTAATAAATGATTTTGTTAACCTTCCTTAAAATATATTTTTTTTTATTTCTAACCTCTTTTCAATTCCTTTTTCATAAAATCGCATTAAATAAATTTACTACTATACCCCACATAATAAATACCCTATTTCTTGTTTTTATTTTTACTATATTTTTTCTTTTAAATCAAACTTAACCTTCGAAAAAAAATACATATTAATTCAATTTCAATAATCTTCATAAATATGTTCAGTTCAGATTCATTTTTTTTAAAATTATTGACCCATCCCAACACCAAAAATAAAATTTAACCTAGCGTATTTATTTATCAACTGCTTATTCGCGACATTTTAACAGATCTCTTTGGCGACGCACTTCCGTCATATCTTCCAATCTTATTTTACATAATTTATTACCTTATTCCCCTTTCCCATTTTTTACCACTCCCATACATTGTCACCCAGACCATTTGATCATCTATATATTCATATTCCACATTATTTTCAATTTCTAAAATTTTCGAAACAGGTTTCAACATATCTAAAAAAGTATTAGTTTTTCTTCCCAACATTTTTCCTGAAGGAGATTTACCATCCCTTCCTACCCCATTATTATAATATAAATGAGCAATCCAAATTTCTTCTTTCTTCGGCCTTTCTCAACCAACTCTTAACAACAGCCACCAATCTTTCTGCCTGTCCGTTAGAACTAAGGTGATACAGTGGTGCCAACATATGTTGCACATTATTTCTCAAACAAAAACTTCCACTCACGAACCCCGGACCACCATCCGAAACCACCCATTTCGGAATGCCGAATCTAGACCATAATTTTTTCAGATGTTTAATAACAATTCCCGTAGTACCTCTTCAAATTCAATCCACTTTGAAAAAGCATCTACACCTAAAATAAATTTTTTATCATTACACTCAAAAAAATCCATATGCACTGTTTCCCAAGTTTTATTTACTTTGGGGCCAAACACTTTTCTTATCCCGACACGGCATGTTTGCCCATGCGTTACAGACTTCACAATTTTTTCCTATTTTTCCAATTATGTCGCGAATAAACTTAGTTGATAAAAAAATACGCTAGGTTAAATTTTATTTTTGGTGTTGGGATGGGTCAATAATTTAAAAAATAAAGAATCTGAACTGAACATTATTTATAAAGATTATTGAAATTGAATTAATATATATTTTTTTCGAAGGTTAAGTTTGATTTAAAAGAAAAAATATAGTAAAAATAAAAACAAGAAATAGGGTATTTATTATGTGGGGTATAGTAGTAAATTTATTTAATGCGATTTTATGAAAAAGGAATTGAAAAGAGGTTAGAAATAAAAAAAAATTATTTTAAAGAAGGTTAACAAAATCATTTATTAAAAAAAATTTTTTTTATTAATAAATAAAATAATTCAATTTTAAAGAAAGTTTTGGTTTTTTATTTCTAAATTAAATAATTTATAAAGAAAGTTTCGGTTTTTTAATTCTAAATAAAATAATTTAATTTAAAAGAAAGTTTTGAATTTAAAATAAAATTTCTAAAAATAATGGAAAATGTGATGACTTTCTACATTAGAACGCCACAATCCATAATACAAGTGAACCAGGCTAATTTAGGGAGTCCATTGGCCGATGCCTGGTTAGATAGATGGTTGTTAATACAGCAACAAGGTATGATTACACCCAAGCCTCAATTTTGCTAAAATGGACGAGGGGCTCCGTACACATTACCTTCGACAAACAATTATAACACAATTATGATGGGAGAAGAAGAGGATTTGACTCGATATTCAATGATGAGAGAACAATCACGAACACCTATAAGCAATATCCATTGATTTTTTTATGTGGTAGACTGGGACATAAGTGTGTAGACTGTCGAGTGAACTATGGACCGTTACCGAGAATAAGGGTATGGAGAGTTCCAAGTTTAGCGGCAAAGGGAATTGTCTCAAATTCTAATAAGAATAACTTTATGAGACAAGTATCCGGGGAGCCCAGAACAATTTTTTCTACAGGATCTATGGCTAATGATCACTTTACAACATCGGAAGCAGAAGCATCATTGAGGAAAGTGAGATAAATTTAAAAATAAAGAAAAAAATTGTTTGTATAATTAGTTGTGTCCAATTCCTATAGCAAAAAGTTGCAACAATATCAATATCGCACTATTTCAAAATCTTCTGTAAAAAAAAAAATTACAAGATGTATCATAGAAATATATATTCCGATAAATAAATTTTAAAAAAGAAAACCTTGTGGAGTCATATTGGTAATTTCTGGGACTTCCTTGTAAAAATCTTTTTGGAAAGGTTCGTATTCTACGTATGTTTTGTCCATAGATGTGATGAACTTAGGAAGAAAAAAAAATTAATTTAAAACGTGTATAATTGCTTTCCTCTTCTTTTATATGAAGTATTTTTATGTTTTCCAAACCCTTAACCTGAACCGAACCCTTTTTTGTGGAAGGGTTCACACACACACCCCTTTTCTTTCGTTTTATCCATTTTTTTCCCCTAATTTTATTCCCTTTAATATATTATGGTGTATCATATCTATCAAAAAAAAAACCTTGTCTAATTTGCTTTGGTTAGAGTTGCTATTCAGCATGGCCGTCATCTCGTGGTAATTCATCTCTTCCTCTTCAGACGAATACTATCGTTACATAATTTGTTGGTCAAAATTTTTTATGTAATAAAATAAATACAATATTCGATTTTAATGTATATGTGTGCTCTAATCTACGAATATATATCTGGCATGGTGATGATATTTTTAAAAAGTCTGAAGAATTAACCCCAATCTACAAGGTGAATTTTTATCATTTTTCTTCCTGGGAAATCTCGAACAAGACTAGCAAACTTAAATGGACCCATCTTTATACCCTCCCCCACCTCATTGTCATTTCAAATCTGATTTTGAACGATATCATCACTAATAATAAAAAATAATAATATGAGAGCAAAATAACAAGGAATTAAAAAAAATAACTTCCAAAAGATCTTCTCCTTGTTCCATCAATTCTCCCCTGACAGACTTGGGAATGGGTTGTCTAATTACAGGTATTGGCTTCTCTATCTACGAGAAAAATAAATAAAAACATTTAGCATGAAAAGTTAAAGTGTAGTTCAATTAGCAACTAGGGCTGAGAATGATAATAGCCCCCCCCCAAGATTTAACCGAACCAGAACCCTTTTTGAAATTTGAACAAGATTATTTATTCATTCTCCCAATTGTGATATTTTGAAAGATATCATGATAATCTGCAAAGAAAAATGTTTAAAATACAAATATAATAATTTTTTAAATTTTAATTGTGTTATTCTAATTATGATTATGAATTAATTTTACTAAAAGAAACGGATGTTTCTGTTAATTTTACTACATTTTTTTTTTGGATAACCTTCACTGAACCAAAATCCATTTTTTTAGAATTGACAGCCCTGATTTAAACAATATCCTATATATATATATATAATCAATAAGGTGAACTTGTAAAGGGATATCGAATTCTGTCTGATCGATGGGTAGAATGGCGGGATTGATAGGTGAAGGAATGACAGTTTTTTGGGAAATGATTTTGGCTCTGTCGGCTTGTTTGATTTTTTTGACCTCTTCTTTGATTCCCTATAAAAGGTATTGGGAAAGGAAGGGAAATATTTTTTTTCAGAGTTAACAGATTATCTATAACCTTTGTTACTTTTTTTTCTTTCTTTCTCTTCTTTTGCTTTCTTTTCTAAATTGAAAATGAAACAAAGACAATTTTAATTTTTTACTTACCACCATAAAAGCATCCAAGGGGTCAACCTCGATCTCTTCCTTCTCCTCCAATAGCTGTATCGTATTCGTTTCCATGACCACCGCCACAGGTTTAACTGACTCTTCATTTGCGTCAGACTCTCCGTTAATCACTTTTCCCGCTTCTTCGCCATTTTCTTCTCCCTTCATTTCGGCGTCGTTTTCCGTGACGTCGTCTTCGTCGTCTTCCAGGGTCCAAGTGCTTTTAGAAGCCAGGTCATCCGGTTGAACTTCCAGCGAATTATCAGCCAGGCCCTCTTGCGATTGTTTTTTCTTTTCCTGCCTCCATTTTTCTATCCTGTCTCTACGTTTTTTCATTTCCGCTTCCAGCTTCGCGTTTTCCCTCTCCTTTGTCGCGAAAACCAAAAAAAAAATTAGGTTAGCTCAGTTAGATTATCAAGAATCTCGATATTAGACCTGGGATTGTTCCAAAAAAAACCCCGTTCGGGTCGATTTTTAAAAACGATCCGAATGGGATTTTGGCCTAAAATGATATTTACGAAAACCTCGAGATTCGGCAAATAGAAAGTCTAGAACTTTCTTGAAGCATTTTTTTTTATAACAAAACTCTGATAAAAATTAAGGTTATTTAATTTTTTTTAAAAAAAGAAGAAGAGAGAAATGAAATGAAATGAAATGAAAAGAAATGATTTTTTAAAAAAAAATTTACGAGTCTCGTTTCAAGCGAGTGTTGTTTTTTAAAAACGGCTAAACTCAATATTTCATTCAAGAAGAATATTACGCAAGCCTGAAGATTTTGCTCATAGAAGGAACAAAGGGTCTAGAACATATATTATAGAAATTTCGAGGCTTTAGGGCAATATTTTTCTGGCTAAAATATCGAGTTAGCCGGTTTTAAAAAACGGCTCAATTCGAGCCGTTTAACAACACTGGCGCCATTTAATCTATTTTACACCCACTCTTGGGAGATTTCGCACATAGGTTGACAGACAGGTTTTGGATTATTAGCGAAATTTCGAGACCTCGAGGGTAAGTCATATTTTGGTAGTGTTGTTAAAATGGCAAACTCAATATTTTAGCAGGAGAAATATTGCCTAAGGCCTCGAGATTTCGATAATATATGTTCTAGATAGGGCTGTCCACATATTTTTCTCCAATCCGATATTTTCCGATTTTTTTTAAATCGCTTGAATTAATTTGCAATTTAAATCATTATAAAATAAAATATACAAAAAAATTATATTGATTGAATAGTAAAGCAAACTTAAATAATAAAAAAAGACCGGTACGGACCGTAGGACCAAACCGTTGACCTTCACTAATATCGACTTTTATTTTGCACCCTGCCTTTGGATAAAATTTTAGTGGCGAACTTTGATTTTATTCACTGGCAACATGGTAAATAATATGAGATGGATGATGACGATGAAAAAAAAATTTAGACTAATTTGGTCAATAAAATTATGGTTTGAATCGAAAAGTTAGAAAACCCCAGTTTCAAGCCTAGAAAAAATGGAGCCTTGATTCCTAAAATTGTAGAACACTATTACAAAGGTTAAGCTTGGCAATCAAAAAAAAATTTAAATGAAGCATTGATTCCCCTCATAATTTTTCATAAAACAATTATCTAATATAATTAACTATTTATATGAATACATTTTTTAAAAAAATATTTTTTTACTACTAACATTGGTAAATGGCCCAATTTGGGTGGATTTTTAAGAATGGGATTTTAGAACAAAATAATCTTGTGAAATCCTGGAGACTTTATTCGTAGATGTCAGAAGAATTTGGATCTCTATTTACCAAATCTTGAGAATTATAATAATATCATCTTGGCTAAAATCTTAATTGGCCCATTTTTAAAAATTAATCTAGGGGGGGGGGGGGGCATTGAATACAACTATTTACTGTTTAAAATAAAAATTATCAGGAAACAAAGTTAGATTGTTTATTTTTATAAAAATCATGTCAGATATGTTATATTTCTTATATCAATTAAAATGAAAAGTATGAATGGTTCAATGAATAGCAAATTCCAAGCATTTCACACTAACTAAATTAAATTAAACTCATTCTCAATTTTTTAATTTGCACAAGCTTGAAACTAAATTAACGGTATTGTTTTTTAGAGATAATTAATTCAAAAAGAATATCAATAAAATATTTGGTAAAATTTTAATTGGAATGATCTAATGTTTAAGTTTTTTTAAATTTCAAACATAAAGATATTATCTTGAAAAAAATAAACTGATGCTTTGTCAAAATTATATATATTATATTTTGTAATAAACATAAGAGATAACTTTTAAGAATTGACTAATACACCAATTAACAACTTTTTAATATAAAATATTTGATTATCAATTTACATGATTACCTTTTTAATTTCCTCTTTAGTCTTAATAGGTTTGATTTCTTTTTTGACCTTTGATTGTTTAGCATTTTTTAGACTACTATTAGAAGAACTATCTGAGTAATCACTTGATTCTGATTTTTTTCCTCTTCCTCGGCTTTTATCTTTATATCTATAATGTTTCGATTGTTTTTTATGCTTTTTTACATCAGAAGCTCTATGTTTACGGCGATAGCTTAAAGTTAATCAGAAAATATATTGTATAATTAAAATCAATATATGTAATTTTAAACAAAAGTAATGTTAAGATATTTGAATAAGGTTAAAATTTTACCAATCACTATGCTATGATCATATTTGGAAAAACCCATTTGTATCTAAATATTTAAAAAAATTTTAACTCGTCTTAAGATAAAAACTGATTAGAGAAATAATAAAATAAAGCTTAAAATTTATTTGCTAAATTTAAGAATTAACAATTAATTATATATTTATCTAAAAACTATTCATACTCATCTGAATCTGAAGAATATCGAGATCGTTTGCTACTTTGATGATATGATGATCTATTTTAATATTTTTAAGTATATGTACACAATCACTATATCATTGATCAATTTACCTTGATGATCTAGGCGATCTAGGCATCGTAAAAAAATTGAATATAATAATTTACACTATATAATTTATTGAATGGCACATTATAGGACTCAAATTTGGCATAATGACGTGAAGATATTTTAATGACTTGATTTATCACTGAAAAATATCTTATTTTTCCTCGATACATTCAATCAATTGTATTTTATGTTCATCTATTTGATATCACTAATTTAGGCAAATTTTGCTTATAACCTACCATTATGTTCAAGTTACAATATACAGGAAAACGATCTCAAAATAAATCAAAATAATTGTAATATAATATAAAATTATTTTATATAAATTATAATATTAATTAAAATAAGTTTTAATATTTATAAAAAAACAAATTTCACAAATTTAATTAATTTATATAAATTATAATATTAGTCAAAATAAATTATCAAATTATAATAAATAAATTACCATAAAAGATTATAATAAAAATTAGTGAATATTAGAATTTCAAATGACAATTTATACAATATGTAATAATTTATATTATACTTTTATTTTGTTATATATTACTTTATTACTTTGAATTAAAATTAAGGTAGTTAATTTTACTATAAATAAATTGTATTATAGATGAAAACACCTAATATGTAATTTCGTACGTATATTTTGCCAAAATCAAAATGGATGATGAATTGCAAAAATAGAAATAAAGATCAGTAAAATATAATAGGAGTAATAAACCCAAATTTCATCATGGTACCAAATCACTGGATGATGAAAAAATAAAGATATATATATATTATTTTACCAGTGATACTTAAAAAAAATCTAACAGTATAAAAATAAATATAAATGAGGGAATTAAATTTAATATTGCTTATTTTTTAAAATAAATAAAAGAAAAAAAATCATGCTCATACGATATTTTTAGTGTAAATTTTTTTTTATTACATTAAATAATATAAAATTGAGGAAATAAGCGTTGAGTAAACGAATAAAAAATGCTTAATAATAAATAAAAGAAGAAATATTTTTTTATTACATTATATATTTTTTTAAATAAACAATTACTTCTTTTTTTAAAGAATTAATTAATTGAAAATATCAAAATTGCAATTGTATTATTAAAAATGATATTTATCTCAATATAATTATTAAATAAGGATGAGCAAAACCAATTTTACAAAAGTTGAGATCGATAATTGCATTAGTAATTTTTCTATTTTAAATATAAATAATATGAGAGGATCACTGAAAATTTTCTAATTCTCTTTGCTGACTATGTTTATTATTCCTAAAGGAATAATATATTGAATGATAAAAGATTATTTTATATGAATAATTAGGTCAATTTAACGATATAAAGAACCAACAGCTCATTTGAAGTCGATGATTCTAATAAAATCACAAAAATCTAATTAAAATGATGATAGATTCGATGCCCAAAATATAAATCGAAATTTTCGCGAAAAACAAAGACGAATTTCGATTATCTAAAATCTCAATTTTTTGTATGGTTTGACTATAAAAAATGATTATTCATTCGCTTCCTAGCAGTAAACTTGACGCTTCTAAGAAATATATAAAAAGTAAAATTATAAAAGGTAATTAAAAGTATAATCTTGAACTTACACAATTCACATACTGAGCAATACATTAATTGAAAATATAAAGAATAATTTAAATTAAATATGAATATAATAATTTAAAAATTTATAAAGGAATTCAAAACTGATTTATTTAACAATATTTTTTCGAGTCTATTATTACATTCTCTTCTTAATGAATATGAAATGGAATTCTCAAAATATTTTTTATATTTTTTTATTTTAAGTTTTAGTTTTATTATTATATTTATTCTAGTTTTAAAGTTTTAATGTATTACGGCAATAACAAAATATCATAAACACGATTTATATTAAATTTTTGCTTAACTAAAATTCAGTTAATATCATCGTTTAAATTGTATTTTATTTTCCGTAACTCAAAATGATTGATCATTTACTTATTCATTTATAAAATATTTAAATTGTTGACAAAATGGGTTATAAAAAGACGTAAAGTATTTATTTTAAAAAAAGTGATATATATTTTGAAGCATGATTTAATAAATGATAAATACAGCGTTCTCCACACCAATTCTCTCTTTATACAACATTATATATGTTCTATTTAAGAATTTAATAAATTAGAGACCACGTTCCTAAGAATGTTTGCATATATGTTTAACTATATGAATGGTTATTTTTATATGTTTACATTTAAATGCTAATGTTTATATTTATTAATCATGGATATAAATAAATGTGTAATGAATATTAATACTAAATGTAGTATTGTGCATATCAAATTATGATAGAATCATAAAAATTTAGACCTTGTTCGTTATTTAATCTGTTCACTAACTCTGGATCATATAGTATATATGATTTTAACAAAATGCTAAAAATAATTGATTTGGATTTATGGGAGGTTATGAATAGAGCAAAGGATATTGTTGAAATATTAACAAATATCAGAGAAAATTTGGATAAAAATTTCATGAAATATATATAAAAGTAAAGGAGATTGCTAATATGTTTGGCATTGAAATTTTTAAACTTAGAGTAGTTTCTAGACAATCCAATTGCTCAAATATTGATTTATCTACGATTGAGGATTTTTATAAAATAAACATTTTTATTCTTCTTATTAAAACATTTTTATTTAAATTAAAGAAAAGAAAAGATTTATTGTCATAATTTTATTTTAAAGCTTTTATTTTCTTTTGCCGTTTGAGTCTAAACTGTTGATTACGCTTGAAATACGAGAGGTTTTTAGGAAAATCTCAGAATTTTACGCTAGTAGGCTCATATGATAAGTTATTTTGTGATGTCTGATTTTCATAAATTTCTTAAATCTAGACAGAATAGAGTATATTTTTTTAGACTATTTATTATTTTAGCTACATTACCTATTAGTACCTGCACTAATGAAACGTTTTCTTCACTTTAAAAAGGTTAAAAACCTATTTAAGAAATGCTATCGGTGAAAAATATATAAATTGATTAGCCCTATTAAATATTTATAAGAAGATTATTTTAGATTAAAATTTGATTCTAGATAAATTAGCAAAATCTCAGAGAAAAGTAGACCTCTGTTAAACTGCCAAATTTGGGTCTATTTTTAAAATTGTCGATTAAGATTTTAACCAAAATAATATGTATACTAGTGATCTGCATCGGGCCTAGTTTTTCTACCCGGCCCGTACCCGAAATTTTTTTTAAAAAAATTTACCGGCCCGACCAGGCCCGAATCTATTTAAATATAGAAATTAATTTTTATAATTACTCAAAATAAAAGACATATGTTATATGGAATCTAGTTTCTATAAATACAATCAAATATTTTTATTTTACATAAAAAATTCAAAATAAAATTGATAAATTTAGATATATTTTAAAAAAATTCCAAAGCCCGACCGGACCCGGCCCGAAGCCTTATAATGTGATAAATTGGTCTACTAAAGTAATCGGTATAAATATTGGTTGTTAATTTTTTTTTGATATTATTAAATTTCGTTATTGATAATGCACATTTAATAAATATAATTGAAATTTTTGTAAAAAAAAAAATATAAAGAAATAATTAATAGGACTAAAATTCAAAATGACTTATATTTAATCATCCTTTTTTTTATACTAATAAATTTTTTAATAAATTGTAGCTGCGTTAGATACGCGACGAATTATCGCTGCACCAAATTGAAGCCGCACTGAATTGACGCCGCGCTGAATTGACGGCGCGCCGAATTGACGTAATACCATGATTGAACCATAATAAAAATAATTATCATTGAAATAAGTACCATTTAAACGTGATAATTAAACGCCTATATAATGTTATACATAAACGGACATGAATATGATAAAATATGAATGAATGAGGATTTATTATAGGATAAAAATGAAACAGGATAGGAAGAAATTTACAAACTAGACATGTTTTTCGAATAAATATTTAAAATTTATTTAAAAAATATAAAAATATTCAATTACAAAATTTTTTTTTAAATTTGGGGTGTCGGAAAAATTTATGGTAGCCATTTTTGGTTGCCATGTTTTATTCTGGGGGCCAGATTTAGGGGACGAAGGAATTTTTTTTGGGGGAGGGGGGGGGCTGCCCCTCCCGGGGCCTCCCCCTTGGCTATGGGCCTGCTGATAATAAGAGATGTAGCGAAAATAGTTCTGTAAAGGTGTATTTCTATAAATATTATTTGTTGTAATTAAAATGTTAAAGGTAAAATCTGGGAGTAAAAATTTCAAAGTAATCAGATATTATTCCCTTCCTATATTAATCCTTCTACTATTCTTTTTTAAAAGTTTAATAGATTTTTTTTTTAAATCTTTTAATTATTAACTTGTCATATCAAAAATCTTTTTCGGTTATATAAAATCAGCTGATCCAATAAAATTTCTTTGTTTCCATTGGTACAAACTTAAGGAAAATAATGGATCGGATAGAAGGAGAGGTTTTTTATAGAGGGAATGGGAGGGGTGGGGGGGGGGGGGTTGTTGAAATTAGATAATTATGAATAATAAGATTTATTTCCTTATTCAGTAGTTAACTATATAAAATCCATGCAATTTTTTTCCATTGAATTAATTGTATACCTTCCAACGTATTTGGTATATGCCAGGACTCTAATTATAAAAAAAAGGATTGCTATTCGTACTATCAAAAAACTTTCCTGTATGAAGATATATATATATATACAACCTATACTAGAAGAGACAAAGAGAGGTAATATAAAGGTTAATTCTTTAGAGATCTCTACTAAAGCTATAAAACGAATTTTTCTATTATCGGTTCGAGTACTTTTTCAAAGTCGGGCTCGATAAAAATATCATTTTTTTTCTTTTGGTAATTATAAAAACAAAAATATCCATATTTTTACTTATTGGAAAGGGGGAAGTCGTAAAGGTTATGGTTTATAAATATATGTATTTGCTAGTTGCTGACGAATATAAAATGTATTTTTAATATGGAAAAAATAAAATGCACATAAATAAATTATTATATATATAAATATATATTTGATACATAAATATTACAATTTTTTTTAAAAGTAATTATTTAGCTATAACAACAATAATAATAATATAAATTAACATTATATAGCAATAAAAAAACAATTTTTTAATTCGAGAGAAGAGAAAAGAGAATCCTTGAGAGAATTCTCTCCCCCCCCCCTCACTCCCCAAAAATCAATAAAACTTTTTCTAATAAAAAAAAAAGATTTTTTTTGACCGACAGAATATCAAAATTCGAAAAATTTTTTGTCTTTTTCCAACTAGCAAATTAATGTTTTTAAATTTTAATAAATTTTCCAAATTTATTTTCAAAAAAAAATTTTTTTTTTTTACAGATATGGGAATTAGTTTAAAAATTTTTTAAAAGCACCCCTATCCCTATGGTTTAGCCAGATTATATCAGAACCAATGTCATATATAATAACTAGACTGACGATTCATTCATTAAAATGCATTTATAAGTGTCGTTAAAAGCAAATCAGCTGGACCCGCCATTTTGGTAACACATATAGTAATTATTCTCATGTAAAAACTACTATTAAATTGATATCTTGCTTCTTTATTATTTCGATGATCAGGTAATTCTTTAATAAAGTTTGCATCAGATATAGGAATAAATTAGGCTCTCGTTTAAAATTTTAATAATGATTAGTGTAACCAAGATGGCGTCTCCAGTTGATTTGCATTGATGTACACTTTTAATGAATGAATCGTCAGTCTAGGTATTATATATATCATTGATCGGAACAGATGTTTATTGAATGATGTATTTTTTTATTAGCCATTCCTTGTTCATTGGCATACGTCAATTATAACGTTCGATTCAGGACTTTTTCAGGTTCTGCCTGATCTGAGCATACCCGGAATTTTTATCTCTCAAAGATCCATATCCGGATATAATTATTGAGATGTTTAAAATTAAGGGCCGACCGAGCCAAGGAAAGATTTTCTTATCTCTTCGAAAAAACTCATCTGACTTTTTGCAGGTCAGTGTCTCAAGGCCCCAAACAATTATCGCCTTAGTAAACATTCGTAACATGTATTGACCTGCCTAAATTTATGAAATAGGATAATTTTTAAAATTATAGAAATATTTAGATCCACTTAGAACCTGAAAGAAGTTTACAAACTAATCTCATTATATTTTTTTAAAGAAAAAAATGAATGCTAATGTTCTTTACACATTGTGATAATGTGTAGCGCATTATTCTGTTTATAGTTGTTTTTTATTTTACCTTACTCTACCTCCAAAGCGAACAAAATTTTGAACCGGATGTATTGAAGCCCTCGGCGGACAGATCTAGAAACCGGAACTAGATCTCAGAACCCTCTTTCAAAATTTTCAGGGACCCTTTCTGGAATCAATTATTGCAAGTAATTTAATGTGTACTTATATTATTTCATTTTACTTTACAAGAGAACGAAACTGGAAACTCAGAACCCATAAAACCTCTTCAACTTTAAGAATCAAGCGGATAAATCTAGAAGCCGGAACTAGAACTTGGAACCTTCTTTCAAAATTTTTAGGGCCCTTTCTGAAACCTATTCACGTAAGTAAATTTATGTGTATACCTATATTATTTAATTTTACTTCATCAGAGTACGAAACCGGAAACTCAAAACCCTCGAAACCGCGTCAAATCTAACCGAAAATCTACAATCCTTTTTTTTATTTAGTCCAGGCTCAAAAGTCCGATTTAAGACATAGCAAATCTGTGTTTGAATTATTATTTTTTTGCCAGAGTCAGGTGATTAGTTTTGGCTTTTAATTTTTCACAATTTGTTTCCAACAAAAAAATTTATAAATGATAACTTAGATTTTTATTATTTTTTTTAAAAAAACGACTCCATAAAAAAATTATTTTTTTTGGTCCTTGTAGAATACTGTAGCCTAATAGTGCGCATGCGCATAAATTAGCGTTTTACGTTTTGCCGTAATTTTTTAATAAAAAAACGTAACGCGTCCCTTGTTTAAATTGAAGTTGTCTTTTTTATTAATATCCGTCGATTCAAAATTTTAAATAAGTTCTAAAAAAAAAGTTTTTAACTTAGAAAATTATATTATATCGTCTGCGTTCTTATTTCTTTAATTTTCTAAATTATTCCCTTTTTTAGGATTATAAGTAAGTTATTTCACTTGTTTAAATTGAGATTGTCTTTTTATTAATATCCGTCGATTCAAAATTTTAAATAAGTTCTAAAAAAAATGTTTTGACTTTGATACTATCGTCTGCGTTCTTATTTCTTCTATTTTCTGAATATTCCCTTTTTTAGGATTTATAAGTAAGTTATTTTATATTACATTTTATTATATAATATTACAAAGCGAAGAATAAAAAACAGTAATGAAAAAAACAAACCTATTTGCGTTTTTTTTAAAATGGTTGCTAACGCCAAACGGTAATTTTACCAATTTGCACGAGGCCATTCGAAATGCATTATTTACGCTTGCAACGCAGCGTTTGAAGCGATACTACAATATTATTATTTTAAAAACCAAGATTATTTCTCCATCTTATAATTCCTTTTTTGTTTTGTAAATTTTTAAAATTTTATATTAATAATATTGATATTGGTATAATTTTTTAAAAAAAGATATAACACTAAAATATTAGAATAACTATTTAAAAATATATAAAATTACTAAATAAAAATATATATTAATAGTATAGAAGGCTCTAAAAAGAGCTTAATTTAATAATGAAAATGTACCTAAAAAAACAAGTATAATTGTGTTTAAAAATTTCCAATTGAAGTTTTTGTTTAAGAAATGGAAGGTTTATTTATTATTTTTATATTTTTTTTCAAAAAGAATTCAATTAAATTTTTATATAAGTTTTTTTAATTTAAAAAATAAAACATGAAACATTTTTTTTAAAAAAAAATAATAAAATAATAATTGAAAAATTGAAGCATCAAAACTATGATGAAGAAATATCGAAAAATTGAAAAAATATTTTTAAAAAAAAAAAATTAGAATATTAAAAATAAAATGATAATAAATAAATTGAAATCGATACAAATGATTTTTTTAAAAAAAAATGTAACTTTTTGAAAAAAATAAAATAATTTTTCATAAATTTGTAACTACTTTTGTTTTAAAAGATTATCATTTTTTGAATATATTTGTTTATGAATAAATTATCAATCTAGGAAAATATATATTTTTTATTGATAAAATAACTTTATTGGCTAACTCGATGGAAACCTGAATGGCAAAAAAAAATTTTCTACCTATTCCCTAAACGTAATATAAAAAAAAATTCTAGAATTTAATATCATTTTTACCGCTAATAAACGGTTTTTTACAAATGCTATTTATTATCGCGACAACATCGGGGAACCTAGATTCATTCATACACAAATCGACTCCGGCCTTCATATTCTACCACTTTTACGCCATTTTTTTAAATCTCGTTATACCTACTTCAAATACCTTCTTCAAATCGGAGGACAAAAATAATTTGCCCATGATAGAATGTTATTCTTGTGGCTATTATCCGGGATGGGCCCCTAGCTTATTGAACAGAGTTATTAATGCAATAGAATTGAGTGACGTTAAACTTGATAACGCCGAAAAGTCACTCTCACCGCGCAACGCTAAAAACCTTAGTTACACTTCAAGAATCTCGACAAGAAAGGAGCGAACCAAAGCGGTAAAAGAGATAATCTCATGTTTCCACACGGAAGAGGAAAATGATCAAAGGGTTGATTCTTCCGTAAACAAAATGTATGGTTATTCTAGCAAAAAGCCGTGTACTTTCTATAAAAATGGGAAAACTTTGAAAAGTTATCTGGAAAATTCTAGGTATAAAAGGCAAGTTATCAATCGAAGAACCATCGATAGCAAAAGTTGCAATGGGTTTTGTGCGGTAAAATTTTTATTTTTAAAAACAGATTGGATAAAAAATAAATTGATAAAAATTTACTTATTTTTATTTTAAAAAAATGTTAAATAACTTTTTTTGTGGACACCAAAATTTCAATCAATTTCTAATAGATATAATTCTGTTTTTATATGGGTTTTTTTCCAATAAAAAAAACATAAAAAACAAACATAAAAAAATAAATATAAAAAACAAACATAAAAAAACAAACATAAAAAAACAAACATAAAAAAACTAACATAAAAAAACTAACATAAAAAAACTAACATAAAAAAACTAACATAAAAAAACTAACATAAAAAAACTAACATAAAAAAACAAACATAAAAAAACAAACATAAAAAAACAAACATAAAAAAACAAACATAAAAAAACAAACATAAAAAAACAAACATAAAAAAACAAACATAAAAAAACAAACATAAAAAAACAAACATAAAAAAACAAACATAAAAAAACAAACATAAAAAAACAAACATAAAAAAACAAACATAAAAAAACAAACATAAAAAAACAAACATAAAAAAACAAACATAAAAAAACAAACATAAAAAAACAAACATAAAAAAACAAACATAAAAAAACAAACATAAAAAAACAAACATAAAAAAATAAACATAAAAAAACAAACATAAAAAACAAACATAAAAAAACAAACATAAAAAAACAAACATAAAAAAACAAACATAAAAAAACAAACATAAAAAAACAAACATAAAAAAACACGCTTATCATTTTAACGAAATTTCGAAACAGCCCGCAATAATTAATTTATATAATAAATTTAGCAAAATTATTTTTTTTCTATAATTCAATTTAATTAAATGAGCATGTTAAATGAAAAATTTCATATAAATATATTCTTAGATTTAAAATCTTTACAAGGAGATTAATAATTTATAAAAAAAAAATTCCTGACAAAAAAAACACTATTTATCATCTCCCCCTACCTCCCCCCCCAATTAAGAAAACTGAATTTTTTATTGCTGGACATTTATATCTTGCTTTTAAGAAAAGATTTTAGCTTTGGAAGTAGTTTTAAAGAGAAATTATTTAGTCTAACTCTAGGGAGGGATTGGGTGAAATAAATGACATATAATAATACCTAGACTGACGATGCACTTATTAAAAGTGAACATCAATGAAAACTGCAGGGGACGCCATTTTAGTTACTCATAAATTAAAATTTTTAAACTAGGGTCCAATTTATTCCTAAGTCACACGCAAACTTTAAGAATTACTGGATCGTCGAGATAATAAGGAAGCAAATTATCAATTTAATAGTATATTTTTAACATGACAATTAATATGGGTTACCAAAATGGCGGGTCCAGCTGATTTGCATTAAAGGAGCTTTCGTCAGTCTAGTTATCATTATATGTCATTGGGTGGAATCTAGCAGCTTTTATTTTACTTTTAAAAAAAAGTATTTATTATACTGTCTACCGTCCATTTTTGTTAAAATAAAAAAATCATTTTATGCAAAATTGGTTATACTAATTTTAGCAACGCATAATGGAACAGACAAATTTGAATAACATTTAATTCCTAAATTCGGCCAAATATACTTAACTAATTTCAGTGAGGCTTAGGACTGGGGGTTTTATAAAAATACAAAATAATGTCATAAATTTTCCTTATATACAATTCATAGTTTACGGAGTAGCGTGTGAGGCTCAGAAGCCAGATAGCTAAGCTGGAAAACTGCATTATGCGAATTTGAATGACAGTTTTTTCCTCCGAAATAGGCTATAGATATATTTAAACATGGATCTTATTGAATTTTGATATAATTTAAGCATTGCATAACAGACAGCTTTATGTTGACCGACGTCGTATGTCATTATTACTCCAAGGGTAGAAGAGAAAGTGAGTGGTACTTTGAAAGTCCTTAACTTTAGAAAAAAAAGTTATATATTATAATGTTTTAGGTTTTAAGAGCGTGCGAGCGTTAAATGTATCCAATCAAGACGCAGCTTTCAGATCGTTCCCTCAATTATTTAAGAATGTAGAGTTATTGTTGAGCCAATTTAACAATTTCCCTTTTTTTAACCAAATTGAAAAATATCAACTGCTTTTGGCAGACGAGATTTGTTCATATTTAATAAAAACGAAACAACAACTTGTTTTTATGAATAAATTTTTTTTCTTATTATTTTTTTTTGTTCAAAAAATAAACAGGGTAAAAATATAAGAATAAAGAATTTAATTAAAAGCCTTAAAAAAATATTTATGACGGAGAGTTCTAACGTTATGCTAATTTCATGCCTATTGTATTTATACTTTATTATAATTATTCATCAATGGCGTCCATCAGACTGTGAATCATTTAGGTATATAGAGAAGAGAAGAGAAGAGAAGAGAAGAGAAGAGAAGAGAAGAGAAGAGAAGAGAAGAGAAGAGAGAGAGAAGAAGAAGAGAAGAGAAGAGAAGAGAAGAGAAGAGAAGAGAAGAGAAGAGAAGAGAAGAGAAGAGAAGAGAAGAGAAGAGAAGAGAAGAGAAGAGAAGAGAAGAGAAGAGAAGAGAAGAGAAGAGAAGATTAAGAAAGAAAATAAAAATCAATTTTTTTTATTAAAAAAGATTATTATATAAATCCTGCCTAGAAAATGTTAGGTGCCGAGCACATTCAAATGGGCAGATAATTTGAGCCGCGTGTTAAATAATTTTAGTCTAGTCAGCTGACTGCAAATATTGATCAATATATAGTTAGAGCTTCCATTTTTTTCCCCCTTCTCGGCATAGCTATAGTTTGTAGCGCAGCATAGTTTTTTATAGGCAAGTCTAACTTGTAGTAAGTCCGGCTATCTCCTCATTATAGCTGCGCCCAATTGCTTACTATAATACTGGTTCGATGACTCTAAGGGATGCTAAATTACAACTTCAACTAATTCTTTTTTTATAAAATTTATAACCAATTTTGCTTTATTAATTATTGTTTACTACAAAAGGGGGTTAAACAGTTAACCTTGCATGCACCGCTATCGTGAAATAGCGGCAAAGTAATGTTTGTTTAAAGGTTCGATTTAAAAAAAAAGGGCTAATCCGATATTTTAGACAAAAAAATATAATGCAAGCCTGGAGATTTTGCTCATAAATGGCAAGAATGGTTTGGACATTTATTAACGAAATCTTATTAAGTAATTTTGGAAAAGCCGTTTTTAAAAATAGGGCCGTTTAGCAACACCACTGCAAAAAACTTGTGGATGAAAGATTAGCATTTTTAGCAAGTTGCTTGGTTCTGCTATTTTATACATCTTTTTTAATAGAGATGCCAATCATTGGTCAATTCTCATTATTCTTCCATTTTTTTTTCAAATTTACTATTTATTTTTCTTTGAAAAAAAAACAAAAAAAAGAAAATCAATTTTAAAGATTCTATGGATACATGGGTGACGGCTAAAAGTTGTCTAAAATATTGCGACGAAAGTCAAGAAGGTACATAGATATATTTTTATGGGTTCGGACCAAAGTTAGCTAATTAATTAGACAAATTCATATCATTATCGTTAAAAAAAAATCCTTAAAAGTTGTACGAAATATATTTTAACTGACATGCTGATTTACGGGCATGGCCGAAAAACGCGCATAAAATACTTTCACTTATTACCAACCGCAAATAAATGTCTTACAGGGACGAGATTGGTAGGAACAATTTGTCATTCATTCACGAAGGTCGAGATGAGGGCGTAGAGAATGAAGAAAATGATTTTTGGGATTGGTGGGGCAAGGGAGATAATCTTAGGGTTATCTCTTGGAATCATTTTTTTTACGTGATATCTTTTTTATGTTACTAGGGGATCTAGAAGAACAGAAAAAGAGAAAAAAAACAAGGTTGAAAATTATTTTAGCGAAATTTTGAAACACTCGCAAAATGAGATTTAAAAATAGATTTCATTTCAATTTGCACAAAATGTTTCTTTCTTTATTTCTGAAAGAATTTGAAAAATTTCCAAATAAATATACTTTCCCATTGCAAAAATCTTGAATATTTTTTGTTTAAAGAACAAGAAAAAAAAACAGGTTTTCATTTTTGATCCCCTTTATTTTCAAAAAAATAAATAGATTAACTCTAACTGATAGTTTAGATGGTTAACCTAAACATATTGTTATAATAATTTGAAGATTAGTTGTCTAGTTTGTAATGAATGTATATTCTCTAATTTTATTTTTATTTTCATTTATTTCAGATGAAATAGAACTGTATTGCTGTAACGATAAAGACAAATGCAATTCTGCTTACAAGATTCGCTGTCCTAGCATCTTATTAAAGGCGTTTCTCCTAGCATATTTATTACGAAGGGGGTATTTAATTTTTTAAAACTTAATATCTACCTTTTAATTAATAAAAAAATATTTTTAAAGTCAAATTATTTTCAAATAATTTTATATTTATTACTCAAATTGTAAAGTTATATATATATATTATACTATATGTAACCTTTCGTAAATTAAATGATGGCTTGTCCATCCAAAAAATGTGTATTATAAAAATATATTTTTTGATATAAATGATAACGAAATATTTTGGACATAAAATATATGATTATTGTATAAATGTTGGTTAGAGTTTATGCATAGACTGCGATAACTTTATCAACAATAAAATATTAATGTTATATTTCCTATATATGCTATGAGGTGGAAAATATTTACCATTCATTGTCATATCATATACATCACTTAAATTATCGAAGTCATAGAGAGGAATCATATTTTAAATTAAATGATTCACATTATAAAATAGAGAATAAATTTAAATAATTTTAAATTTGAGACTTTTTTTTTCCTTTATAAATTATTCATTTTTAAAAAAATTGTGGTTATATACGACAGGCCTAGATCTAAAATTAATTGCTTATCAGAGCCTCAGACAGGCGCGGATAGAAAAAATCAATTGTGCGAAGTCTAACGTATTTTCAATTATGTGTTAGAGTATCTACCATATGAATTTCCGACAACTTTGCCACGTTCTGGCGTTTTTATTAAAATTATTTTGGAAGAAATATGAACTTGAATTTTGGCTTTTATTTTTTCTTCATCAGATTAAAAACGTGTAATATCCGCCAAAAAACTTTCAATGCGCTTTCCTTTCTCAACTCGTGTTTTTTTCATTCTAATATAGTTTAATAAATTATTACGTTTATAAGTTTACAAATTTTATTTTAAGGATAGATGATATCGAATGAGAACTCAGATGTTAAGGTATTTTAATTCCACGATACATTCTGGTATTTAATGCCTAATAAGGCTTTCCACGATTGATTAAATAAATAAAAAAAATATATATTTAAAAAGCTCGTAGTGAACCAAAAAATGTAGACCCTTCAGAGTTCGGTTATTGATAGGTACTAGCTAGAGCGGAATCTATTAGGTTGGTATTTTGTTTATTTTTTGGCTAGTCACTGCCAAACTTATTTTTAATATATATATATTTAAAAAATCGTGATTTTCGGAAAGCGTCTTTGGCCGAGTAGATAAGAGCGTCGTGCCAATCCGATAGAGACCTTGGGGTGGGGGTGATATATAGGAGATCGGACTCGGCCAGGTGATTCAGTTAATATATATTAAATAATAAGTAGATTTTATTAAATTTTAATAAATTTATCTCGGTATTTAGCAAATTAGGTTGTTATTTAGAAAAATTGCTACATGTTGACTTGGCAGTATTAACCACAGAATCCTGACGATGATTGACTATCGACATTTTTCGGCACAATAGGTAAAAACATTAAATATTTCCAATAAATTTCCAGAAAAGACATTTATTTATCAAGGAATTGCAATACAACTACATCCTATACAGGTGGATTTTGGTAGCAAATTAGGTTTGTTTAAACTATAAAAACATTTTTTGCTTATTACAAGGATCAAAATTTTAAAAAATAATTCTTATTTAAAAATTAATAGAAAAATTTTAACTAACAAGTATTATAATTTAAATCTTATATTATTATTACAAAAATAAAAGATATTAATCCAAAGGATAAACATGATGTTATTATTTGTCATGTTATATATTTTAAAAATACATATCTATTTTTTAGATAAGAATAAGCAAAAAGGTGTTCACGAATTCGAACACGTTCCTTATCTTTTGGCGAGTAAAATTTGAACCGTGAAAGTATTTAAAAAAATTTCCAAATGAATGACGAATTCCTTTTTTTACAAAAAAATTCAAAGCCTAAATCAAAAGATCCAATAATTGAGTTCAAGCAAGCTATTTCATATTCGTAGCCTGAAGAGTTTTTCGGCAAATCATGGTGCAGTATATGAATGGGAAAACGATTAGAAAAGGGAGCTTCTACGTTTTGACCAGGTGATAACTGTACCAGCAATTTAGGTGGTGCTTGATAAATACCATGATCTAGATGGGGAAAAATTAAAATGTTGGGTATAAGTTTGTGAGCTTGATAAAAAGGGTGGAAAAGAAGTCGCAACCATGGTTGTACCAAACCTTGTTAGCTTCGTTTCCTATAAGGTAATATAGAACGCCTATTGAGTAAAGCTTCTAATTGAGAACCGAACCTTAGATACATGAGCATGCGTGGTACATAAAATAATACATATTTATTAGTGAACCTCCTCCCCCCCCCACCCCGGCGCATTACTTGAGTATAGTTGTATAGCGTCGAACATTATTGATTTTTATTTGGTTTTATAAAAATATTTGTAGTAACTAAATAATCCTTACATAGAAAAATCGTTACTTTCGAGTGACGCGTATGGCTTAGAGTGAGACCTTAATTGAAGCACTATGAGCTTCGATCATTAGATATATATCAAGGCATGATTTGGATGATATCCGTTAATATATTAAGATAGGTTTTATTACAATTTAACAAAATTTAGGCGTTGTTTACCAAAAAAGCAAATTCTTAATTTTTTTTAAAAAATCGTTCTGGTTCCGGTATGCGGTTTCAAGTGTTCCTTAACCAATATTTCCAAATAACTCGCACTTTTTTAAAACCGTTCAGATACCGGTTTCCAAAAATTTCTAAATTGGTTCCGGTTTTTAGAAGAGAATTTCATTTCCGCTTTTATTCAAATTTAATTTTTCCAGCCGGGTAGGATTTGAAGACCCGATCCCGGCCCAAATATTCATTTTAAGTTCAAAACCGGTCCTTAAAAATATGATGCACCTCAAGTTGCCTAACCCGACGCAATTTAGGTCTCCCGACTTTAAATAGGAAATGGCGATCTTTTACGTTCAAACCCACTTCGAGATTTAATCAAAAGAGGGCTAAAACCTTATGCAATATCTCGTGACTTAAAAAAATATTTTCCTGACTATAATTTTGATTTATCCATTTACATTTATCAATTTTTTTTCTTTTAAAAAAAATAATATTAAACAACACTATTATTATAAATATGTAAATTTTGTATCAATAATATTTGTTTCCATCGTGGTTAATATATAATGTATAAAATACATTTTAAAAAATAAATAAAAATAATTATACTAAAACACCATTTATATATAAAAGTATTCTCTTGCTGCGACTTATATGTAAAATACGAAAATGATTATGGGTTATATATATATATATTTTGATAATTTAAAAGAATTTTTATCTAGTATTTATAGTTTAGGTAAAGCTAGGAAGGATAAAATCGCTTTCTGCTATAATAGGTATCTGTCTCCCAAAGGCGGTTAACGGAATATTACAAGAACGCCCCTCCATATTAAGCCCCCGCTTTCCTTTCGAGTCAAAAGAGCCCTCCTCAACACCCATCAACAGTTTAAGCATTCTGATTTCGAATATGTGCGGCCAGTGCGAGTAATTGGGCAGAAAGGTTTCGTTTTGTTGATCGACGTTCCCTTCATTGTGATGGACAGTCAGGGGACTTTGAACGACATTATCGGCGGCACGATCTCGGTCGAGATGTTTGAGCCTCCATTCTTTGTCGCGTTTTTTGTATTCCCTTTCGAGCGCCTCGCACTTTTCGTGATATTTTAGCAAGGTGAGTTGATGGTCTGCGCTATCTTCCTTATATTCGCTCGATTCAGAGGGTCGAAGTTGGGGAGATGATCGAATATCTGTCTTATTACTTAATATTATATTTTGTTTTCAAGATGTAATAAAGAATAACAATTACAAATTTCGATCTTTCTTTCTTACAGGGATGTGAACCCGAACCCTGAAGCCTCGTATTTTGGCTGTACTCGAACTCGGACCCCTTTTAAAAGTGGAGGGTCTAAGGGTTCTAGACATAAAAAAAATTTAGAAATAAAATATTTTAAATATAAAAGTCTAAAAAATAATCACTTTAAAACTATCATTGATAAAGAAAGCATGGGATGTTGCAAAATATTTAAGAACTCCCAGAATTGTAAGAATATTATAATCAATGAAAAGGTCAGTGGCAATATTAGATTGCACAACAAGTTTTGGTCGTCAATTTGTATGATGCTAGAACGATTATTAAGTTTGAAAGATTTCTGTAATGATTTTATAATAGGAGCATGCAAGTCATTTTGTCGGAAGATGATTGGTACCAAAAGTTCCTTTAAAAATAACAACATTAAGATAACAATCAGAACAATTATGTTTATCTGTGGTATATGGATTAGATGCCGATAAGATTTAGAAAGATTTACTAATCCTTTTTCATACAAAAATATTAGAAAACATGAAAATTCTAAAGCAATAATATTTGCAAAATAGTGTTGTATATATGCTTCTATATATTTAAACTCTCGATATCAAGTTTTATTGAGTATTGAGCAAAACCAAATGGCTAAAGACCATCTTAAGTATTTATGGCATATGCAAAACTTCATTATTTAATATATATTGGAGGTTACGATACCTATTAGTTGTAGTGATAACAATTATAATGATAGCAAACATTGATGATCTTGAAATTTTACTTTTAGTTAGAGAAAAAAAAATCAAATTATCATCAGATAGAAAGGAGGATCAAAAAATATCTATTGCATCTTTTATAAAGTTCTCAGAAGTTAAGAGAATAAAAAGGATACAAATATTTTAAGATTTTGGGAAGAAAATTCTTCAATATATCCAGAATTATATATCTTGTTTAGAATTGTCATAGCTGTACTAGCAACACAAGTACAATAATTTATGTATTATAAAGATAACTATCTATTTTAGGTAAGTGTAGAACGCGGATTTTCATCTTTGAAATATATATTGTCTAATGTGGAAATCTCAAAGATGATATTTTAGAAGATATTATGATTGTCTGATCAAATAAAACATTTAAAATATAAATTATTCATTTAAAAAAATTTTATTTGTAAATTATGAATGTGAATATATTGAAGTATAATAATAAATGAATGAAAAAAAAGTCTTATTTTAAGTCATTTTTTATGTTCCCTGAACCTGGACCCAACCCTTTAAATTTTATTACTGTACCCAAACTAAGACCCTTTTTTTGTCAAAAAGTTCACATACGTGCTTTCTTATCTCTTTATGAAAGAAAGAAACTTAAAAATATTATGTTCAAATCAATGGACGATTCATTAAAATGAATTTTGAATAGTCAAAGAATACAAATCAGCTGGTGACATGCCATTTTGATTTTTGGCAAAAAAAATTTTTTTTTTAAATGTTTTAATAATTTTGTTTTTAATTTAATTATTAAAAATAACTGTCAGCAAGGCATCAATTTTTAACTAGTTTAATTGATAAAATTAAAAGGATTTATTAAACTGAGGTTTTTTTCAAAATTAAAAATTATTGGAACTGAACTTAATTTTAAAAATCATAGATTTAACAACCTCTACAAAATATTAAAGTGAAAATAATTTTCCACAATTAAATTACAATAAGAGCCCCAAACGGAATATATTTTTTACCTTCGATTTTTATTTCTTCCAACTTTTTTAGAAACTTTCTTTAAAGAAATTGGAAAATCTTTGTCAATGCTCCAGCCTTTGACATCATACCCAGGGATTATGTGCTGGCTTGCCAATTCATTTTCACATTCATCACTGGTTGGGAGATGGTTTGTGATATTGTAACTATGATTATTGAATGGACTACGAAGGGAGTTAGGATTGGGATTGTAGAATGAATGAGCAAATTTATTGACATATTTATTCCTAAAAATCTCGTAGATTTGATTTACATATAAAAGGGAGTCAAGATGATCTATAGAGCAGCATTTTTTGTTTGTGTGAGGGGAAACATTTTGCAGTACATAACATAGTATGGTTGATATAGAGGGAGCAAGATTAGGATCTGTGTAATTCATATCATTAGCATTGTATATGAGGGATTTTGATTTGTCAATTGTGTAATTTGGTAAAAGTGTGGGAGATTTTGGTGATGAATCATTTATCTCTTTATTTTGCACACTTTGCAAAATATTCCTTTTTTTTAACTTGATTCTTCTAATCTTCTTAATAATCATGGGTTTATTATCCAACAGATATATATTTCCCACTAAACTCTCAGAAGATTCTTTTTTGATATGATTTAAATTCTTTGGTAGTCCAATTTTATTGAGATTTTTGCTTCTTAATTCTATTTTGGTCTTTTTTCTAGCATTCTCATCTTTGGTATTTACCTTCTTTCTTTTAGGTGTTTTATCATTGGAGAATTGTCCATCATCAAATTTAGGCTTCATCTTTCTAAAATAAATAATAAAGAAGGCTTTGTCTGATAACTGAAGTGAGTATTTAAAAATAATACAAAAATATAAATTATTGCAATTAGATAAGCATTTTGTTTTTATCCCAATACTAATATATTGAGAAGAAGGATTGTAAACTATCTAATAAAATAATTATTACTTAGTTAAATTTTTAAAAAAATTGATTTTCTTTACGTATATGTTGAAAATAAATTCATCTCATTGATAGCACATGTCATAAATAGTTAGGTTATTTCAACGAATTATGTCAATCATATCAGTGAAGTACTTCGATAGGTAAATAATATATACAATTTTAAATGTATAAATACTCATAATTAATATTCGATAATTCTCTTGAAGTTGGACCAGAGCTAGGTAAACTACAAGGGAGGACACTACATTTGAATACCTTTCTATGCATTATAGAATATACTTGGGTTGATAAGAATTATTTGAATAATGTTCAAAGAAATACACAGACTTTTTCTAAACATTATATAGGATATAATTAGTGTTATATATATATTTTATTTTTTGCTTGAGCCGATCCAGCTAATCGACACAAAAGACCCAATGGATCGGGTTGGGTCGTAGTCAATTTTTGAACCTGGCTCTTTTAACAGTCCATTTGGGTTCTGGGTCGAAAAAAACCAACCATTTAACAACACTACTCAATCATGGCATGATTTAAAACATTTTAGTTTAATTTACATTATTATTTTATTATCTACGATATTAATTGTCTGCGGACTAAATTATTATCAATTTATAATTTTAATACACAAATCTATTTTTTTTCTTTCTTTTTTATACTAATGTCCTTTATTTTTAAATTAAAAATATATATAGAAATAAAATTAATATTAAAATTAACATATCAAATATAAAATAAAATAAAACAATATTAAATAAAAACGGAGGTGGGACTACAAGTTCCCAAAAAACATGAGTAATTATATTTTAAAATAGTGATTTGAAGGTTTTGTTTTAAAAAATAGAATTCTTTTGGTTCTGATGTAAGGGCTCTTGTCTTATCCCCTATATTTTTAAGAACTTTAAAGTTCCGCTTGGCATATGTCCAAGGGAAGAAATAACGGTGTAAAAATATAATTTCTGAATATGGAATATTTCATTGTTTATTTTTCTCGGTTATATCAACCGGATTAGAATTTAATTTTTTTGGGAAATAAGATACCATGTGAAGTCCCAAATTAAGGATTTCCCTAAAGACCAAGGCACGGAACTTAAGCCATCTGGTCTTAAGCCATCATCTAATGATAGATTTGTAGGCTCCAGGATGTTTGGTATTCGGGCTTTGTAAAGAGAACGGCTAATAGCTAAATTAATTGCTGCAAGCCTTTCATGCCTGCCTTGACTATATATACAATTTAGACCATGTCTCCCTTTGGAGTCAACTAATATTTTACATTTGATACATTTTTAATTAAAGGTTCGAAAATAGATTGGTATGTTAAGATTGTGGGTAAGACAACTTCAGGTGGGGCTAAAGATACCCAGGCTGTCAAGGCTGAGTATAAAAGGTTATCTTTAGGAGAGATAAAAGAAGATATCATGGCGTTATTCATCAAACGCGATGCCAAAAATGAGGAAAGAGATATAAGATTATAAATTTAAACCACCCATTTTCGAGGGTAATTGTGAGAAACCCCAATTAAAATCTTCCAATTTAATATTTAAAATATTTTCTAATAAACTTTTAAAAAATTCATGAACACGATTAATAATTTCATTATTTAAAAAAAAAGCAAGAAGATCTAAAAATATGTAAAATCTTTGGTAAAAATAAATATTTTTTAAAAGAAAAAAGCTCTGGTGTGAAGGAATTTCGTTAAGATAGTTTCAAGTCCTAATAAGCCTCGAAAAATTTTTCCACGTACACCTCACAGTTGGAAAAACTGAAGATTAATTTCACTTTTTTTAATGATTTTAAACCGAGTATTTGAATTTAAAAAGCATATTTCCGATTTAGCTTTATTTAGAGTAAAGCCTATGTTTAGAGAATTATTCTATATATATTCTATCGCTGGAAGAATATTTTTAAAAGGTCCAGTACCATCTAGTGTTGTTAAAGGGTTTGTTCAATACTTCACTTATACGCAAGCCTGAAGATTTTGCTCATAGAAGGAACAAAGGTCCATATATATATTATCGAAATCTCAAGGCTTAGGCTATATTTTTCTGGCTAAAATATTGAGTTAGCCGTTTTTCGGCTCAAAACGAGGCGTTTAACAACACTAGTACCATCATCTAGATACCATATGTTTAAATAAGAGGATTTTAGACAATAAACTAGGTTATGTATGCCTAAACTATAGATCAGAGGGCCCAGAGGGTCTCCTTGTTGAATACCTTCGTCAGAAGGAATTGTTTATTCCCGAATTTGAGAGGGGTTCTACAGCCATAAGACTGTTCAATAAATCTTGCATAAACTGGGAATTTTTCACAAAAAATATTCAAAAATGCTTTTCTGGATAAAAAATTAAAAGCATTTTTAAAATCAAGCTTACAGACAACGACGTCTGGATGAGGATCTTCGATATATATGCGAAGAGAGTGAGCGGCTATTTCGCATCCCCCTTTAGTACCAAAGCCTAGTTGATATGTTTGGAACATTTTTGAAGCATCAGGTTTGATGCGCTCAACGATTATCTTAGCTAATAGTCTCCTAAAAAAAGACCCTATTGCAATTACTCAAAGCAATTAATCTTGCGCCAAAAAGAATTTGGTGAACTTGACTAGGTAAATAAGTTCAATATATTTTCACTAAGTATTACCAATGAATTTACAAATGAATCTTGATAAAGATTTTTAGGGTTAATTAAAAATTGGAAATAAGAGGGGCGAAAACCGTCAATTCCTCCTGCAGAGTTTTTATTAAAAGATAAAACTGTTTTAATTAGTTCTTCCTTACCTATTTCAATTAAATTAGATTTTATAGGGATGGGAATCAGGAAAAGCCTGAGGGTGCAATTCTTTTAATAAAGTAAAAGTATGTTCATCAAATGGAGCCAATTTATCATTAGATGAAGCTAATTTAAGAGCTCCACATACCCTCCCTTGGTCTATTTTTTTTATATAATTTTGCATTTATGGGCAAAATTAGATGTAGCCCTTACATCAGGAACGTAATTTTCCATTTCTAAGTCATAAAAATGGTCTATTTTATATTTTATACATTCATGCAAAATAGTTTTTTATTTTTATCTGTAGGTTTAATTAAGACTTGAAAAGGAAAGGTTAAAAGATTCTGACAAGCTTTAAGGGAATTTATATTTGAATTAACTTCCATAATAAGTGTTGTTAAAAACTTAGAAATTAAAGACCTTGATTTAAGGGGTAGATGGATTAAGGTTGGTGGCTTTTCCCACTTTAAAAAATTATCATAAAAATCAGGATAAAAATTTTGAGTTACAATGGGGGTTGTTTCAATTTTGTTGTACAAAATTTTATTTGAAGGGGGGTTTACCAGAGTTTATACATGGTTTTGACCTGGGCCCATGTTTATAAAAACAAATATTTCGTTATTTAAGAGGAATCATGTAATATACTCTTCAAATTATTATAGCGGATTTAAACAAAACTTTTCTTTTATTTATATTTCCAAAACAAAAACTAAAAATTATAAAACAAACTTTTTCTTTATATAAACACAAAATCAATCATCATAATAGAAAAAAAAAACTTTATTATAATACATTCGATTAAAATCAAATTATTAATGCGTCCTTTACCATTATATATATATCTTTATTTATCTATATTATTAAAATTTTCTAACCACATACAACATTTATCACTTACTTGAATAAAGGACATCTTTACATTTTATTTTATCACTTAATTAAATTCAGTTTGAAATAAAGAACAACTTTTTATTATTTTATTTTCGTTTCGCATAACCTAAATTGATAATTATTTTATTCTTTTTATATATATTGATTTAGATATATAAAAGCCATTTTTAAATTTTAGAGATATATATTTTGTAATGTGAAAAGTTATAGCTATATATTTAAAATCTGACTTGATGACAATTATAGATTTTAAATACATTATTTAATAAAGATAAATCTGTTCTCTAATCACCATCAAATTCTCTCGTAAAATGGCAATTAGAGAAATAGACTTCTAAAAAATTTCCTAATAAATATATTGATAATTGGGTATACGTTATTTTTAAGCCAAAAATTTATAAACGGTTATTCTATAAATGATATCCCTTATATTTAATAATTGAAGTAATTATTTGAGCTATAGGACCATATATTTTTCGAACATACATAATTATGTTATAAACAAACGCTTTCATTAACGTATTCGTGATTAAAATAATTTTTTTAAATACAGGGTAAAAAATGGACCTTTGATTTTAGGGGAGCAAATATATGAATGATAATATAACTTATTTAATATTAAATTGATGTTTGAAACGTTATATACATTGATTTTTATTTAATATTAAATTGATGTTAATTTTGTATATATACCAAAAATAATTATGATGACTTTTACTTTTGTTGTTTTTATTTGATCTTAGATGAAAATAAAGAACTAAATTATTAATATTTCTAATCTTCACGGATTCAACATTCTAAAATTGATGATATATTATTAACCTTCAATCTTACGTAGTTATTCAATACAATCGCCCACAATTTATTCTATATTATTTATTCTTGTTCATTAGATTTTAAAGACTCTATTGAGCCACAGCAAAATCGAAAAGTCTAATCCATAACAAAAGAATTGGCGACAAATTTAGGAGATAATTGTCAATCAAATTTTAGGACAAAAGATAATACATTGAATACCAATAAATATGTGGATTAATGGTCATACATAACACTTCAAACCAATACCACCCTCAGCTCTAAATTTAGAATTAGTTATTAAAAATTATTGCTAAGAGGATGAAAATTTAGAAAAACGATTATTAAAATATTTTTTTTAGATAGTATGATTCGACCTTTCTTTTCAAATGAACTTGAAAGGAAAACGTATTCATTCTTTTGCCAATGAATTATAAACTAGAACGAATGTTTTTTTTTTAATTTTTGAACTAAAATTTATACTAACAATATCATTTATATTTCTTAGAATGTTACCCTTTAGGAGCGCAAGCCCAAATTAAAACTGACATGCTGCCATTATGGAAACCCAAAGAGCTAGAATTGCCCAATTTAGTAATACTCTCAAGAAAAATATTTTCCATCCCGCTAATAGCACCCCGAGCGAAGGTATTTTCCTGCTGCTGGTATAAATGTTCAATTCAAAAATATCTTCATTAGCTACAGATAACTTAGATAAAATCATATTCATGATAACTAAAATGATATATTTTCTGATATAAATTCAATTTATGTAGAATGTTTTTGTGTATCCAATATTATAGTATTCCCTTTTTATAGACAATTTTTCAATCATCTTGTGACAGGCATTGCATATAAGTTGATGATTCAATTCTGTTATTTGTTGAAAATATTTTTCAGAGACCACGGGCCTGGCCGAGCCATATATTTTAAAACCAAATTGAAATGGCCATTATTAGCTATGAAAATCAAAAATAAATAAAATATATTTTTTAAAAAAAACCTCGGGCCGAAAATAATTTTCGAAAAAAAAATTCCGGGCCTGGTCTTACAAATGATTACTCTGCAGGTCTCTGATATTTTTTAATAAACATTTATAAATTTTTATTCATACGCAATGAAAATGCATTTTAGATTCTTCTTAATTTAGTTAGCCAATAAACATATCAGTATTTATCATATTTCAGCGAGTCAATGTGCCACCAGCATAAAAATACATTTAGATTCTTCTTAATTTAGTTAACCAATAAACATATCGGTATTTATCATATTTCAGCGAGTCAATGTGCCACCAGCATAAAAATGCATTTAGATTCTTCTTAACTTAGTTAACCAATAAACATATCAGTATTTATCATATTTCAGCAAGTCAATGTGCCACCAGCATAAAAATGCATTTAGATTCTTCTTAATTTAGTTAGCCAATAAACATATCAGTATTTATCATATTTCAGCGAGTCAATGTGCCACCAGCATAAAAATGCATTTAGATTCTTCTTAACTTAGTTAACCAATAAACATATCGGTATTTATCATATTTCAGCGAGTCAATGTGCCACCAGTATAAAAATGCATTTAGATTCTTCTTAATTTTGTTAGCCAATAAACATATCAGTATTTATCATATTTCAGCGAGTCAATGTGCCACCAGTATAAAAATGCAATCGTGCAACCACCGAATAATATAAGGACGTTTCTCCCAAAATCTGAACTGTCACCTTTTTTATGAAAAAACCTCGAGGCCATGGTTATAGTTTCTGGCAAAATATTTAGTTTAGCTCGCTAAGAATATAGTAATTACACAAAAAATATACTAAAAGGATGAGTAGTTCTAGTAAAATAAAAATTGTGTATGGCTCAATACCTGTCATCGGCAAATCTCTCATCAAAACGAATGTCAATCATATTTTGAAATGAAATAAATATTATGGTTACTTCGAGAGGAATATTTCCAAAACCTAAACGAGAAAAGGATATTTTTGTAACTTAATAATTTTTTTTGTAACGAGAAATCGTAATTACCATTATTCAAAGATTTTAAAAAAAATTCCGGAATAACCTGGGTGAATATTCCTGCTGCACAAATCTCTGATTTTGATAATAGTTTGTTCCAAGTTAATCAACACGTTAAAAAAATAGTTTAAGTGTCAAATAAAAACTAATAAGATTCCACTAAATTTTACCCCGCACACAAAAAATAATGAAAGCATCTATACATCTTTAGTATAAAAAAAATTTATTGTAAAAAAAATATGTAACGATTATTTTTTTGCCACTATTTTTAAATACAATAAAATGCTTTATGTATCGATCACACAATTGATTAATAACAATAAAAAAAATTTATACATGCGAATTTAGAGTAAAATTTATGTTTATATTAAATGAATTTTACTTCTCGCCAGCTCTAATCTATATTTTTTTTAGTGCCACTGCCCAAAGTTATTTGTTGGGTAGTTATATCGAGAATTGATTAGAGCTAGCTTGAAGAATCAGAGTAAAATGAAGGCTTTACTGGGCAGCCTAAAAATTATAATAATGTAGATATAAGTTTGTACAAAACATTTGTAAAATGGGAGAAAAAAAGTATTTTAAAAAAAATTAGAGAAAAGAAATAAAAAGAATATTTTTATTGGATTTATCCGTCATCCTATAATATTTGTTTGAATTTTTTGCAATAAGTATTTCTTTGATGATTGGTAAAACGCGAAAGAGAAAAATTATAAATTCATGCAATATTTCGGTCATATCGATGTTTAAAACGCGTTTAATCGAATAAATTTGAAGCGTTTAAATAATAAATAAATAGAATATACTTTTTTAAAAAAATGAATATTATAAATCACCGAAGATAAATTATTGACAAGTATCCAGAAAATAATAATTTCATTTTTTGTATAATTTTTGAGTTTTGAAAGATATAAAAAAAATATAAGACGGAACAAATAAAAAAAAATGTGAGACGGGGGGGGGGCGATGAAATCTTTTATCACATGAGACAGCATTTGCGTTTTTTCGATTTAATTTTTTTCGTCTTTTTGTCGGCTCCAGTTTGTTGATGCTAAAAAAAATGAAAATATGTTAATAATTGTTCGAGGCAAATTAAATATCATATTAGTAATTAATTGTGAAATTAAAAAAAAATTCTGATCTTGAATATTTTTTCAAAAAAGAAGATTCTAGATTAAGTTAAGGCATTTGATCACGGTTCCTAGACTCTGAATTATTTCTGAGGGTTTTGTAATATCTTAATTGTCCCTATCTCACCCTCATGTATCATTCTCGATCTCTCTTATATTACTCTGCCTTCTCGCGCAATCGCAAGTCGACGATTTCTTAGATGAAAAACTAGATAGAAAGGTGACACTTATAAAGTAATATAAAAATGGTGTCAGAGAATATTTAGGAGAAAATTACTAAATCAACCATTTTGAAAGGAAGGAAAGTTAATAATCTAGAGTAGGGAAACGGCTAAAAAAAAAGTGGCATCAAAGGTGAGACATACGTGAGTCCGAATTTGCCTGACGAGAGTGAAGAAGGCTTCGTCGACTCCCACGCGAGTTTTAGCGCTGCTCTCTACGAAAGGCATAGAGCGTGCCGAGGCGTAATCGCGAGCTAAATTGAGGTCTAATGCGCGGGTCCCTAAATCGCACTTATTTCCTACCACTTATAAGAAGAGGGGGGGGGGGGAAACATTTTTAGAAAAATATTAGGGCTGTGCCGATTCCGATATTGTTTCAAAACCGATCCGATATTGTTTCAAAACCGATCCGATATCGATCCGATATTTTTACTGATTTTTAATCACCCCCGTTTGAACCAAATGTAATTAAGAAATCAATATTTTTTGTGCAAAAAATCGAATTATGAATAATTTAATATTTTTATTTCAACAATTAAGACTATAATAAAAAAATATATATTTAATAATATATCTATTTTATGTTGGAATTATAAAATTGTAATATTTAATATATAAAATTATATTATATTAGATTAGATTTTTTTAATAGATATGAGAGCCTCTAGATTTTCTGGGAATAAGCTTCTACGATATGGACTATCTATATCTCCTGCCGTACTGAAGGCAGACCACCTATTTTGATATTTTTTTCGGTGTTTTGAAGCAATGTTAACTATGGTTGACCTTCACTTAATTTAATCAGATTCCTACAAGCACAGCCCAGAATCTTAACCCATAAAATGGTATGAAATTTTAAAAAAAATTAAACGACCTAGCTAAATACAAAAAATTTTTTTAATGACCACAAATTAACTAGTAGGGAAATATTTATATGACGCGTTTATAAAGATTAATTAAATGCCAAAGTTATTTATCCGGGCCAACCTATTTTTTAAAAAAATTATCCGGCTTTAATTTTTTTTTTTAAGAATTAGCCTGAGATCTAAAAGTTCGATCTATGCATCTATGCAGGGCCTCTGAAGCAATGACATATAATAATACCTAGACTGACGATTAGTGCATAAAAAAGCATCTGAAAGCGTCATTGAATGCAAATCAGTGGACCCGCCATTTTGGTAACCCATATAGTAATTATTTTCATGTTAAAAACTACTATTAAATTGATAAATTGCTTCCTTAATATCTTGATGATCAAGCAATTATTTAATAAAGTTTGCGTCGGATATAGAAATAAATTGGCCTCCCGTTTTTAAATTTTTAATGATATGAGTAATCAAAATGGCGTCCCCAGCTGTTTTTATTGATGTACACTATTAATGAACGCGTAGTCAGTCTAGGTATTATTGTTTGTTATTGCTTTGAAGATAAAAATATTGGGGATGAATTAAAAATATAATTGCAAAATAAAAAAAAAACAACATAAATAATAATCATGTGACTTACACACCATGGGGACATTTTGAGCATCTTTGACACGTTTAATCTGGATTAATGATATAGAGAAAAAAAATTAGAATTATCAACAATCTTATATGATTTGTAGCATTGCGATAAAAGTTATTCGAATATTTATTTAAACCCAAAAAGTCAAAATCTTTCCTCAGAACTTCACTGGTTAGGGGAGGGGCGGGGGTGCATTTTGAGGTTTTCTCCCCAAATTTTTTTGCCACCCCCTAACGAAATATTGCAGATTTCATGTTTCGTGAAATGAATTATAAATAATAAAATATATATATATGTATTTAATACATAAATTAACCTTTAAAAATATATAAATTATTAATAATCTTTCCTAATTTTGTCATTTTTACCAACTATTCATATATTGCCACGATAAAATTCAAATTTTATTTGTCTGAATTCATATTCTGATCCGCTTATTCATGGCTTCCACCACAAAAAAAAATGGCGAAGAGAGATAGAAAATATGTAATTCCCTGTCAAATAATCCGATCGATATGTATATAACCCCTGATCAAAAGGCTTACATACTTTTTTTTTAGTTATGATCATGTCTTTCCCTCTTCATATTTATATAGGTCTTTATAATTCATTAAATTTTATAACCAAAATTCGTTTAGGGGGCTGTGCCGATCCACAATTTTTTTTTAACGTAGATATTCATACCCAAACTGATATTTCGATTTTGTCATCCACATTTTTTAACTAAATGTCTCGAAAATTTTTTTTATTAAATATCTTCCATTCAAAAAATTTGCAAACTATAAAAATACAGAGTAATCAGGCAGATGTGACCCGGACAAAAGTACCCAATATACAAAAAATAAATTTAAATGCTTAAAAATGGAAAAGTAATTGCCCTAATCGTGGTAATTTGTTAAGAGGTCTGTGCAGATCCACACAAATTTTTCACCGATCCGATATTTCCGGATATTACTATAAAACCGAACCACCAATCTTTGAATATCAGTCTCATAAAAAAAAAATTATCAATACTTACTATTCAATAAAGATCCCAACTAACTTTCATGAATGATTCCCAGGAAAGTTAACCTTCTCATATAAAAATATGGGCACATGACTGAATAATTATGTTAAACGACTCACCCGTTTAAACGTCGGCTAAATCGAGCGATTTAACAACACTAACCGAATGCGACTACGTTAGATATTTTTAAAATTCCGTAGATAATTATAACATCCGGTATTTTTTAGCTACAAAAACAACAAATATCGAATAGATTTTTTTCCAAGCTCAATTTTTGTCCAGGACATTTCTGGCCAATCATGTTGTCTAAACGGCTGGATTAAGATATTAACCAGAATAATAGTGCACACAAATTGAGCGTTTACGTTTTGCGGTAATTTTTTGATAAAAAAACATAACGCATAGGTTGCCATAAATATTGTCGATTCAAATTTTAAATAAGGTTTAAAAAAATGAATTTGTCTTTGAAAATCATAGTATCGTCTGCTTTGTCATTTCTTTAAATTCTAAATATTTTTTAAAGGGCTTGATATTTTTAGTACTTTTATCTAGGTGAATTTTACATAATTTTGGGCCTAGATTTCTTTTAGTTATATATAAAATAATATTAAACTCTAAGGCACCGTTTATAGCAAGCGCAAAATACCGCTATGTCGCTCGAGGAATGCCTAATTTACAAATATAGATAAATGCTAAATTACATCGCTATACTATCGTTTAGCGACAAATTATAAGTCGCCTTGAGCGATATCGTGCCTATTATTAACGAGACCTAAGGGTAGTAGAATAGTTTACGTCGTCCGAGTTTCATAGAGTATGCCGTAGGTACTCTAGCCATTGGAATACGATTCCAACATAATTCTTTCCCAAAATTTAAACAAAAAAAACCCACTCAATAAATGTTTTAAGTTTAAAAGATTTTATAAACACCTTACGACATATATGTATTATACTGATTAATAATATATATATATATATACCTGTTCACGATAAGAATTTATGTCTTCGAAAGATTTGGCGTTGTTGACAGCGAAGACTAGGAGAAATCCTTCTCCAGTTCTCATGTATTGGTCCCTCATGGCACTATTCACGTTATATTCATAAATACATACATATATACACATAATAGAATTTAGCATTTTTGATAATAGGAGTAAAGGTGGCCTGGCCCATAGATATTTTTGAAAGGGGTACCTTACCTTCTGTAAAATAAACTTCCCGCTCCTCCCTACGCTTTTGGACTTAAAGCAGGGTGACGCCACTAAATACGAGTTTTTTTAAAAAAATAATAACCCACGCTGCATATTATTTAGGTGGGTTCAATGGCACATAATACCTAGACTGACGATGAATTCATAATAATGTATTTGAAAGCGCCGTTTAATGCAAATCAGCTGAACCCGCCATTTTGGTAATTAATAAAAAAAACTATTAAATCGATAACTTGCTTCCTTGTTATTTCGATGATCAGGCAAAATTCTTTAATAAAATTTGTGTCAGACATAGGAATAAATTGGTCGCCCGTTTAAAATTTTTAATAATGATACGGGTAACCAAAATGGCGTCCCCAGCTGTTTTTCATTTGATGTACACTTTCAATGAATGCATCGTCAGTCTAGGTAATACTATGTCATTGGGTGGGTTATGGTGCTTATGATTCGATCATTCTCGATTAATATTGCGATTCAAAAAAATAAATAATAAAGCAATATTATTGAAATAGAGGCCATATTGAAAATTTAAAATAATAAACGGCAAACTTATTCGCTTTTCTAAATAATTTGACGCAACGGTAATCGCGCCAAAGCTTTTTGAAATTCTTATTTGCGATTAAATGCAGCGAGAAAATCGCGCAATTTTGAAAGCACTATTGCGATATATAAATAAGGCTCATCAACTGTTTCAACGTTTAACACTTAAAAACAAAATAACATATTTATGATTGAAATTTAAATCTAATAGTCAATCAAATCATAAAATGTTAGGTAACTAACGGTATCTCGGGGAAATTTTCGATATTATTATTTTTTTTATTTTTATTTATTTTTTTTATTAATAAATAAAAAAATAGATAAAACTAGATATTCATAATATACTAGAGAATTAAGATTTTTTCTTGAAATTTTCAATTATTTAAGATTTTATTTAAGATTTATTCTTAAAATTTTCAATTATTTAAGATTCATTTAAAAATTTTCAAATACTAGATATTTAAGATTTTTTTCTTAAAATTTTAATTTTCTAAAACTATATAATCATAGAGAATTAAGATTTTTTCTTGAAATTTTCAATTATTTAAGATTCATTCTAAAAATTTTCAATTTAATTTAAAATTATGAATCAATACTAAATATTTAAGATAAAAATATAATCATAATATACTAGAGAATTAAGATTTTTTCTTGAAATTTTCAATCAAATTCTAGATAAATAACCAATCTATTTGAATAAACACTGATAATATAGTTATATATATAATTTTTTTTCTTAAAATTTTCAATCAAATTCTAGATAATTAACCAATTTATTTCAATAAACAATGATAATATAGATATATATATTTTAAGGAAAAACAAAAATACTTTTATACATATTTATATCATTTAAAAATTTAATTAATTTATTTAAATTGGACATATTTTTAATTTTGCGAAAATAACTGTATTGACATATATACAAATGAGTTGAAGATTTTTTTCCATTTCTGGGTATGCTTGCCTTAAGATCCCTCCATAAACGCTCAATGCGTTGAGTATAAGTTGATATATCATTAGGGTCTACAAAATTTTGACTGTGATTCACTGAGTAATGGTCATAGCCATTTTCATATAGATTGTTATAACTTAACAAATATTAAATTTTAAGATTTATCAATATTTAAATTACCCCTTCCATTTGTCCGTCATTATAGTTGAATCAGTATGGGCATGTTTGCTGATTATACCTAGAAGGGTATCTTTATCTCTTTTTTCTGTATGAGAAATAAAAAAATTCCCATCATTTCTTGAAATTCCTCCTACAACCCAAATGGCATTAGATTTTAGAATCCTCCCTGTGTTATTTTTCCTTTTAAAAATATGGGATTCATCTATTTCAATCACATGCCCAGGGCCCCCTATTTTGTCAAAATTAATTGCCTGTGAATGGCAGCAAATCTTTCTAAATATAGCATACCTAAAAAATACTTATTGACAAATTTTACAAATAAATATATACCATTTTCCAATGGTACATTTTGCTAACTCTATTAAAGGAAGGCTGTCGGATATTGACGTCAAGGACACAAAAAGATATATTAGATGTATAAATTTGTTAACAGGGATATTAACATTTTCAAATATAGAGCCTAATTAATAAAATAAATTTAAAAAATAATATATTGTTAAACCCTTCCATATAGAATTGCTGCTTGTACATATTTTGCATCTTACTCTATAAGATGCTGCATTTCTCTGCATTATCATATTATTATTACAACACGTGTGATTATCTAGAAGTTTGTGGTCTTTTAAAAAAGCTATGGTTCTTGTATAACAATTTATGATATCGGTAAAAATAAGATATTCCATTATAATATTATAATTATGGTCTTTTAAAAAAGCTATAATTAAAAATAACAACAATAAATAAAAATAAATAAATAAATAAAAAATAAATAAATTTATAAAAAAAGATGAAAAATTTCCCCGAGATACCGTTAGTTACCAAATTTCATTATGTTTTATTTTTAAATTAGGGTTCAATGAATAGTAAACCTAGTTATAAATCTGTGTACCTCAAAATTTACAGCTAATTTTTTAGGCATAAATATCCTAGAATATTGAAATAACATAAAACTTATTGTTTAAAAGAATAATTTTATGAAGGCTTAGAATTGGCTGCTTAAAAATTTGTTCAATATCAGATCCACAAAAAATTGACAAAAACTACATCCAAAACCAACATAAATAACTTTGGTAACTAACGGTATCTCGGGGAAATTTTTCATCTATTTTTATAAATTTATTTTTTATTTATTGTTGTTATTTTTAACCCGTTACTGGTTAACGGTGCATATATGCACCACCTCCTATATACCTTATTTTAACATAGTAGTTTTTTTTTAAAAAATAATAAAAAAGATTTTTATATAGTTCAGACATTGTACTTCAAAACTGGAAAAGAAAAATATGAAAAAAATATTTTTTTATGCCCCTAAGAAACCCTCAAACTTTGCGAATTTATGAGGTCTAAAATGCAAAATTTTCTAAGTGATCTCACGAGCATATTATAAAATTATTTCGATGAAAACTAGTGTGTATATATTCTTTATAGATATATCAATATTTATCAATCATTTTTGAATTTTTAAATAATTAATATTTTAGTAGGTAACCACATAAAGTTGACTGGTGCATATATGCACCGTTAACCATCTAGCAGTATATATTATTTAAAAAAATTCAAACAAATGAAATTTAACATAATGAATTATAATTTTTTATATTATACTTAAAACCACTACCGTCACTAAGGGTGGGAAGGGGAGGGGTGGGTGGCTCGAGCCCCTTAAGAATTTTTAAAAAAAATTTTATAACCAAAAAAGACCTTTTGAAAATAATTTAAAAAAATTTTTTTCCCCTGAGATTAAATCGAATAAAATATTGTTCCTATTATAATTTTTTATCCCGATCAAATTATATGAAATTATTAGGTTCATAAATATTCAAAAGTTTAAAATTATTTTTAGCCTCTTCCTTTCTGAAGATTTTATTTTATTTATATAAAATATTATGCACCTGTTTTGTCAATTCAATCAAAATTATCAAAATAATAGATGACTAATAAAAAAATTAAGATTCTACGAAAATAATTTGTCTAGATATTTAATTTTTAATAAATTTTTTTAATGAAACGTTTTCTAACAATTGAACAAGCGCTTGCTCAACTTTTTGAAGAGGAACCAATTGAAGAAAGAGATATGGTTATAATTCCGCCAAACCCCTCTGCAGTTAGTGATGAAGAAGATTTAGATGAAAATGACTTAACAAATGTCGGAGTTTTGCCTTCAGATACAGCTGGAGAATTGGAGATTCATAATTCAGTTGATGACGACCTTCCAGAACCATATTCTACAAGAAGCTATTCTCGAATTTCTCACAATTTAAAATGGAGAAAAACGGATGCAATATATTCTTCAAGCCCTTTCAATGGAGAAAAGGAAGATGTAATAAAACTTGAAAATGATTTACATGGTAAAAGTCCATCAGATATATTTTGTTTAATTTTCGACGAAGACTTATATTCCCTAATTGTAGAACAAAGTAATATTTATGCTAAACAAATGAATAGACCTAACATATGCATAACCATCCAAGATATTCAGAGATTTATTGGAATTCTATTATTTACTGGATATCATTCTCTCCCACAAGAAAAAATGTACTGGTCTAATGACAGCGATATTTCTATTCCAATAATCCGGGATACAATGACCCAATTACAATTTCGAAATTTGAAATATAATATCCATTTGGCAGACAATACTAAAATAGATATACATGATAGATTTTATAAAGTTAGGCCTTACATTAATATATTGAATAATAAATTTCAGCAATTCGGAATTTTTAAACATCATTTATCAATAGATGAACAGATGATACCATATCGAGGAAGACATTCTTGCAAAATGTTCATAAAAGGAAAACCAATTAGATTCGGATACAAGTCTTGGATATTGGCCTCTTCCGACGGTTACGTATTCTCATTTGATATATATCAAGGAAAAAGCGAAAATAAATATGAATATGGATTAGGTGGAAATGTAATCATAAAATTATTAAAGGCATTGCAAAAACCAAATTATCATAAAATATATTTTGATAATTTCTTTACATCATTTAAACTCTTGTCATACTTAAAACAAATGGGATATTTTGCAACTGGAACTGTGAGGGACAATAGAATAGAGCATTGCCCAGTTGAATCTATAAAGGTTGTAGCAAAAAAAGAAAGAGGATATTATGATTATAGGTTTGAAAAATTAAACGAAATATTTGTAGTTCGTTGGAATGATAATTCGGTGGTGACCGTTGCATCGACATGCCACACTATCTCTTTGCTTTCTAATGTTTCAAGGTATTCTAAGAAAATATCTTCTAAAATAAAAATTCCTCAGCCAAATATGGTAACTGCTTATAACAAACACATGGGTGGAGTTGATCTATGTGATAATCTAATATCTACATATAGAATAAAAATAAGAGGAAAAAAATGGTGGTGGCCAATATTCACCAATTTTATTGATGTAGCTTTGGTAAATTCATGGAAAATCTGGAAATTCGTGAATCGAGATGACAAGAAGAGTTTGCTTGCATTTAGACGAGAAGTTACTAACTACCTCCTTCGAACGCCAGTAAAAATTGAAAAAAATTCAAGTACAGGTCACGCCAGCCAGTTTGCATTACAGTGTGAAAACCCTATTGATTCATCTGGACATTATTTATCCAAAATTATAGATGGAAAAAGACGAAGATGCAGATATTGCCATACGCACTCAAGATATATGTGCCAAACATGTCAAATCGCACTCCATATTAAATGTTTCAAGGATTTTCATAATATATAAACATTTTCTCGTTTTTATTATAAATTACAAAAAAAGAATAAAGATATTTGTTGTTTTTTTGATCTTATAGTATTTTATATAATTTTTATCTTTTTTAACCTCTTAATGGTTAACGGTGCATATATGCACCAGGCTAGATTTTCTATTTAGGATTATTTTTTTTGGCTGATTTTTTTAGAATATCATATTTGAGCATTAATCAATATAATTTGAAAAAATTGAGCATTTTTATCCACTAGAAAAATCTTGACCATTAATGGGTTAATTATAGCTTTTTTAAAAGACCATAATTATAATATTATAATGGAATATCTTATTTTTACCGATATCATAAATTGTTATACAAGAACCATAGCTTTTTTAAAAGGCCACGAACTTCTAGATAATCACACGTGTTGTAATAATAATATGATAATGGAGAGAAATGCAGCATCTTATAGAGTAAGATGCAAAATTGTACAAGCAGCAATTATATATGGAAGGGTTTAACAATATATTATTTTTTAAATTTATTTTATTAATTAAGGCTCTATATTTAAAAATGTTAATATCCCTGTTAACAAATTTATACATCTAATATATCTTTTTGTGTCCTTGACGTCAATATCCGACAGCCTTCCTTTTAGAGTTAGCACAATGTACCATTGGAAAATGGTATATATTTATTTGTAAAATTTGTCAATAAGTATTTTTTAGGTATGCTATATTTAGAAAGATTTGCTGCCATACACAGGCAATTAATTTTGACAAAATAGGGGGCCCTGGCATGTGATTGAAATAGATGAATCCCATATTTTTAAAAGGAAAAATAACACAAGGAGGATCCTAAAATCTAATGCCATTTGGGTTGTAGGAGGAATTTCAAGAAATGATGGGAATTTTTTTATTTCTCATACAGAAAAAAGAGATAAAGATACCCTTCTAGGTATAATCAGCAAACATGCCCATACTGATTCAACTATAATGACGGACAAATGGAAGGGGTAATTTAAATATTGATAAATCTTAAAATTTAATATTTGTTAAGTTATAACAATCTAAATGATAATGGCTATGACCATTACTCAGTGAATCACAGTCAAAATTTTGTAGACCCTAATAATATATCAACCCATACTCAACGCATTGAGCGTTTATGGAGGGATCTTAAGGCAAGCATACCCAGAAATGGAAAAAAATCTTCAACTCATTTGTATATATGTCAATACAGTTATTTTCGCAAAATTAAAAATATGTCCAATTTAAATAAATTAATTAAATTTTTAAATGATATAAATATGTATAAAACTATTTTTGTTTTTCCTTAAAATTATATATATCTATATTATCATTGTTTATTGAAATAAATTGGTTAATTATCTAGAATTTGATTGAAAATTTTAAGAAAAAAAATTATATATATAACTATATTATGAGTGTTTATTCAAATAAATTGGTTATTTATCTAGAATTTGATTGAAAATTTCAAGAAAAAATCTTAATTCTCTAGTATATTATGGTTATATTTTTATCTTAAATATTTAGTATTTGATTCAAAATTTTAAATTAAATTGAAAATTTTTAGAATGAATCTTAAATAATTGAAAATTTCAAGAAAAAATCTTAATTCTCTAGTATATTATGATTATATAGTTTTCGAAAATTTAAATTTTAAGAAAAAAATCTTAAATATCTAGTATTTGAAAATTTTTAAATGAATCTTAAATAATTGAAAATTTTAAGAATAAATCTTAAATATCTTAAATAATTGAAAATTTCAAGAAAAAATCTTAATTCTCTAGTATATTATGAATATCTAGTTTTATCTATTTTTTTATTTATTAATAAAAAAAATTAATAAAAAAAAATAATAAAAAAAATATTTAAAAAAAAACAATAAAAAAAATAATAATATCGAAAATTTCCCCGAGATACCGTTAGTTACCTGAAATTTATAAAAAACCTTAATTTATAAAACTCAGAAGAATTTAAAATTATTCTTGTGGCTTCCTGTAATTTTTTATCCTAAAAAAAAATTTGTGTATATTATTCACATATCAGATCATTTAGGCTGTTTTATCTTTCGCAGCCCTAAAAATAAAAGTCAAACATAAATTTTTAAGAAGTTAATACATCAACATATTATCTAACATTAAATGTATCTTATTCTCCAAATTTTTTAAATTATCGTATCTTTTAAGCACTATTTGTTTTCAAGTAGGTTAATTCTCCCAGCCTATCATAATTTTTCTGCGAAAGAAAACATTATTTTGCACATGTAATTTTTATACATAAATCCTATTGACTAATTAATTATACATTTTCTTATTGCCAAAGGCCTGTCCCCTAGACCAATGCTGGGGCCCTCCTAAGAATAAATATAAAATGATTTAATTATAATATATACAAAAAATATATTGTATGTTTTGATAAGCATCTGTGGCTTAGTTGATGAATGTGTATATCATTTGTCATATAGATCTGGGTTTAAATTCAGCAAGGATCGAGAATTTTTTTTGAAGTGCTATGGGATATTTATATATAGTAGAACAGGGCCCATATAATTTCTTATTGCATTTAAGACAATATATATGGTTGTTATTTGACAAATTTCTACATGCTACGGATCATAAGAATATTTTTTCATTGATTTTCCAGAGGGATAGTTCTAGTAACAGTCTTAAGTTACTTTATTGAAATCTTAACACGAATTAGTAAGTCCTCCTTAAAATAAAATATTTTTTGCTTGATAACTTATTCTACATTTAACATTTCATAATGGTTTTGGCATTAAAAATTTCTTCTTAACTTCCAATATATACATTTTTTATAATCCATAGAGCCATAGTTTATCTCTAAAATTCTTTTTAATTATTTTATCTTTTTTATATATACATTAAAACCTTTATATATGTATATATTTTTTTAAAGTATAGTCAAAAACGTTTGAAGGAAATTAAAATAATATAGATATTATTTCTTAGTTAGAAAAGAACTTTAAAAAATATATATATTAAAGATGAATAGAAACAACTTTTATTTTAAATTTCATCGTATTTTTAAAATATGCTATATTTCATTTGAATAATTTTTAAGTAATCTTGATCAAAATCTGAGGAACTATTAAAATGTTATAAATTATAAAATTTGGGTGCTGATAACAAATATAATCAGACTTTATATATTGACGATAATGATATTGAGACCAATCAGAATCAAGATTTAAAAATGACACAATTAAGATTTAAATCAAATATTGTTAGCTTAAAGATTTAGATGGTAGAAAGGTTTTGACTTCAATTTGCCCAATCTCAAAGCTTGCATAATAATATTTTAACCAAAATTTTAATTACACTTTAAAAATTATCCCGAATCATCATTTTAACAACACTAATAGTACTACTAATAAAATTGGAAAACATTCCATTATTAGAGTGATTAATAAATTTAGTAAAAGATATAATTTAATATATAAATATATTGAATCAATAAATAACATTTTACCATGCATGATTTAAAATTTTTTAAATATATCTCTCGATAGCTTTGTTTTCTTAAAATATCAATTAGACTAATTTATATTCAAGTTATAAAAGAATAAATACCTATATTCCTCTTGACCTGCAGTATCAAGTATGTCAAGTAAACAGGTCTCGCCATCTATAATTACTTGCTTTCTATATGAGTCCTCTAAACCAATTTATAAAACAAATTAATATATTTCTATTATTTTATAAAAAGAATATAGATTTATTATAAAAGCAATAAATATTATTTATGAGCACAAATACCTATTGTTGGGTCATATTCCTCAACAAAACTATATATTAGATTAATAAAATTAATGTATATAAAAAAGTTAACTGGTTTTGAATAAGTTGAATTGTCAAAGCACTTTTTCCAACACCACCTGCTGAAAAAAATAAGATAAAAATAATAAAATTATTAATAATTAAAATATATGGAGAAGTATTTATTATAAAGATAATATATGTCAGCAAATGAGAAAATGTTTTTTTTACCTCCCACAACTACTAATTTATATTCAGTCATAAAATATTTCAATTATGGCACAACAAATTACTCCACTTTAAAAATAAAATGATTTTAAATAAAATATTTATCGAACTAAATATAGAACTTTTTCATTTCGTAATAAAATTTAATAAAATAAAATTGAGTAATTTTTTTTTAACTTACACCAAAATATAGATTTTATTTAAATTGACATTTATAAATAACAGATTTCTATTTTTTGTTCATATTCTCGTACTGATCTACGATATACCAAATTCAACCAACCATAAGTATATTAATGATTTTGCGAATAGGGGGAGAAGCACTATTTGAGGTTTTCCTCAATTCTTTTATTGGAGGTTCTTTAGGGGCACTTATTGTTGGAATATAATATTGCATTTTTTTAAAAAATTTGGTGCAATTTCTTTAGTTTTCATGATCAAAATTCGATATTTTTTGAGCCTTTTATTCTTAAATTTTATGCTTTTGGCTACTTTTAAATAGAAAAGAGTATAGGCAATAAGTTTGTATCACAATCAGTAGATAAATAACTAAGCTAATGTTTTATCCTGTAATAGATAAATCTTTCGGCTTTTGCTATATTATCATCACATAAATCATTTGAAATTACTTGATAGCATTCTTTCAAACCTCTTTCATTAAAAGAATTTGATTTTATATTACTTTTCAAATCTTTTAAGGTAAGATCCTTGTAAAAAATATCTGGCTATTCTTTTCTATAAAAAATCACAAATATCTTTTTATCAAAAAATAAGTTTATAGATGTTTTTTTATTTAAAAAAAGTATAGCTTCAAGTATTATATATTTTTAATGCAGCACTAAATTTATGCAAATAAACTTATTTAGAATTTTTTAAAATAATTTAATAAAGCTGTTTTTATGGAATAAATGATAAGCTTAGTGTAAAAATTTATATTCTTTAATAAATGCTAGTTTTGTAAATTTGTTTAAAAGAATGATGTAAATAGGGGTGTTGGTATTTATTTCTAAGATGATCTAATAAAATGAGAACAAAATATAAAAATGTTGTTTGCTTAATTTGTGCTCTCATAATAAGAGTTTATGTTCGAGATATAAGTGATAATGGACCGGGATATATAAATGTTTTATTTGATAGACAATTTAATTCAAGTATGATAATATCAAATCAGTCAAATAAATCTATACAAAGAAAATTATAAAAGTTATATTTAATATTGAGCATCACATTTTTGCTATCCTTTTGTTTTTATTTTACAACTCTTTATTTATGATATTTATTATTATATTAATATAAAATAATAAAAACTATCATTTATTAACATTTTCGATTTTAAGTTAATCGATCAAAGTATTAAAAAGATAATAAAAGAAACTATTAAGTTAATATACAATATTGTAATGTATAATATAAGAAATAATAAAAAATCAATCGACAAAGTAAAAGGTTACTTTATGGTAAAATTTAATCTAAAAACGATATATTAACAAAAATAATGGCGCGTCCTGATTGATTCCATTTCTTAATTTCAAATGATTAATTGTCCAATCAAATTTTTCTCCTGAAAGTTGATAATATATGCAAAATTTAAAAAAAAATACATTTACCTTATCATTTAAAAAAATGAATAGATAATCATGTGAATTCTCATATTAAATTTGAATTTTAAGAAAACTTTCTTGAACCAAAATCCGCTTATTTAAAATATCTTCGAGTATTTTTTATAAAATTTTTTTACCATTCTTTCTTTGAGCTCGATCATATATTTCAGGTGTATTTTTAGATTTTTATAGCAACTGTCCTCAACACTGTATATGCCATTTTATCTTAGAATAATATATTGAATGACTAAATTTGGTTCTTTCATAATCTTCAACTTAAGATTTTGTGTAAATAGTAAACTGGGGTGAACCAGGCATTCTATGACCAACCATGACAGATCCGGATAACTTAATCAATCATGATCATATTAATTAATGTTTTATGATTCTGAGAAGTAGTCAGATTAAAAAAACAGGGTTAAAAATTTTCCTAAAATTATCATACTAAAATTCTAAAAGCTTTATTTATAAATCTAAACGATAAAGTTTGTAATTATTTTTTGGTAGACTTGAAACTAGTGTTGTTAAATGGCTCGTTTTGAGACGATTTTTAAAAACGGCTAACTCAATATTTTAGTCAGAAAAATATTTCCTAAGCCTTGAGATTTCGATAATATATGTATAGAGTTCCTTCTATGAGCAAAATCTTCAGGCTTGCGTAATATTTTTCTGGTTGAAATATTGAGCTAGCCGTTTATAAAAATCAGCTCAAAACGAACCGTTTAACAACACTACTTGAAACACATTTTTCTCGAAAATTAAAATACTTGATTACTCTTCGAACATTTTTATCTAATCATGTATTGAGGAATTTTCTATATCAGGTTTAAATTTATAGTCTTATAATAAAATAACTTACATTATAAATAGCCCTTTAATAAACGTGACCTACCGTTTCCCCTATACTCAATTGTTTAAAATAAAACTATTAAAGTAGACGTTTAAATATTACTCTTATTTACTTATTTACCTCTATCTTAAAAGGTCATCCGCACGGGAACACTAAAAAATTTTTAGAGCGCGAACTTAATGTCTTGAAATATATTATAGGTTCCGGAAGATTTATGCTTAAATTATTAAGTTTTAAATAAAAGGATTTTATCATACATTGGATGTAACTGCCGAAATATTTCATTTTTGGCAGATACATTTAAAATTATAATGTCAGATATTTAATTGAATAAAGATAATTAAAAAAAACAAAAAGCAGATATTATTCATATAATATTTTCTAATTATCAATTTCATTTTATTAATATAATATAAAAATAAAATAATAAAATTTTGTTTATAAATTCGGAATTAATTATAAATGTAGGTTAAAAAATAAATGATATCTATTTCAAAAGAGTCTTTAGAATTAAATATTTTTTTGTAAAACTTTATAAAATATATAATATATATATATTTACAGATCAGGAAATTTTTTTTAAGATCTTTGGAATAAAGGTTTGGAGCATAGTATCAAAATATTATAATATAATACATATAAAAAAATTAATAATGTTTATAAAGATAAAAAGTTTTACTTTAATTATTATTTTGTATAATAAAATAATATCAAACGAATTTGTTAAATAATTATAATAATATATTAATCAATTAAATTAAAAAAATATATTGATGGGCATTAATTAGAAAACTAAGATTTTTTTTCCCCCATGTGCATTTTTGAGGGATAATTTGCGAAAGCAAACATCTTAAATTTATTATAGCACCATGGTGAATTAACAATTAAAATATTTAAAAAAAATATATATATTAATTTTTAATATAATAAATAATGAAAAGATATAAATGAACATAAATTTAAATAGATTAAATGTTAAATAATGTTGCTTTTTTTTAAAATTAAATATTAATTTATTTAATTTGGTAAATTTTTCTATAATAAATGTCATGAAAAAATTGCCATCTTTATAAATAGAACACTTTAGAAACAGCACCTCAATAATGAAACTATTGCTCCTAATATTTTATAATATTATTACATATATGACTCATTTTATTTTAAAAATATAAATTTATGAAAATAAAATAATTTATTTTAAATAAAAAATTTCAAAAAGAAAACATCATAATAATATCAAATTTTTAATATTTAAAAAAATAAATTATGCATTTTTTAAAAAAAAAAGAGATAGAGAGAGAGAATATTTTATAGATAGAATAAGTATTTAACGCCATCTATTTCTTTAAAAAAATCTATTCAAAAAAATTGTGCTAGTCATCACTGACGATGAATTAGCCTCAACCATCAGTTCATAGTAACTAACAATTCTTGTCTAGGCAAATCCCCATTTTCACTCTTGATGAAGATCAAACGATCATTGCTTTGAACCTTAAACTTACTATCGTTGTCCAAATGAAAGAATGGAGGAACTTTATTTGCATTGTTATGTTCTGTTTGAGGGTGTATGTATCTTGGCTTAATATCGAAGGGTATTAGAAGCGAATCTTCTGGCTAATAAAAAAATATATATTAAATATTAAATTGATTTGCAAAAATCAAATTAAGAATAAAAGTTCAAAGAATAAACACCCTTATAAATATGATTGATGTTAATCTCGGTCAATCGGCCATTGTTCTTTGTTTCGGGAATTTTTTTTTCAATCATACGAGTATTTTTCATCCATCCTTTTATATTTCCTAAGTGTCATATATGAAGATATATATGTGGTGTTGAATAGAAAGAAGAAAGAGGAAATTGAGAGCATTGATTCATGATGATCATGCCAGATTTTTAATAATATTATGATGATTTTAATTTGAATATTAATTTATACTCACTTTTTAATTTTTATTTATTGGGAACTTTATGATAATATATAAATTTTAATTAGACAAAATAAAGGGTTAATTTTATTTTCACATTATTTTTAATATACTGCTTATTTGCTTATATGTATATACACCAAAATGGTATATACATTATAACTAAGATTCGAGTTCAGAGTTGAAAAATACTAAAATCCAGCTATTTTTATATTGCTCCTACCTTTGGAAATTGTTTGAAATATTCGACTTCAGATCCTCTATTAATACCCTGGGTCGGTTCCTTATACCCTATGCCTTTAAAGTTTTGATAATTCGTGGTTTCGTGGTTAGTCAGATAAACTAAGTTGGGAGATTTAAAGCCGGGCATAAAGTCGACGTTATCTTAAAAGATAAGAAAAAAAATATAAATTATATAATTTACCACTTTGAAGTGTCTTAAATTTAAGAACTATAATTATTATCTTCACTCTACATATAAGTTGAATACAAAAATTATGGCTAAAATATTTGTGGCATTATTTAGGTAAAATAAAGTATTACATGTCAAAAGATTTGTAATCATCAGATAAGAAAATAATTACAGTCATGTGTCTTTTCATTTTATCTAAATGTCTTTAGAAACCTTCCGTCGTGTCTTCATAATGGTTCGTAAAGAATAAATACGCTTATTTATAGTAATCACTAAAATAGCTTGATATCGCTTTGCTTACAAAATGCATAATGTTAAATAATACCTGCATACTATCCAGCTGTGAATTAATCGATTGAGCGGTTACTATACACTAGGTCTTATTTTACTATAAGAGATACACTGATGCATTTTCCTAACTAGATAGGGCAAATATATTTATCAAAACTGTGCATATACAGGAGTCAGCTGAATACGCCATTTTATGGAATTCACGTAGGACTTAAATAGATAAAATTTTCTTTAAAAAAAATATATCTCCTATAATAAATCATTTAACATTTATTCATTCACTTAAAACATATTTATGCAAGGCGAGGGGGTGGGAAAGGGGGGCTTGGAATTTCCTCGCAACCAAAATAAAATTTAAAATATTTATAAAAAAGCTTTCAAAAAATATGATGATTCTCATGAATTAAAAAACATGCTTTTTTAAAAAAAATAGCCGTTTCATATTTTAAATTACGGCAAAAAGTTTTAATTTTGAAATGAATAAATTTAATTTTCCTTGTGCATTATATTTTTTTTTTCGCGCGAAAGTTTAACCATATTTCGTTACAATTTAAGTACTGACGTTTATAGAATATATTTTTTTTTAAAAAAAAATGATATTTGATGTTGCAAAAAACCCTGAGAATCGTAAATATTATTCTGATATAACTTTTAAAAAAAATATAAACTAAAAGAAAAGAAAATTGATGAAGGATTTCATGAGATATTATACAATTATTGAGGCCAAAATCCTGTTGCATAATCTTGAGATCTACTAATCTCGCTCTAGAGTGGTAACGAGGTAAAACACATGGTTCCATAGTGTTGAATTTAGTGTTGTTAAACGGATCATTTTGAGCTGATTTTTTAAAACGGCTAACTTAATATTTTAGCCGGAAAAATATTGCCTAAGCTTCGACATTTCCATAAAATATGTCTAGTCCTTTGTTCCTTCTATGAGCAAAATCTTCAGGCTTGCGTGATATTTTTCTGGATAAAATATTGAGTTAGCCGTTTTTAAATCGGCTCAAAACGAGTCGTTTAACAACACTAGTTGAATCAATAGATAACAATATTTAATAATAATGTGTTCACTCGAAACCCTAACAAATTTTATATTATAATTTAATTTTTAATTTTCCAAAAAAAATATATATTAAAATTATTCTTTAATAAAATTTATTAATCAACCCTACCTCCTTTCTCCACACAAAAATAAATGCCTAGTCTATGCACCATTTATTAAGTGAGAAAATTATTTCAATAAATTTTTCCAGTAAGACACCCTATGAATAAACATCAACATCAACATCATAACATTTAATTCTATCCTACAAATTCAATTTATAAAATATTATAATTAATAATTAGTTATAAAACATACAATATTTAAGGAATATTGATATTTTGGATTTTAGCTTCAGCATAAAAAACTAAACTATATAAAGAGAAGGAAAAAAAAATTCAAGAAATGAAATAAATGTTATTTATAATGGCCCAAAATGGTTATTTTAATATATTTATTCTTAAAATATATAAAAAGATGCAGGCATAAAATTCCTCTTAAAATATATCCCGAATAAAAGATCTACTTTTACCATTCAAGTATTTTGGCGACGAGATATCCTCGAAAGGTTCGTATATATTATTCTTAGGAACATCTTTATTATTTTCGTGAGGTATGAACGACTCTTCCAACTTTTGGCTATCCGGAGAATCTGGCGGGCTAGGGTAAGGGTAATAACAGGGTAGCAACATGGGATTTCCTGGATAGTTGAGTATATTAATGGGCGTGTAGACAGCCCCGTTGATAGTTATAGTGCCACCGTTTAAGCCCCCAAAACCGTTGCTGTTCAAATCCTGGGAAGATTCGTTATTAAGAATGAAAGTTAACATATTGCCGCCCGAAGATGCATCATCGCCGCTCACAAGGGAAGTTTGAATATTGCTAGAATCGGTGGGATTCAACAAATCCATATCTACGTTGCAATCGTTTGAAAAAGAATTGCACGTTAAATTGGCTTCTTGCGTAGTAATGCAATTGTTGTATTCTTCTTTTAGTTATTTTATTTATTAAAATAAAAAAAAGGGAATAATTTGTGGTTTATATGACCCTGAAACTGAATATAATAGCCCGCCACCATAATATTGTTTATTTTCGATACATTGTATTATAAGCCCATGCACCGTTAATGTTGTTTTTTTAAAACTATATATAAGTTCATATATAAAATTTTACATCATAAATTATGTATAATTAATAATATGTATTTTTTTCTTCTTCTTTCTTCCCAAAAATTTTAGTTTGGAAATAATTAGAATTGTATCCAGATACATTTTGTAAATGTCGACTTTAAATGGCTCCTTGTAAAGCATTATTATCTCCATCCAATATTTTTGCATTTTTTTTGTAAAGTTTTTTTAAAAATATTTAGAAGCCACCCATAATACAAATGTATTGGTTTAATAACCATTATATTTAAAAAATACTTATAAAATCGTATATAATATAAAATTTAAATTATATAATGTAATTATAGATTCATTGAAATAAATATCCAGAATATTGATGATTTTATTTAAAATATATATGAGGCGTATTTAAATTTATAATTTGTGAGGCCTTTCTATGAATTTTTTTTTTCAAATATAGAATCGGGTTATAAATCATTATTTACCTCCTGAGTTACTCATGGTCTAGCGGTTCTTAAGATATTATAATTATAGTATACAAAATATCATTATACATACTAATTATTATTCCAGATATTTGTACAATTATCTATAAAGGTAACGAATGATTAGAAAAATAGTTAATATAAGTCTACAGTTGAAACCGTTTAAATGTGAAGAGTTGGGGGGGGGGGGGGTTCTGTATTTTTATCATTATAATTTATTTACCTTATTTTTGTAAAGATTTCGTCATTAGAGGATATTAACTAACATAATTAATATAAAAGGAACTTTGAGACCTTCGTTTATATGAGAATATTTAGCATTTTCAAGAAATATTTTTAAAATGGTGCATTATTTTGCCATTTAAATATTGCATTCAACTGATTAACACTTAAAAGGTTTCAACTATATTTGCATATATTCATAATAATAAATATGATTTTCTAATAAATTCAAACCTAAGAAAGAAGTTATCCCATTTATATATTTTATCATTATGTCGGAGCCCTGCCCTTAACAGATTATTTATATTTTTTTTTACCGTTCGGTTTAATGGCTTCGGATATAACTATATTATTATTTCCAGATTTGGTGTTTGAAAATCCAGAGAGAATGGCATTCATTTCATCCCCCGAACATTGAAAGACCTCTATGTAACGTTGTTTCTTGGCAAATCGCATGTACTTGTTGTGGCAGGTAGAGGCTATTAATTTAGCCGAGTGCTCAGAATTCATTTGGATAAAGGCCTCACCAGATGGTTGACCCTTTAAATAATTTATAATGTTATGATACATTAATCTAAAAATACATTAACCTAAGGTTGGGCCACAAGTAATATGTCTAAGTAAACCTCTGCACGGGCCAACCACTAATATTTTGAGGTATGCTAAAAATCCCGCCGCTTATAAAAAAAAATCACCGCCTGCACACCACCGATGTTCATATAAGGGGGGGGGGGGGTGAGGCGAGGGTAAGACTTTTACATACATTTTTATTTTAACGATTGGTCGACATATTGTAGTAATTGTATAGTTATCAGAAGTGACTTAAAAAAAATAATGCCAAATTCTTCTCAGAATATTTAACAGGATATTAATGGTCAAATATTTGGAGAGAAAAGAGGATCAACTTCCGAATCTTTCTACGCTAGTCAAAAAAAATTCTTTGTATTCCGGGAAACTGGCAAACCTAGTGGACGGGTTTTTTCCAGCTGGGTTGACGTTGGTGGTCATCCTTATGTCCGCCAGATTTAAATAATATGATACCGGCCGCCGATAATTTTGTTGGCGCACAGGTCTACATAAGTAGTAATCATTCCAAGTCAGAGAAAAATATGACCAAAATAATTCTATGTTTCCAGACAGCGTATACATGAGCGGGGGGGGGAGGTCGGAACAGTTTACTTCCAATTTTTTAAGGTGGGTGGGGGGTTAGCTAGGGGTGGGATATTTATTGGGCGGTTAGAATGAAAAGGGGAAAATGCATTGCTGTAAAAATTAATACTTTTATTATAGTCCTATTTATAATACAATGATATTGCTAAACATCGACCAAATCATTATATTGCATAACAATCACAGACATTATTTTCCAAATAAAATATTTATTTAGAAGGGTTAGACATTCTATCAGTCAAACTCATATTCATGCCAAATATACTAATTCATTGTAAATTAGGGGGTTTTTAATTGAATTATGTTCTAAAAAATAATTCTTTTACATTCACAATATTTTGATAGTTGGTACTTTTTAAATGGATCCAATATATACCCTGTCATGTAGACGCTGTTTCCAAACACTAATATGAAAGTGTCAATATATTAAATTATATACCTGAAGGTTGAATATCATATGTACTCCTTGGAATACAATGAATTTAGCAAAATCTCCTAGAAACTCCAGTATTTGTTCGACCTTAGCCTCGAAAGGCAACCCCCTCAACCTAATGCAATCCTTTTTGCTTCCCCTAGTAATGGGAGACGAGAGTGGTATTGAAACGATAGGTGAAGATGGGTATTTAAAGCTGGGAAAAGTCATAGGAGAAGGAGGAGTTAGAAGAGGGAGATGGTATATAGGAGATACATGATGCGGTGTTATACTAGTTGCTATAGGCGTCAACGGGCTCATACCTGTTATGACAGCATTTTTTTTTTTTTAAATGTAAAAAAATAAATAATATAATAAACACACTTTTGATGGCAACCTTTTCTGAACAAAGTGTCTGTGTCGCAATATAATTTTAAAGAAATATAAACAATCTTTATTAAATATTTTTTAAACTAAAATTATTAAATAGAATCGTCACAGTGTGTTGTGCACGTCGTGTATTTATCTTAATTATAAAATATATTTTTATTGTAATCATAAAATAATTTATTTAAACTGTTCGCAAGCGGTGTTCCGGGGTTGAGTCCGGCTGGATGATGGATGTGTAAGTTATCGGAGGAACCGACGGGTATGAACATTGGGGACATCAGCTGTAAATTCGAAGGACGTGCATTATCCTGGCGCCTTGATATATTAGGATCGCCATTATTATAGCCAAAAGGAATATTGCCAAAATTGCTAAGTCCCTGCAAGAGAAATGGCTGCTGGATATTAGCATGGTTAGGGATCAAATTTGAATTATTTGCGAGATCAGGTAAAATATCTGTATATTTATATTAAAATAAGAATTAAAATAAACTCCCTTTTTTAAATTTTATTTTAATCTTTCTTACATATTAATTTATAAATTTGGTTTTTAAAATATTTGAGCCATATAATCTATCTGATTCAAAATAGAAATATTTTTTTCTATAAATATACTCATCGATTGAGTAGTATCCTTATTCATTTCACTACCATCACCAAAGCCTATGTACTGCCGCTGTGCTCTAGAGTCGGTTCCCAATGATGGCAAAGTGGGCGAATTAATGCAAGTTAAAGGGAACGTAGTATTTGATCCCACAGTTTCCATAACTCGGTTAGGAATAGCTGAACCGTTAGCTATTACCGGGACAACCATCGTGGGAATCATTTTGTTAGGCATCATATCTAAGTTGTACTTATGGATGAGGTGCTGGTTAGGAATATTATGAATATTTGGGAGTAGGGGAAGAGGGTAAGGGTTTACCTGCCGCATTAGGTGGGGTGGAGGATTGTGAAACACTAATCCACTGAGTTGACGGCCTTCGTTGAGGTTTATCGGGTTTGGACCAGTGTTATATCCGTTTATTGCATAATGCTTGAGCGAGTTATTTGCGGCGTGAATCATATGCGGATAAGCAATATTCTTACTATTATTCTGGTAATTGTTGATTGTGACGGGTCCGCTGTTAACATTGCGAGGGGATTGTATTTGTTGGCTGAGCCGTTGTTCAAATTGTCTGCTGGAAACCTTTGTGTTTAATATGTTTGTAAATAATATGTTGAAAAAATATATATTTATTTTTTTTACTTAAAAACGATTTATTTCAATTTAATAAATAAGGAAACAATTTAAACTTAAATCAAAATAAAATATATTTTTTAAAAAGAGCAAGAATATTTGAGAAAAAAATATTTATAATAAAAAATGTTTTATAAAAACATGAGAAGATGCTTCTAGGTAATGGCACCGTGGATTGATATACAGTGCGACCTGCATATTTTAATTGAATTCCATTGCTATAGGTAAAAACTTTCATGAGTATCCCACAAAAAGCACATTTTTTGGCCTAGTGCTTTGAAGAAATCCCGGCTTTGGATTCTAAAACATCGATTGTGTCTCAAAACAATGGGGATTATAATGATATTAGGTATGATGTTACTATATTTCTTAATTTTCCTAATTTTCCCTTTAACTAAAAAAAATTGGAGACTAATTATGATAAAAAACAATCAAGGCATCTGTAATCCCAGCTAAGGAGAATTCTTTGCTTGATGGAATGAGTGTCATTCTATCAGGTCAAGTCCTCTACGCTCCAACGTTGATGAGATTTTGGCTAAGCAGAGATCTCTAACACTCAAATTTACTTGATGGTGGTGTGGATAGCAGCATTTTGAAAGCCGGCAAAGAAATGGTGATAGTCTAGGCTGTCGACAGGGAGCTGACATTTGCAAAATAAAGTTGTGATAATATTGCAGCCTAAACGAGGGCTTATTCATACCTTAAGTTCTTGGTTAGAAAGAAGCAAACTAATGTTGAAACTATGGATAGCCTTGAGCCATTCATAACCTGAGTTGAAATGTTAGATTGATGATGAAGAATCACTATTTTTTATTTATTGAGGAAGCGATATTTGGGTTAAACATCGTGGAAACCTCAAAACAGTTCGAGTTAAGAAATTCAGGATTTAGGGTACGTCTCAGTTTTGTGGTCTAAGAGCATTTAATGGCGTTTGACCTCCTTAAATCTAGAGTCAAACCCAAATGGGAATCTTTAGGGCTGGTAAAAGGAGTGATAATTGTTTGAATTTCGGTGCATGATGAGTGAAAAGCTAAAATAGTTAGTGTCTCTTTATTTGCTTGAGAAACCAGCTTGCATCCAACAATCGGGCGAGAATTTGAAGTTGAATAAAGAAAATAATATAGGAGGTCTAATAAAACCTTCGTACTTGGCCAAGGCAATTTGAGAAAAATATTATAAGACAGAAAATCTATCGTAATGTAAACAGGAATTATAATAAAACTTACAAGGTACCTCTCGATGTCAAAAATAACAATACAAAAGATGATTGGAGTGAATTGGCCAGAACTCTTTTGTAAAACACCCAATTAGTGTTAGTAAAGGCTCGAAATAAACCGATTTATTTAAAAACGGCTACTTGAATATTATGCAGATTATCACTACGCAATCCTGAAGATTTTGGCATGGACATCTATTAGCGACCGAAGCTTAGGCAACATCTTTCTGGCTAATTATTGAATTAGTTGTTTTTTAAAAATTTGACGAAATGGAAGCGTTTAACAACACTACAAACATCCCACCACGAGATATATAATTATAGAGTTCTTTAGAGATTTGAACCCTGGATAAATTTATTTTTCGTGGAAAGCGCAAACTTTAATATGATAATTTTTTATTTTAATGATCCTTAATTAATACAAAGAATTAAGAATATAGTATTATTTTTTTCTATATACATATAAGTAGTGTTGTTAAACCTCGTTTTGAGCCGATTTTTAAAAATGGCTAACTCGACATTTTAGCCAGAAAAATATTGCCCAAGCTACAAAATTTCGCTAATAGATGTCCAAACCTTTTGTTCCTTCTACAACCAAAATCTTGAAGCTTAGGCATCTGGCTAAAATATTGAGCTAGCCGTATTTAAAAATCGGCTCAAAACGAGCGGTTTAACAACACTATATATAAGTATTGTAATTAAACCGAATAAATGACGAAATAACTAAACGAAGTGAACATTAAATTTACCTAATAAAGTTATAAAGTGTCCGAAAATAAAAGATTCATACGATAAAAAAAAAGGTAGGTAGGAGTAATAAAATGCATATAATAAATTTGAAACAAAGTTTGAATGTGATATATGTTATGTTGCAGACACATTTTTAAAATTTTTAAATCATTTTTTTTGAGCGCGTTTTATTAAATTTTAAAAATCTGATTTTTACCGGAAACAGATTCTATCATGTTTAGAGTAAACCTATCTTATGAATCGTAGACAATTTTGCTGTTAGCCTTTGAGTCACTCATAATTTATATATAAAAAATGTATGAAATATATTGAATACAAATTTATATTAAGTTTAAAAAAGTTCCTGTAAAAAATATGTCTGAAAATTCATAGGTGTTAGTTATTCCAAGCAATGACGGCGTACATTTCCAGTAAAATTAGTTGTTTTTATTTTAAATTTAAAAAAAATAATAACACATTGCTGAAAAAAACGCATTAACGCTAACATATATATATATTAATCGAGGATAGTATGGTGTTTCCCACCAGAGTTTTGCCTGAAACGTGTGATCCTACATTTCATTATTTTTGATAGAAAAAACTCTTAAGATCTACTGCTTATCCATTAAGGCTTTGTACAAAAATGCTATCTGCATCTCATGTCTTATAGTATCAATTCAATTCATAGTTGTTCTCATTTTTAATCTCCATATCCTAATTAGCTCATTTCCTTTTAGTTGTTCGGTTTTATTTTATTTTTGACTCAAAATATCCAATGACATATAATAATACCAAGACTCAAGATGCGTTAATAATAATGCATTTGAAAGGGTAATGCAAATCAGCTGGTTCCACCATTTTGGTAACTCATATACTAATTTAAATTGATATCTTGCTTCCTTATTATCTCGATGATCAGGGAATTCTTTAATAAAGTTTGCTTCGGGACTTAGGAATAAATTGACTTCCCTTTTAAGATTTAAAATGGCTTCCCCAGCTGTTTTTATTACTGTACACTTTTAATGAATGCATCCTCAGCTTGGGTACTATTATATGTCATTGAAAGTAACAAGTTTATCTATTTTTTTAAACTTTTCCTTTCAAATCTTTTTCTTCACGTCTTTTAAAATAATGTTTTTTTTTAAAATTCTTAATATTATTTCAATATCAATATGGGCTAGTATTTCTAGCCATCCTGCTTAATTTTACGTAAAACACTGATATAAACTAGGGTTAGTAGCTAAATGACATTAATTAATACTAGCCTCATTGAAGTCAGGGTTTATCTTTAGATGGAGTGGAGGCCATTAAGAGGCATTTTGCCTAAATGCCTTTCTCCTAAATGTTCTTCAGTGATGGAATTCAGTATTGCACTTTTCAATACATTTTAATGATTAAATCGGCCGTCTTGATTAGTAAATTTCAGTTTTTTAGCCAAGTTAAAACTATTTTTTCAGGCTAAGATATTTTTTTGACATGGGTGTCCCGAAACACTCAACTCACCCTTCAATATGTATTCAAAAAATATTTATTATATATTAACTTGTTGAACTTCGGAGACGGTGCTACGAAACAACTCTATGTAACGATTACCGATACATTTTCTATGCTTATTCATGGCCAATTTTCCCTGTATCTCCGTGTTGAACAACACGAAGGCGTCTCCCGTGGCTCTTCCGTCAAACTTTTTAACGAAATAAATACCCGAAGGTACTAACGATTTCTCTTCCTCGCTGCTGGTATGCATCGATATTGGCTCGTTTATAACAATATCTCTCGAATCGTGGTCATTTTTTGGGTGTTCATCGGCTCCCTCGTTAATGATAGCATCATTTGGCGGAATAGTCGATTCGTCTTCGAAGAAATTTATCTAAAGAAATAATAATAGAAATACGATTAACTTTGAGCCCTGCATCTTACCTATTTTTTTTTTTAAATGGTAAATCCAGATCAGAGAAAAAATCGCACAAAATTTTATGTTACTTAAAAACCGATTATTATTTTTAAAATTATCTTAATATAATCAAGATCTGAATTTTTTTGATATTTTTCATCCCTAAAGATCAACGTCAGATATGATGGGAAAGAAACTGTTAAAAAATTCTATTGGGATAAGGTATATTAACGGAAACGGAAATATCATAAAAAAGTACTGTTTTTAATTGAAGAGAATAAAGCAATTTAGGTAAATATAATAATCTAGAATCTGGATAAGATTTAAATTTTAATACAAAAGGCCAATAGATTTTAAAAAAAAGGAGTGTATTATGGGAGTATAAGGGACTGATTGCGATTAATCTGTAAACACCCTATTTTTAAATGAGGATTCAAACTTTATTCTTAACTCTAAACTTAACAACCTTTAAAAATATGAAATGTAAAGAATTGATAAATATTAAATTTTTTAAAAAAATAGAAAACATAAAAAACATAAAAAAACAATTAATTTTACCAAACTCCGATTGGGAAACGGGTACGCATGTTGAAAATATTTTAAAAATAATTTAATATATATCTTGAATATTATTATAAATCATCTCAAAATTTAAAAGAATATTTCAAAACGAAACAAAAAATTATAAATTAAAATCTACTTATTTTTAAAGTTTCAGTTTAGGACTTTTAGACAATTAATTTTCCTTTGAAAAAAAACAAAAAAAATTTTTTTTTTCTTTGTTCGTTTTTATATAGTGTTATTATTTAAAATTCAAAAATTATATTTTTATTATTTATAATATTTATTATATGTATATGTTATGTATTTTATCGTTTACTATAGTTTGATTATTAGCATCATAGGGTAATCCTCTCATCCTGATGATAATTTCAGCTCCAGTAGACAAAAAGGTTTTCACTTCGTTGTTCGCACCTAATTATACCACAAGAAGAAGAAAAAAAAATAGTATACTATTTTTTAATAGATAAATAATATACAAAGTTTGTAAAAGTTGTGTACAGACTTGTTTCTTAGATGTCTAAGGTAACTGCGAATCAAAAAGGAGAGTTAATAGTAAGATTATATAAGGGAAGGGATAAGGTATATTCTTAGCATAAACTGGAATTGCTTTATTAAATCAAAATCGTATTTAATGATTTTTATTAGACTTTAGAAAAACTGGACAGATTTTTTTAATATATATATATTTTTTTTTAAATTCTTATTTTGGACCAATTGTACATTCCATCCAAGTATGTATAGAATACCTATCCTATCAATTTGAGATAATTTATAAAGGCGATTATACGTTAAGTATCGCCTTGCTATCGCATATTGTTATATCTATATCAAAATATACTGGACTTTCTAATAAATATATTAATATGATATTATTTAGAAAGGGTTTAGCATGCTTATCAATCTTCTTTATTATTCAGCATATCAAGCAAGAAATTGCGAAGCTCTAATTATGGATTTTAAAATTCTTCATTCATATAAAACGGATTTAGATTTAAAAAAAAAATATATCGCAATACAAATATTCACATGTCGGATGAAAATATTTAAGAAACAATTATATATTAAAAAAATAAATTTCTAAAAAAATTTACCAAAACTATTTAAAAAAAGGTTCGGGGTCATTCAAGGGAGGAGTAAATGCTTAGAGGGAGTTCAATCGACAGATTTCTGAGCAAAAATTGGTGAATGTTGGTTTAAAGTAATAAGTTTCTCTTTGGTTCCATATCCTAAAAGAGTCTTCCATTAGTTTACTGATAAACCCATTTGTTATTGATATTATTTAGCCTTAACTAAGCTTGAAGCTGGAGCAAGAAAGGTTCCACGCGCAAAATAGAACCATTTTTATTTGTAGAAATATGGGTATTTCTATTTGGTCGTTTAATTCCATTTACAAATGATACATTTTATAAATTAAATTACGGTGTTTATTTGCACCTAAGATTATAGGTTTAGAAGTAAAAACATTGTGTAAATCATATATATATATATCACGTAAAATATTTTACCCGCCGAAACTCTGAGAAAGTCGTCTATGTTGGCCTTGTAAACTTCAATATATCTGGAGCCCATGTGATGCTTGTGCCTCTTCAGAGCTAGATCCCGATTTTCTGGATCCTGGAACTTTATAAATGCTTCCCCATTTCTCCTGCCCATGGGACTCAGACACAACGCTATACCAGCCCTTTTTCAAATTTTCAAAATTTTTTTTATATATATTTCCTTTATACATGTAACTGATTATTTCTAAGTTAATATCAATAGAAAATAAATAGGTATTGCATACTTTGAAATGTTGAGTCCCTTGAAAAAATTCGCTATATCTTGATCCATCGAATGCCAGGGCAGGCCCCTGGCTCTGATAACGGTATCTCTCGAAAGGTAAATATCTTCGATTAAGCTATAAACATATGCCAGATTATTTAACAAAATGGAAGGAGAGATAAATTCTAAAAAAAAAATACTAAATTATAGGGAAGAAGATACTAGGGGGGGGGGAGGTTGCTTAAATTTATTTTCGAAGTTAAATTCGAAAGATTATTAACATTATATAGATAGATTATTCAACAAAATCCAAAGTATATTAAAAATTCTCAATCCTTACTAATTGAGGAAAACAACTAGTGGTTATTAAAAGTATCTTTTGCGATGCTAGTTTAGTATTTAATAAGTTACATTGCAAGTTATATACTTTATAAATTATTTATCTAATAAAACTCATCATCATTATTTTTATCATTATACAAGATAATTTTCGAGATCGTTAATTTTTTTTAAATCAAATTAATTTTTAATAAACAATTTCTCAAATAAATGTATCATTTATTTGCACTGAAAAGAATTAATGATACAATAAAATATCTATTTTTCCTCCTACAAAATTTTTGCTCAATAAAATTTTTACGTGATCTTGGAACACAATATACTATTTTCAAATCGGTGTCTTAAAAGGCCGTACCTAAACTTATCTCCAGCAAACAAAATTAAGCTTCTCTAAGACTAAACAAACGTATACTAACAGGAGTTGTTCGTTGTTAGTGAGTCATTATACTTAAATACAGTAATTTTTTGGATACATAATCGTATAAAGATAATGAACGAAAGTAATACGACTTTTCTAATTTTCATTTTAACCTCAATAGTTGTTTCTACCAATTGGATCCTTTTAGACTATTTTAAAAATTTTAGACTGAAAAATAATTCTCAAATTAATGGTGATCAATGTTACCATCAACTCAAATCGCCGTGTTCCGTAGCAACTATCTTCGGATCTCAATGTTTTTGCTCCCTCCGCCCCACCCCCTCTCATATGTTATTTTTTTTTTCTCTTTTAAAATTGTTTACTTAATTTATTTTATTTTATTTTTAAATATAAATAAAAGATATTTACATTTTTTTTATATTATATAAATATTATTTAAAGTAAAAAAAAAATAACTTGAAAAGTGATTTTATTTGTTGTCGATTCATTCCACAAAAAAAAAGAAGAAAATATGGAACCAGATACAGTTTTACTAGTTTTTAAAATTTCAAAAAATAACTTATTATAAGTATTTTCGGGATAGGTTCATGATTCGGTAAAACAGAAACCGCTTAAAAATTGGAAATTTCTCTTATATCTTTTCCCCAAAAATTTTTTTTAAAGTAAATTTGAAATTAATATTATTAGATGCTGAAAGTGTATGAACACACTTAAGTCGAGTTATCAGATAAAATTACTAAAAAATAAGTGGAAATATTGTTCCCAATTTGATTTACCAATATTTGGGAATCAAGTCTTGAATATGGGATGATATTTTCTCCATTTTTAACGACTTTTTTTTAATAAAATTGTCAACTTAAATACACGAGTGTTTACTCCCCTAGCATCTAATTAATATTAATTTTCAAATTTACTTTAAAAAAAATTTTCTAGGAAATATAAGCGAGATTCACACTATTTAGCGATTTTAGTTTTAGCAGAAACGGGAACCGTATTTTCTTTATTCATATTATAAACTATACCATGAATTTTTAACTCAACTTCAGTATTCTAAACATTTCCATATATTTTAATTCGAATATTTGATAAAGAAAATTATATAAATAAATATTTATTTTTTTAAGCAATTTTTTTTTTTTAGCAAGGTTAATTAATATTATTTTCAAATAAATTACATTATCTGGTCGGTCAACCACTGTTAGTCTACTTTTAACAACACTAGAAAAACAGACATTTTTTTTTGGGGGGGGGGGGGGGTATAAATCTATATATAACAAAATTTCAAATATTTCGGGGGAAATTTATTTTGTTAAATAGAAAAAGATGATTGCTAACCTCAGTCCCGGTTCGTAGAAAGCGCTGATCACTTCCGGATTATCGAAATTGTAACCTTTTTCAAAAAAAAAAATATAAATAAGTTGTAATTTTTCTATTTTTTTTTGTGACAAACTAAAGCTTAAAAAAATTATGGGTTATAGAAATATAGATAAAAAAAATTAATCATATCTAGTGTTGTTCAGTGGCTATTCAAAAATAATATTTCGCAAGCCTGAAGATGTTTGATTATAGATATCATAAAGATTTCGTCATCTTTTCGCGAAATATCTAGGTTTTAGGCAATATTTTTCTGGCTCAAATTTTAGAGTTAGCCGTTCTATAAAAATAGGCTCGAATCGAGCCGTTTAACTCGGCTAACTTGATACTTCACCTAGAAAAATATAACGCAAACCTCAAGATTTTGCTTGTAGAAGGAACGGTCCATACATATATTATCGAAATCTCAAGGTTTTAGGCTATATTTTTCTGGCTTAAATATTGAGTTAGCCGTTTTTAGAAATCCACTCAAAACGAGCCGTTTAACAACACTACTACCATATTATTATATTTTTTTGTATAAAAAATGATTATTTATATAAGTGTTAGAAAAAAAAAATTAAGGAAGATATAGAAGAGAAATAGAAGAGGGCAGAAGCGATTTTATTAGAATTTATAGCTTTGATTGAATTAAAATTTTGAGCAATTTTTTTCTTCTCTTCTTTGATTTTATAAAATCAAAATAAAATTTTGAGGAGAAAGCTTGGTAGTTGTGTTAAGTTAAGTGTAAGTTGTAGCCTGCCAACTTTAATTATTTTAGCCAGAAAAATTAACGCTAAAGCCCCCTAGATTTTGATAATAATATGTCTTAACCTTTGTTCTACTCTATGAGCAAAATCTTCAGGGTTGCGTAATATTTTCCTGGATGAAATATTGAATTATCCCCGGCTCAAAACGACGATTTAACAACACTAGTAAGTTCTTTTATCCTTTTTACAGTTTTTCTTAAATTGAACGGCTTAAAAACGGCTAACTCAATATTTTAGCCAGAAAAATATTATCTAGCCCTCGACCAAACCTTCATTTCACATATGAGAGAATTCTTAAGGTTTGCGTAATTGTTTTCCGATTGAGTTTGCCGTTTTCTAAAATTCGGCTCAAAATTTTTAAAAGCCGTTTAACAAACACTAATTAAATTATGTAAAAAAAAATCATTTATTTACCTTTATCCAGTAATGAAATTATTTTTCCTACGAGCCTTTTCATAGGTTGACTTACAACATCGGAATCTGAATGTACACAATATATTGATTATAAAAAAGATAAATAAAATTTTAAATAAAGAATCTAAAAAAATTATATATTAATATAATAAAGCAGGAAACTGGGAAAAAAAGGGGTTTTAGTAATTAACTGTTATGAGAAAATTTTTTCTATGTGTTAAAAATTCCTTTTACAAAATATTTTTCATTAAAGTATATATATGACTTTATTGGGTAATATTTCCTCTCTCAGAACGATATTAACATATATACCTGACAGCATTATAGTGCGCACATATTGAGCGTTTACGTTTTGCCGTAATTATTAAATAAAAAAAACGTAACGCGTCCCTTGTTTAAATTGAGGTTGTCTTTTTTATTAATATCCGTCGATTCAAAATTTCAAATAAGTTCTAAAAAATAGAGGATTTGTCTTTGAAAATTATATTATCGTCTGCCTTCTTATTTCTTTAATTTTCTAAATATTCCATTATTTTAGGATTACGAGTAAGTTATTTATATTACATTTTTTATATTAATATTTTCAAAACGAAGAATATGAAAAAGTATTGAAAAAACAAACCTGTTTTCCTTTTATTTAAATGGTTGCTAACGCCCAAACGGTAATTTTACCAATTTACACGAGGGAATTTGAAATGCATTATTTGCGCTTGCAACGTGCCGTTTGAAACGCTCAATTTGTGCGCACTATTAGTGGCAAGCAACACCCTTAGTCTTACACACTACTCCCATAAATTTTTTAACTCATTACCCCACTTAAAACACACCACTTCCCCCTTTTAAGATTTGTGAAGGCATTCTCCTTCCCCTACACCGCCATTATTCACGAAGGTAATGAGATAATACAACAATGTCAAATACAAGTATTTTTTTTCTATACCCAACTCTTTATTAATAGCTCCCTCATTGCTACGCTCCTCTTCGGGATAATTTTGCCACGTTCGCGTCTTCTCAATCTTTAGCACGTCTAAGTAACGGTAAAAATATGGCGGCAAACTGGTTAATAATAATTGCTCTTTATGCTCAACCTCATCAAAGGTAGTTTCGATTGATTCAGTTCCTTTTACCGGTTCCTTGCTATTCTGGTTAGGATTGGAATCGTTCCGAGCTAACAAAATTCTACCAAACTCTTGGTGAATACATTGCCTAAGGGTACAGGGTCCTTCGGTGACAAAGCAAAAGATCTCCCTGTCGAAATTTACTTGAGAGGGATCGTTCATCTCGCCCTCATTGTGGCCTTTGAGAACATCGATCTTTACCAAAGGATCTAAGGAACTGGAATTACCTAAATCACGAATGTTGGCATCTCCCGATGATATGTCATGTTCGATAGTCATTTGACCGAGTTTGGCTTTTAAATGATCATCCATCTTGATATTTAATATACACATTCAGCATAACTCAAGTAAAGTTTATAAAAAATAATTCGCTGATTTGAGCATTTCCCACAAATTTTTAGAAATTTTCCCCCCAACTTTTAGAAAAAATTATTTCCCCATTATCATTCCTATTTTTCTTAGATGCCAAGTGTTTTAGATAAAAAAAGTTTAATTATTTTTTAAAAATCAAATTCTTATAAAATAATATTAAAATATTTTGTTAATAAATTTTTAATCTTCTCTTCTCTTTTCTTTTTAAAAACGGCCTAACTCAGTATTTTAGCCAGAAGTATATTGCCTAATTCTTAAGATTTCGATAAAAAGATGTCCAATTTGTTTAAGCTATGAGTAATATCTTCAGGATTACGTAATATTTTTCTGGATAAAATATTGACATAACCGTTAACAACACTAATACTATATATATATATAATTAAATATTTTTAATTCCGGAAGTTGAAACAAATTTTTCTCGGAAAATCATATTCCAGCATGTATAGAATACATTATATCCTGTGAATTTCAAACAATTTCGGCGACACAAAAAAAAATAAATAAAATAAAGGTAGTTCAAGAGTTCATGGACAAAATATTGTCTAATATTGTCGGGGTATGGTACCAGGAAATTTTATTAAGAAAATAGGGAAGGAAGAATTTATCTTCTCTTTAAAAAAATGAAAATAAAATACATAATGAATAAACCTCTTTGATCATCTTTAAAAAGGCAGTAGCAATCGAAGGGTTTTCGTTATTGGTATTTTCGCAAACATCTGGTTGAATAGTATCCTTTGTAAGATCCTGGTTATCCGATTTGGAATCAAAGGGATTGAGATCACAATAGAATTTGGAATAATCGATCATCTGGAACGTAAATTTTTGTGTTTAATACAATATTATTCTCATTTTTTAAATTTTTTTTACTTAATTCGAGAAAGAAATTTACATTTTAAAATCAATTTTTGTTTTAAAAAGGGGTTGGGGGGAAGGGGAAGTCGGATAAGCGGGGTATTCTTATTACAAGTCAATCAGTGTCATTCGAAATTTGGAGACAAATTTGCTTATTTATTATGATAAAAATTATCATATGGCGTTAAACTACATTTGTGTTCTGCTTCCTTCTCCCCTTCCTTCCTACTTTCGTATTAATATGCCTAGATTTGTTAAAATATTTATCAACCCCCCTCCCCCTTGCCTTAACTTAACAATTATTTCGCGAAAACTGGTTTGGGGGGTCAGGATTATACTGAATATTATCATATAAGAGCTTAAATTTTCTCGCTCTTTCTCTATGTAGGAATCCCTTAAAATCATTTACTAAGGGTTTCGCGTTATGTAATCCAAATCGAACCATTGAAATTTCTCTTAGAATGAATGGGTCGAATGCGCATGCTAGAAACACTTAAAGTTTCTAAAACAACTCACGCATCTGACCGATTTGAAGAGATAAACTCGAAACTAAATAGCGGGTGGGTTCCGCCTATGGCGATTAGCGATAAAAAATCAACCGTTAAATTCCGTTTAATTTTATTTAAGAATAAAAATAAAAAAATCATGATAAATCGTAATATAAAAAAAAATGTATGGTAATAAAAAACAATAAATAAAAATAAAAATAAAGGGGGGAAAAAGAAAGAATAAGAAAAAGAAGTCATTACACTGATCTATGTCATAATAATTGCATTTTATTTTGACATGTAATAAAAAAATAAAATTGCGAAAAATGGAAATAAAATTTGGAAAATTATTGACCTTTCCTATCATCTGCAATTTAAAAGTGATTTTTTTTTGATTTTTTTTTAGAAATATATTTAAAATATTAAAAAAATGTAAATACTAAAAACTCACAAAAAGGGGATGAAAAGGTTCTGTCGACAGAGGAAAGAACCGATTACGAGATTCATTTCGAGGCTTCATCCGGCAAAGTTCGGATCGAAATTAAAAAGCTTCCCAAAGAATATAGCGGGGAATACAGATTTTAAATTTTGAGACCCAAGTTTGATGAAAAAGAAATTTAAAAAAAAAACTCAAAAAAGATTTGATTTGACACTGAAATTATTATATTTATTATTTTTTATAGCAACTTATTTATAGATTTTAGAAGGTATCAAATTAATTTTTATATCTCTATTGCAACGAAGCTTCTTGGATGGATAATTTGATATTAAATATTTTTACACTCTCAAATTTATGTATAAAAAAGATAGAGGGTAAATAAAACATTTTTTTTAATATATATATAAATATATATCCCGAGAAATAGCGCTTAACATACTAATTAATGTTACCATAAGGTAATGAAGTCTACGTAAATAATTTATTTTTTGATATAAACACTTCACGGAATTTTACATTAGATTTCAAAGCATACCGAACGCAATGACATAATTTCATAACTTGTACCCTTTTTATTGACAATTTACCGGAAGAGGTAACCCATCAAATATGGGAACCAAAGATGATAGGGAATCAAAATTGGCGCTAAATCCTCTGAATGATCGTGGAATGAGAAAATATACAAAAATGCCCTAATTTTTTAAAAAAAAATATGTACTTAAGACAAGAGTAATAAATATTTACATTATATGTGTGTCGTATTTGGGATATAGGATTCATTCGTAGATATTCTCAATCTTTCGTTTAAAGTTATTCACTGGGGTCAATTTTAAAGATCTCTTTTGGACCAATAATGCATTTCTAGAAATGTATCAAAGTACGGCGAATTTCAAACATTTTGCCCATGAACTTTAGAAATTGTCCCTTAATTTTTATTGATATGAATAGGAAATCTTCACGTTGATAAGGATCCTTGGCTCAGCACAAACTTGAAAAGGATCAAATAAATTATTAGTGATAGGACTGTGGTGCTAATATATAAAAAAAAGAAATTCCGATTACCCGGTGCATTCCATATCCCAATTACGCCATATACACTCAAAATAGATTAGTGTTGTTAAACGGCTCGTTTAGAACCGGTTTATAAAAACGACCAATTCAATATTTCACCCAGAAAAAATATTACTGAAGATTTTGCTCATAGAAGGAACAAAGGTCTATAGACATGTATTAACGAAATCTCGAGGCTAAAAAATATTGAGTTAGCCGTTTTAAAGAATCGGCTCAAAATGAACCGTTTAACAACACCTAAATAAATAATGGATTAAATTATTATATATTTTTATTTTTAAGAACACTTGAGGGGTTATATACCTCTTATATTTGAAAGGAAGAAAAATATGAGATGTAGATCTATTAAAGGATTTATTGAAATCTAAACTCCCATCCCCACCTTCTCTTTCCTCACTTTGTTACCTTGTATATCTTAAAAGAAGAATTTGATTTTAATAAAATATTTTAAACATTTTTCTAAAGTAAATTGAATTTTAAAAAAAATTGGTATACTCTAAACATTGTGCTAAAATAGATGGTAGATCTAGATCTTGTTAGAGATTTTATGAGGCAGAAGAATTTGATATTTATGGGGAGGGAATGGGTAGAGGGGGGGGGGTGGTTAAAGAGGAAAGAGGCATTACATCTTGAGAGGTTCCATTTACATTTCTGAAGTAACATGGAATCATGAAAAAAAAGGTTTGCCTATAATTTTAATTTCTCATTGAGATGAGTAAATTTAGAGTTTGAAATAAACGTGTCAAATTTCAAGAGTAGATCAAATAAATTATGTCTAATCATATCAGCAAAAATTTAATTTCTGATATTTAAATAAATTGGCATTTATGCAAGATAAATAAATAATAAAATTTTTGTAGTTTATTATATACATACATATATAAATTCTTGCTAAATTTTGAAAAGCAAATATTTAAACATTTTTTTTGTATTTTCTTCTATCCGTCTGCCAAAAAAATTAAGAATAACAATATGAAATATATCGAGGACAAATACTGCAGAATAGAAATTCTAAATTATCTGATTCTCGATCTCGTTAGAATTTTCTATCCCTGTACATATCATTTTACCCTTTCAATTTTTTAGTCCATTTGGCCCCGGTCTATAATCTTCTCAAAAAACAAAATAAATGTATAACGGAGACCGAACGATGGAGGAGCTATCCTTACTTTATAAAACGCCCATTCCATCCAACACTAGCTTACGGTTTTTTTCCCACCATAAATTTTTCTTGGGGGGTATTTTGGGTCGTTTCTTTTGTATGAAAATCTTGGCCGGAGTTTATATATTTTTTTAAATTTATAAATTCATTTAACGGGCGGGGGGTGGAAGAAGGGGGGGGGGGTAGGGCGGTTTTCGCCTTTCAAAATAATAATTCTATTTTATTAGAAAAATCACATCTCCCATTTTATTCGTGTATCAGGTGTTACTGGCGTCTTGATAAAGTATATAGCTCAAATTTTTGACCCGGAGGATGGGTTAGAATTGGTTGCAATGTATACTTAGCTTTACTTAGAATTTAAAATAACAATTTTTATTTGTTTTAAAATAATAAAAAAAAAAAATCGCAAATATCTTCAGATGTATTTGTATTATATTGTTATTAGAATGACGACGGTAAATAGAATCAATATTTGATTATTTATTTTTTTTAGTCAATTCCCTTAATTTGACCTACAAAATCCGTGAAGGGAATATAGCAAGATTTCGAAAATTTGGATATTTTTTTCTTTAAAAATGGTAAAAAGAAAAGCACAGAATTCCTAGTAAAATAAATGATTTCTAAACAGAATAAAACTCAATTTATTTGATTAATAAATTGACATTCCGATATATTGCTGAAAAAAAATAAATAAAATAAATATCGGCGAATAATTTTAAACCCTCCATTATTTTTTAATTTGAGAAAGATCTGGTTTGAAAATTGATCTCTCTAAAATATTACATTAAAAAATTGTATTTACATTTACATTGTTAGTCCGATTGGAGTGCGGCCAACGACTTTTACTACAATAAACTTTAACAGAGTTGTTATAGATCCTATCTAGATTTAAAAATGTGATATCTGTATCTAGATATTATTTTAGACGATGTATCTGTATCTAGGTCCATTTAAAAAGTATCTTTTAACAACTCCGGACTTTAATATATGTTTACACTCTTGATAAATGATGTTCGGTTATAAATTAGTATTAATGTCATCATTGATCAGTAACAAAAATATAGGTTAAAAAAACTAGAATTTGGTTTAATAGGGAATATATAGTAAGAAAAACAGATTTGGTAAAGATAATATTAAATATTTAGACGACTAGTAAGTAAAACTCAATATTTTAGCCAGAAAAATATTGCCTAAGCCTCGAGATTTTGATGATATATGTCTAGACATTTGTTCCTTATATGAGCAGAATCTTAAGTCTTAAGTAATATTTTTCTGGAAAATAGGATCAAAACGAGCCGTTTAACAATACTAATAGTAAGGGTTATATCAGGAAATTAAAGAAAAAATATTGAACGGATTATGAAGATGACTTGACCCCCCTAGGAACAAAGATTGTGTGACAATCATGGTTAGGACTTAAGAAATATTATTCCACAGATTGATTAATGCACCAGATTTTTTAACGCGTAATGACAGAGGTAATGAATTATATATTTTAGCTGACGCTTCTAATAAGGCTATGGTGGGGGGGGGAGCAATGTTTCATGCTGAGAAAGGATGATCATGAGAGATCTATCGAACTTGTATCTAAGGAATGTATCGAGTGCAGGAAAAAGAATTCCATCATTGAGAAGGAAAAGAAGGGTTAGCGATAATCGTTTAGCTGTAAAAAATGGAGATCGGTAAGAAGTTTGAGATATTATGCAGATTGACAAAAAACGTACTGTGTTGGGACACACATCCAGTTAAATATATGATGGATCACTAATAGTGCCTACAAATTGAGCGTTTACTTTTTGCCGTTTGTTTAAATTGAGGTTGTCTTTTTTTATCCGTCGATTCAAAATTTTAAATAAATTCTAAAAAAAAAAGGATTTGTCTTTGAAAATTATATTATCGTCTGCCTTCTTATTTCTTTAATTTTCTAAATATTTCTTTTTTTTAGGATTATAAGTAAGATATTTTATATTACATTTTATTATATAATATTACAAAGCGAAGAATAAAAAACGTAATGAAAAAACAAACCTATTTGCGTTTTTTTTAAAATGGTTGCTAACACCAAACGGTAATTATGCCAATTTGCGCGAGGCCATTTGAAAGGCATTTTGGCGCTTGCAACGCTGCGTTTGAAAGGCTCAATTTGTTACCATAAGGCTATGAAAACGGATCTTGTTGCATGCCGGATATGAGTTTAAAATGGGGAAATATCAAATAATCCCTGATGGATTATCGAGATTAATTAATAAAGATAACATATATTTTTTTTGGATTTGGGATAATGATCAGAATATTATCAATGATTTTAAATATAATTTTTTTTTTAAAAAAAGACATCTAAAAGTTAAAAGAGTGTTGTTATATGATAGCTGAAAACCACGCAACGAATTCGATGGTAAAAATTGTATATAATTCATCGAGGAAAATTTTGAATTTTATAGCAATGAAAGCCCCATCTATAATTATTAATTTTTTCAATCCACTAATTCCTATTGTGCATAGGACTGATATATTTTTTCCCTAGGAGGAAGGCAACTTTACAGATGAAACCCTGTCTCGTTCAGGAAGAATACATTTTCAAAAGAAATATTTTTCATCTTGTCACAATATTCCTTTCTAATTTTAATTACACCTGGAGCGTTCTTCCGGGTCCAACTATTGATTTATTACATTTTGATATAGCCGAATCGGTCACCCTTAGATCTGGCCGTAAGTAATATATTATGTTTTTGATGGTAGAGCCGTTAGGATTACTAAACAATTCAGCTATATTCGAATGAAGTACTGTGTTGTCCTTTTTCCTTCCAACCTCGTTGCTTTATTATACAATAAGATAAAGGGTCGTGGCAATATTTCAGGAAAGGAGTCCCCCTTGAAACGATAAACTGACCCAATGGATATATTTAGATCACAGCAATTGTCTTTGCATTCTGCTGATCAGCAAAAGGTTTGCTCAGCCATATTTTAGCCGATTCCGTTTTTCCATGGCTCCAATTATTTTTTTTCCAGAAAGGAATAGAATCAAAATTTGGTAGCTTAAACATCTATAAGGGAATTTGATGGGATAGGTGAATAACTTTGGTATCTATTTTAGATAACACCCCCCCCCCCCCTCCTTCCCCGAGATATTATGAAGTTTTTTTAGGCTCATTTAAAATTATATATATATAAAGTTTAAATAATAGAATATTATATTAACAAAACCTGAAACTGGAGATAGATTCAAAAAATACTAAACGATATTAAAATTTGACATTTAAAAATAAAAAGGAATTATTAGAAGTTTTAAGCAAAAAAAATTACCAGAAGTTTTTAAAAAAATAATAATGTCATTTTCAACATTTTCTTTTCAAGTTTTTAAAAATATTTTTGTAAAAAAAAAGGATGTGTTTTTCTCAACAAGTTTTTACAGTAATTATGGGAAGTAAAATAATTATATTATAAAGTTTTTTAGCATATAGGGAAATGTTTTTAAACAAATCATATAATATTCCTCAGCGATTATAAAATAATATATATAATTTTATAATATTTAGTCCGCAAGATGGCTCTTATTTAACATTGCAAAATAATAAAAATAAATATTGCAAAAACTATCAAATTTTGAGTCTGTTTATAACAATTATAAATTTTATAGTTACCATAATTCTTCATATCAAAAATATTAATTCATTAAAATCATAGGAAAAAAAATTGACACAGATCTCAAGGGATCCCAATGAAGGAATTTACCTTCGTCAGCAGGTTTCAATCGAACCCGATCCAATTTTTTAAGCATTCACTCTTCTCTAGAGCTATATATACCTTTTCTTAATATATTTTTTTCTTAGATCCTTTTTTTTAAATGTTGTTCTCCAAAGATTATATACATATATTTTATATTTAATTTTTAAAATTATCCTTTTCTGTTTTTTTAATATATATTTTTAAATTCAATAGTATATTATATAAATGTTCATGTTTAATTTTGTAAAAAAAAGAAAAGGTTTTAAATATCAATAAATATTCATTCCTACCTAATAGAAATTCTACTAGTAAAATAATTTGGAGAAATTATAACCATTACACAGACCTAGATTGTATATGAATACGTACCATGAGAAGGCCTAAAAACCTATATATAGGAAATAAGATTAAAGATTTTAGAGAAGCGATTAGGTAAACCATAGAGAGGAAGACCATAACCTTTAATCGATCCACAAAGTTAACGCCAAATATCACTGAATATAAATTGAATAAAATGGATCGTATCGAATAATGCTAAATGGAAAAAAGAGATATTGACTCTATATTACCAGAAAAGAGCGAAAGCTAAAAAAAACGCACACAAAACTATTGGTAATGTAATTTTATTAAAAAAATACTGATAATGTTGTTTTTTATTATGCTAAAAAAAATAAAATATATTTTTTAGTATAGGAGGAAATAAATAAGAGTCAAAAATATCAAGAGGAACCTTAGGAGAAAAAAAAATTTATTTTCCTACCCGACTTAAAAAAAAATAAATTCCTTAGACCGGTGAGAATCTTGATTCAGCCCAGGTTTTTTTATTATTTATTCATATTTCTTATTTTTCCCGGACGACTTTTGACGCGCACCGTATATAAGTTATAACTCTTATGAAATGTAATATCGTGAAAATAGTTATTATACACATGAATGCATATATGAGATTATGACTGATGATTTACGCAAAAAGATTACATATCGGAAAAATATTTATAAAATATAATGGTAATAAAGATTTTTTTTTCTAGTTTACATATATATATATATGTATATAGAGAGTATCGAATTTTTTTAAAAAATAAATAAATAAATTTGTTTCAAAATGTATACCTATAAATGAATACAGATAACAACGAAAAATGTGTTTAGATATGATACAAAATGCGACATTAACATTTTCTACCTATATTTACTTTCCTTCCCTTCTCTCTTCTCTTTCTCTTCTCTTCTCTTCTCTTCTCTTCTCTTCTCTTCTCTTCTCTTCTTCTCTCTTCTTCTCTTCTCTTCTCTTCTCTTCTTCTTCTTCTTCTCTTCTTCTTCTCTTCTTCTCTTCTCTTCTTCTTCTTCTTCTCTTCTTCTTCTCTTCTTCTCTTCTTCTTCTCTCTCTCTTCTCTTCTCTTCTTCTCTTCTCTTCTCTTCTCTTCTCTTCTCTTCTCTTCTCTTCTCTTTCTTTTATTTTATTATTTTTTTTAAATTTTAAACTAGTTTTGTTAAACTCTTACTCAATATTTTAGCCAGAAAAATATAGCCTAAGTTTTCGAGATTTCGATAATATATGTTTAGAACCTTTGTTCATTCTATGAGCAGAATCTTCAGACTTGCGTAATATTTTTTTCTGGCTAAAATTGTGAGTTAGCCGTTTTAAAAATAAACGAGCAGTTTAACTACACTAATTTAAAGAAATGGAAACTACTTTTGAGATCGAATGTTATGGACTTCCAAATAATTTCTAATGATTGGTGCTATTTAAAAGGCCCGACTTTGGTGTCAATTTTTTTAAAGAAAAAACCGGGTCGCTTAAGATTTTCAACTAGGCAGAAAGATTTGAAACGATATTTATATTCGGCTAAGAACATACCCTAAAAAGGCTGTTATTATAGTTAAAAGAAGTAAGAAATCTTACTAGAGCCCCAATCATCTGGGGTTGGATGGCTCATGCTAATTCTCCAACAATATTTTTCTTAGCTTCCAACTATTTATTATTTTATTTATTTTTTTTAAAAAAATTAAGATACAGGGTATACATCAATGAAAACAGCTGGGGACGCCATTTTGGTTATCCATATCATCATTGTTTAAAAAAAAAAATTTAAACGAGAGGCCAATTTATTCCTATCTCTGACTCAAACTATAACGAGATAATAAGGAAGCAAGGTTATCAATTTAATAGTAGTTTTTAACATGAGAATAATTTACTAATATGGGTTACCAAAATGGCGGGTCCAGCTGATTTTGCATTCAACGACGCTTTCGAAAATGCATTATTATGAATGCGTCGTCAGTCTAGGTAACATTATAAATAAATTTATCCATTTTTATTTTTCTTCCTTCCCACAAAATTTGAGAAAATGATTTTTAATTATAAAAGATAAAAAAAATTTTATACGAAAAAAAAAGAAGTATGCACATGCGCATATTGTTTTTTTTAACCAATCTCACCGCACCACCCACGACTCTTCCCCATTTATTTGGAAATAATTTTGTTTACCCTGCCAGGCAATTTTTTTTAAAAAAATAATTTGATTGGCTGGTTTGGTTCCGGTCATTATTTGTTTTTTTTTTGTTTAAAATATATTTTGCACGTAAAATAAACAAAAATTGATTCCTCTAACAAAATATAAGTTTCCCGCTTATTCCTACATTTAAAAGAGAAATTCAAGGTTCACCCCCTCACTCCCTCATGTTGGCTTTTGAAGTATTTTTTTTTAACCCAACCCGTTGCAAGACCTAAGAGTATAAATGATTCGAAAAAATAATATATTTTTTTTAAAAAAATTATTAATCAACTATCATGGGGCTAGGATCATACCAAGCGGTATCATACCTTCCCCGGTCTCAGCCCAAAAGTATCCTCGAGTCGGAGATGCCCTTAGCCCTCCCCCCATATATAAATAAATATACAATGGAATATTATTCCCATTTGGATTTGGGAAGGGGGTATAAGGATTCAGAAAAAAAACGTATAAATAATTGAAATAATAAAAATAATTTATTAGAACCTTTTCGGTAGAGGCTTCCAGGATACAGCATTCTAAGTAGGATATATTGCTCTGATCGTTGCCTAATTCGTCGTCCTTCTTCCCAAACACGTGGCAATTCAGGGCTACCAAGTATTTGAATCGGGAAAGCTTTGGCTTCTTGTAAACGTGATTGTTAGCAAACTTTTCGCTCTGAATTTCTTCTCCTTTAGAAACTGTAGTGGGGGGTTCCTCGTTCAGAGCTCCCGTTTTCTTGGAATCCGTCATGTCGTCGATAATCGAATTAATGATGGACGTCGGGTGACAATCGTTGGCCGAAATTTTCATAATTTTTATTTTGGGAGAACGAAAATTTTGTATGTTTGTTTTGTTTGTTTTTTAATTTTGATTTTTTGTGATTTTTTGGGAAAAACGATTTGTAAATTGGAATGATGATCGAATTTTATTATTTTATTTGCTATTCCAAATCAGATTCTAAAAAAGATAAATATTAATAAAACAAAAATTATACAGATAAATTAATAATTTAATAAATGTAAATATAATATTTGAGAAAATTTTGAATTTTATTGATTATTATTATTTTTAAAATCAAAAAATTAAAAAAAGTTCTTACCTGTTTTTACCTTTAAAATAAAATATTTTTAATATAAATAATTATTTATATTTTTATATTTTTTTTCTTTCTTATTTTCAGAAAATTAATATAAATTATATTTTATTTTAATATAAAATAAAAATTAACAACTCAGTAAAAAGGAAAAGGTTTTTTTTCTCGGAAAATTTTTATGATTTAAATATTATTTTGTTTCTAACTAAAATGTATTTTATATATATATATTTTATTTTTTTTTTTAAAAAAAAACCCCTTATTACAACCAGGATGGTAATTAAAAGATTTCGAGTGATAATAATTGATTTATTACATAATATCAGAAGGACCTGCAGGTCGAAAAATGAGAGACTTTACCGGATTGGTCTGAGCTAGTGTTGTTAAACGGCTAACTCCATATTTTAGCCAGAATAATATTGCCTAAGCCTCAGGATTTCTATAATGTTTGTACAGACCTTTGTTCCTTCTATGAGCAAAATCTTCAGGCTTAGGAAACATTTTTCTGAATGGAGTATTGAGTTAGCCGTTTTTAAAAATCGGCTCAAAACGAGCCTTTTAACAACACTAGTCTGAGCCCTAAAAAAGTCTAAAGTTTTAATATTCTCTTCTGCTCATATTACCAATTATCCCTTTTTTAAAAACAATTTGCTAAATAGAGTGAAAATGTATTTAATATATATATTTATTTTATTTTTCTTAAAAAAAAGAACCTTATTACAACCAGAATGGTAATTAAAAGATTTCCAGTGGTAATAATTGATTTATAACATATATCAAGAAGACCTGCAGATCGAAAAATGATAGACTTTAGCGGATTGGACCGAGCCCTAAAAAGGTTTAAAGTTTTAACATTCATCTTTTCTTGCGAATATTTCCAATTTCCCTCTATAAAACAATTTGTAAAAAATAGGGCAAAAACAAAATTTTCATTTTAAATTCCGGGCTTAGATAAAAAAAAATTATCGAAAATAAAAATACGGGTATAAAGGTTTTAAAAAAAAAATTAAATTAAAAACCCGAACCTTACCCCACCAGAAAAATGAGTTAAAATTTAAAATACGGGCTAGACCTAACTTTTGATCTCTACCGGTCTACATACTTTTCTTTTTTCTTAATCAGAACGACAGGTCCGGACCTAAATCGAGCCCGCGTGGGGTTAAAAAATGTAAATATGGCAACATCAAACCCACCCGCCCGTGTCTGGGGGTCGGGGGCAAATTTTTAATAAAAAATAATTATTCTAGCCGGTTAGTAAAATGTGGTATTCGCTCTTCCCATTTCATAATTTCCCCCTTTCGCAAAAAAAACGATATTATTTTAGGGGGCATGCTTCGTTATACTCAATCATTTAATTATACATATATATATAATTACCCGGGCCGGGTTGTATTATAAAAATGAATATATTTTAATAACCGGGCCCGATCCGGGTTGTAATTTAAAAATGATATATTTTAATAACCGGGCCCGATCCGGGTTGTAATTTAAAAATGAATATATTTTAATAACCGGGCCCGATTCGGGTTGTAATATAAAATGGAATATATTTTAATATCCGGGCCCGGCCCGGATTTAAAAATAAATAAAAATTTGGATAGTAAAAAAAAAAGGAAGTAATTAAAAATGGGGGCGGAGCCTTGAAATAGGTTTAAATCATTTTATTTATTTACTCAGGGGAGTGAAAAAAAAAACGTAAAATTCTTAAATTTGGAACTATCACTTTTAAGGATATATATATTTAGATGAGATCAACGCAGGTTATTTAATTTAATTTAATTCGTAAAAATTTCTCAAAAAACTAAACTAAATTTTTTCCAAAAATTAAATTTAACAAATTCACATTATCAGCAGTTTTTTTTTTTTTTAAAAAAAAAAATAAATCAAGGAAAACTATCTTAGAAAAACAAAAATAAATTACATAATTTAATGAAAAATATCTTGTTTTTGGGGGGTTCAGTTTTGTTAATTCGTAAACAAGTTTGGGGAAAAGAGATAAAAGTTCGAATAAAACAAAAAAAAATGTCAAGATTAAATCAGGGTAGATCGAGATCGGGTTTTCCTGGTTCGGTTCTGGAAGCGGGCATCATTATTCCCCTGGTTTTTAAAAAAAAATTGTTTAACTACCATTTAGTGTTGTTAAACGGCTCGTTTTGAACCGTTTTTAAAACGGCTAACTCAATATTTTAGCCAGAAAAATATTGCCTAAGCCTCGAGATTTCTCTAATAGATGTCCAAAACCTTTGTTTCTTCTGCAAACAAAATCTTCTAGCTTGCGTGATGGTATTCTGGATGGAATATTGAGTTAGCCGTTTTTAAAATTCGGCTCAAAACGAGCCGTTTAACAACACTACTACCATTACTAATGTTTATGGAAAAATAGAAATATAATTGATTCAATACCGCAATCATCTTAAATATAAATCTACATAATTTAAGGGATGGAAAAAAAAAACTTTCGGGGAAGAAAAAAAACAAAAAAAAAAACAAACATTGTTTTTTTTTCTCTATTTTTTTTTAAAAATTCTATTACAATCCTATTAAGAAAAAATATAATCTGACAATTTTATGGCAACGTTTTCTTAGAATCTACAAAAAAAATTAGAAATTTTTCGTTATTCAAAAAGAAAAAAAAATTATTTTGAATTTTAAATGCCAATAGAAATGTGACAAGTACAAGAATACTAGGAAGTTTAAAGGTTAGTGCCTATTAAGACTAAGATAATGGTGAACAGAACTTGGGAGGTGGTTTGGGCACACAATGAGAAGGCCCTACGAAATATATAGGAAATAAGGTTGAGAGTTTGGAAGTGATGGGCAAACGTAGAAGAGGAAGGCCAAAACTTAAATGGGGCCATAAAGTTAGAGCCAATATGAAGAAGTATAAATTAGACAAAAGAGATAGGGAGACATATTGAAGGGAGCTTACCACCAGAAAAAGGTGAAAGCTAAAAAGAAAAAAAAATACCTAATCGTAGATAGGTTACGTTGAATTGGGATTTGTCAATCCATTTATTCGTTCTCAAAATTAAGGATATTGTTCAATGTTTTCAAGATTTTATTTTATATTGTTAACAAAAATAAGAACAACTTTATCATACCTTAAAAATGATACATTAAATCGATCCAATCAGAATTGTTCGATGAGCCATCAATATTCTTACCCAATCAGGGACGCCTATACCCCCCCCCCCTCAATCTATCCAAAAACGATATGCCCACTACCCCCTAATTCCATCTTATCTCCTATTTTTACCCTCCACTCCCTCCTCCCTTAACCCCCCAATACACCGCGTATACTACTTTGAAGGTGGGTGAAGGATGGGGTGGGGAATGTTCATATAAATTAGCTTAATTTTTTTATAATATATTTGTGATTTAAGCTGATCAATAAAATTTTTATAATTATTCAACAAATAATCCTTCTCAAAGAAATATGAAAGAATTTGAATCTCATTTATTAGGCTCCCATTTTTAGGGACATTATATTTTTTTTTGAAAACAAAATATTTAAGAAAATATAACTTATGTAGTAAAAGTTAAGGTCCGAAATGGACTGAAAAACAGATAGTTGGGCTGAAGACCGATTTCAAAAGATCTGTCGAAGAAAATAGGTCAAATCAGGTCTTGTCGCGTGTCCGTTATGGCTCTAAACCAGACCTTTTAGTTTAGCATGACATAAGTTATGCGCTATTGTGTAGCTAGCGCCTTCTATTGAGTCATTTAAATCTGTGAAATCAGGGAAGAGGAGTAAACTTACATAGTCAGTATTCATTTCAGAGACTGATGATTCCTACATTAAAAATGTGAATCATCATAAATCAGCTGGGCACTGCCATTTTACTTTTTTTCCCAACCTTAAAAAAAATATTCATAGTTTCATTTTTTTAAAAAAAATTCTTACATATGAGAAACAAAATGGCGTGTCACCAGATGATTAATAATCAAGGGACACTCCAGAATGCCTTTTAATGAATCAACCATAACCTAACCGCTAATACCACTTATGCAAATTGTGTATAAACCATACATAGACGACTCCTAACGGCGTTATATATTTTTGCCGTTATTCAATAAAAAAAAAAATAATAACGTGATTACGATTACGTCACTATTTGTTTTAATAAAACCATTCGCGAAGCAACCCTTACATTCACAGTTAGCGCGAATTAGCGGCAAAAGATTTCAAAAATATGCTTGTCATTTTGAATAATCGGATTAATTTCTAGAGAAGTCTACACAGTAAAATTTTTTTTTTTTAAAATAATCGTCTAGCAATCCACAAATCAAAGTTTAAAAAGTATAAGACGGGAACGTAAACATTATTTCCTCTTATATTCCCTTATTATTTACCCTTTTTTACGTTTTCCTTATTTTGATTGGCTAATTTTTAAAAAGGAAACACAAATATGTCCAAAAAAAACAAACTCTTAGCATTTTTAATCATTTAATTGAGCGCGTTATTTTAAATTTTTAAAAAAAAACATCTGATTTTGCCGGATATGCATTCCTGTAGATGAATATTGCACACCCTATAAATTTAAGGCCATTTTATAATGAACTTTCGAAGAAATTTTAATTTAACATTAAAATTATAGAAAAAATTAAGGTTTCTTCACTGGTTAATTCATAATTTTTTTTTTGACATTCATAGGGTGCATATTTTACACATATAAGAAATGCATTCCCAGCCAAAAATCAGAACTTTGAATTGAAATACAACTCGCTCAAATTATAATGATTTTAAAAAATGCAGAGCCTACTGCGCATGTCCGGAAAACCCCTATTAAACTATCGCCTTACCAATAGAATCGAAGAACGATCTAATTTGTCCATTTGGTTTTAAAATTCGATACAAGATGCGGGTTGAGAACTTATTTTTTTTTTTTGAAAATATATTCGGTTTTGTGGATTGTTTTCCGGTCCAGTTAACCTTCGGTCAAAATAAAATTTAGAAGAAAAAGAAAAAGAAAAAAAACTACCCATAACTCTTAAAAGTTGCTCACCACTGCATTCACAGTTGGCGCGAAAAATTTGGCCGCGCGCAAATTCGTGTAGGCTATGAATCCGGGGTTATACTTATTTAAAGCGGAAGTTATGAATTTTTTGCTAAATTTTATTTTTAAGGAAAACTTTTAACTCTTTTATAAGTTTAAATTTAGATTAGAAAACTAGAATTCATTATTTATTTATTTTTTTAAATCAAAGAAATCCAAAAGAAATCTATAAATACAATTTATTTTTTGTTTTGATTTAATTATCATATTTTTTGAAACATCAATCATTTAAAAGAGAAAATCAAATTAAATATTTATCGTGTAAAAATTTTAAAATGTTTATTCATATTATTTTTTGGTTAGAAAATTGGCAAAAAGTTTATCACGTACAAAATAATTTTCTGTTGGTTTCCTTACCTTCTTTACCTTCCTTTCCTTACCTTTCTTTCTTCCTTCCTTCCTTCCTTCCTTCCTTCCTTCCTTCCTTCCTTCCTTCCTTCCTTCCTTCCTTCCTTCCTTCCTTCCTTCCTTCCTTCCTTCCTTCCTTCCTTCCTTCCTTCCTTCCTTCCTTCCTTCCTTCCTTCCTTCCTTCCTTCCCTTTCCTTCCTTCAATAATACTAAGTTTACAAACATTCAAATCTAACTTTCTCCCTCTTTTTTCCAATGGAGGGTTCTTACACCAAGTTACGCCTCCTTCATCAGACTTTAGTCTAACTCTTCCCGAAGTTAGCCACTTGGTTCTAAAATATCATCATGTTTCCACTTAACCTGCCTCAATTTTCAGATGGTGGTATTTTGTAAAAAAATTATTTATTTGAGAAGAAACGAATGAATGCTAAATTAAATGATCCATTCCATTCAATTACGCGATAATTTTTTTCCCGTTTAACTAGTTAGACAAAATATATTTATAAAAAAATTTTTTAGCACCAGTCAGTGGTTATAAAAATAATACTATACGTCCCTAGCCGGGGCTGATAATATGGGCTAGTATCATCTCTTATCCAATGACATATAATAATGCCTAGACCGACTATACATTCATTATAATGTGTTCGAAAGCGTAGTTGAATACAAAATCAGCTGGACCCGCCATTTTGGTAATCCATATGGTAAAATATTCCCGTGTTCAAAACTACTATTAATTAAATTGATAACATACCTTCCTTATTGTCTCGATGATCAGACGATTCTTTAATAAAGTTTGGGTCGAACATAGGAATAATATGGCCTGTATTGATTATGGGTAACCAAAAATGGCGTCCCCAGCTGTTTTTCATTTTGATGTACACTTTTAATGAGTGCATTGTCAGTCTAGGTATTATTATATGTCATTGCTCTTATCGTAACTTTAAAAAGATCCATATCTCACTATAATAATAATAATAATAATAAAAATAACTTTAAAAGTAATTGTATTTATATTTTATAATTCTCTAATCTGTTGTAAAAACGGCCAACTTCAATATTTTAGCCAGAAAAATATCCCGCAAGCCTGAAGATTTTTGGTCATGGATAGCACAAGAGGTTTACACATCTATTATCGAAGTCTCGAGGTTCAGGCAATCTGGCTAAAATGTTGAGGTTAGTCCAGTTTTTTTAAAAATATAATAATCTAGCAGTTTAGCAATACTAATCTAATCTCTCTATATGCGCTCTTTTTTTTCTGTACTCTTAGGGGTCAAATATTGAAATAAACCGTTGTCCATTTTTTGTTTTTTTTAACAGGAAACGTGATTTTTTTTAAAAATAAATATTTTTAAGATTTCTTGGCATCCACAACCAAAAAGCGTAAAGAGGTGTTAAAAGAAAACATTTTTTTAAATAAGAAGGGGATGTTTTATTATTGTGGTCGTATAAATGATATATATAATACCTGGACTGACGATTCATTCATTAAAAGTGTGCATAAATGCAAATCAGCTGGAGACGCCATCTTGGGAGAAGAGAATCGTTATTAAAATTTTAAACGAGAGCCTAATTTATTTCCCATATCTGATGCAAACTTTATTAAAGAATTACCGGCTCATCGTGATAATAAGGAAGCAAGTTATCAATTTAATAGTAGTTTTTTTAACCTGAAAATAATTACTATATGTGTTACCAAAAATGGCGGTTCCAGCTGATTTGCTTTTAACGACGCTTAAAAAATGCATTTTATTGAATGAATCGTCAGTCTAGGTATTATGTATATCATTGGGTCGTACATAAAAATATTAGTGTTGTTAAACGGCTAAATATTTTATTCCAGGAATAATACTCGGCGAGCCTGAAGATTTTGCTCATATATGGCACAAGGAATCTAGAAATCAATTAGCCAAATATCGAGGCTTAGAACTTTTTTTCTGGCTAAAGATATTGAGTTGAATTTTTTTAAAAAAATCGGCTCAAAACGAGCCGTTTAACAACACTAATTTGCAGAGCTGTTAAAAGATCTAGATACAAGTATCTAGATCCTGTATCTAGATATAAAAATGTGGTATCTGTATATGTATCTAGATAGATTTTTGATTAAAATATCGGTATCTAGATATTTTTTTAGACGATGTGTCTGTATCTAGATCCATTTAAAAAGTATCTTTTAACAACTCTGTTAATTTGTATATATATTATATATATATAATTTCTTACCCTAAACCTAAAATATTGGACTGTTGGTCCATAAGGAAGAATGCTCAATATAAGTATTGAAATAAGTAATTTTTTAAAAAAAATAATCAGATTTTTACCTATGTTGAGCAGGTATATATAAATTTTGAGAGAAAAAATAAATAATTTTTTTAACAAAAAAAAATATTTAAATTTCACAAATATTTACAAAATGTTTTTTTTTTGTTTAAAATTTATTTATTTAATTAATGTATTTTTTTATATATAAAAATTTTAATTAAATTAATTAATAAATTTAATTATTTAAATAATAAAATTTTATTCCAAATAAAAATAATAAATAAAATAAAAAAAATTATAATGTATTTTTTTAAATACAAAATTTTTGTTTTTTTATATTATTTTTTTTTACCTGTATAAAAAAAATGTATTATTTTTTAATTAATATTTATATTTAAATATTTAAGGTTCTGAAATTGGTCCAATTTTTATGCAATAATTTTTTGGACAAATTGTTTAATATTTGAAAAATGATTATATAATTCCGATTGTTGATCGGAAATAATTGCCTATCCGATGGATTACTTCTCTGAAAGATTTTTTGAGTATTTTCTGGTGCTTGCATAAACGGCTCGTTTTGAGCCGATTTTTAAAAATGGCTAACTCAATATTTTAGTCAGAAAAAATATTGCCTAAGTCTCGAAATTTCGCTATCAGATGTTTAGACCTTCAGGCCATCTATGTCATCTGGATAAAATATTGAGTTAGCCGTGTTTAAAAATCGGCACAAATGGAGCCTTTTAACAGCAACTAGTATATTCCCAACTTTTTTTAAAAATATTTTTGTAAAGATCCCCGGAAAAAAAAAATTTAATTTTAAATAAGAAAAAATATTGAGCTGGGGGAAATACTAGATCTTTAAAAAAATATATATATATAAAGTTTTACTGATTTAAGAAAATTCGGGTCGGGCTGGGCTGGGTCGGGCCTTAAAATTTTTTTTAAAATATATCTAAATTTATCAATTTTATGGTTGAATTTTTTTATGTAAAATAAAAATATGTGATTTTATTTATAAGAAAGTAGACGTCAAATATACATAATATCGTTTATTTTGAGTTATTTATAAAAAAATAAATTTCTATATTTAAATATATTCGGACCGGGCTGGGCTCGAAGAATTAGGCCCTATGCAGATCACTACTAGATAGTTTTGAAGTCAAAAAATTCGTGCATGTAGTTGTTAGAGACTCAAAAAAAGAATAAATTAATTTCTATATTAAAATGAATTCAGGCAGGGGCCGGCGGAATGATTTTTTTAAATTTTAATTTAGAAACGGGCTTCGGGACAAAGACAAATAGAAAAATTATTGTTCGGAACTGGCAGGCGGAGGAGCGCCCAGACCGACTTTAAAAAATTAAGCTCGATGCGCGGATGACTAGTATGAACCTACCTCATTAATGTTACATCTTTAAAGAAAAATCTCGTAGCAATATTAAAGAGCGAAGAATTTTATCTCCTCCTATATCATCAAAATTTAAAAGAGCGCGTTAAACGCATAAGTGACCAGAACTTAGATATTTTCCCAAAATGTGTGTTCTCTCCCCACATCTTAGAATATTTTAAAAAAACGAATGTATGATCAGTTCAACAATCACCAGTCAGAAAAATCTCGTAGCAATATTAAAGAGCGAAGAATTTTATCTCCTCCTATATCATCAAAATTTAAAAGAGCGCGTTAAACGCATAAGTGACCAGAACTTAGATATTTTCCCAAAATGTGTGTTCTCTCCCCACATCTTAGAATATTTTTAAAAAAACGAATGTATGATTAGTTCAACAATCACCAGTCAGAAAAATCTCGTAGCAATATTAAAGAGCGAAGAATTTTATCTCCTCCTATATCATCAAAATTTAAAAGAGCGCGTTAAACGCATAAGTGACCAGAACTTAGATATTTTCCCAAAATGTGTGTTCTCTCCCCACATCTTAGAATATTTTAAAAAAAACGAATGTATGATTAGTTCAACAATCACCAGTCCTGAAATTTATAAAGTGTCTAAACCCGGATTCGAAAAATAAAACCGTGGTCGATTCGGTTTTGTAAATTTTTATTTTTACTAAATACAAAGTTCGGGTTCGGTTTGAGTTTGAGAAAAGAATAATTTTTCCAAAATATCGGGTTCATTGATCGGGTTTTAGGTTCTGTTTTCGTAAGATAAAGATAAGCACACCCTAACTGGTTAGAAACCTATCGAATAGTGATTGCCAAATATTTTTAAGATTGACGTGCATTCCCTATTACATACCGTATAGTGTCATAATATACTCCATTTGTACATTTTTCTCGTAAAGTTTCCTTAATCCGGAGCTTTTCCATGACATTAACTCTTAGCCTAGAGCCCTTTTCAGTATCTTTCGGCCTTAGATAAGATTTGTTTAAAATCTAAACCGATTTCTTGAGAGGGGTCCGAACCTGCCTCCAGTCCATTTTACCCTGGGTTTATCGGTCTCTGTTTGTTCTGTGGTTTTAAAATGCCCAAACAAACAATTTTAAATTTTCCTAAACTTTGGGTTCATATCCCTGCTTTAATGAAAATAAATGAATAAGCTATTTTTAAAATATAAAAATAAAAACGTGTCCAAAAAAAATTCCAAAAATTTAACGTACGACTTTTCATTAAAATTTTAAAAATTTGGTAAAATTTGTGAAATTTTTTTAATAAAAGATTTTTGAGCATAGTCTAACCAAAAAACAAAAAAAAAAAAATAATAAATAAATAAATTTTATAACCAACAAAGTTTAAAACAGTTTACACAGGTGTTTTGCAAAGACAAAGAAATCAATCAATAATTTCCAATCAAAATCTTCCAATATATTCGTAAAACTTTGATCTAAATTTTCCTATTCTATATTTTGAACATTTTCCCATTTTCCATTTAGACCTCATTCCAAGGGACATACAAATATATTTATTTAATTATTTAAAAAAAAAAAATGGAGGTATATAAAAATATATTATTTTATATACAAATAAATTTTCTAAAATATATATAACCCAGTTTATTTATCTAATTAAGTGGATAGATGGAAGAAAAAAAAACCGAATATAAAAAACCGAATAGAATAAAAAACCGAATTAAAAAACCGATTTTGTTTGTTTTGACCTTTGAATTTTATTTATTCATTCTTTTTATATTCTCTTATTCTCTTTTCTTATTACGATTTTCAAAAATTATGTATAATTCATTTTATTATTTTATTTTTTATTTTTTTCTCTCTCTCGAAAAGTTTAGCATAAATCTGACCCTTACGCCAATCATGTCACACGAGCCTCACAATATATTTTAAAACCGAATATTTTAAAAATCGCCATTATTATAGTAGCTATATAAAAATGAAAAATAAATATAACAAATTTTTTTTTAAAAATCCGGGCCGGGCCTGAAAATATAAAACCCGGGCCGGGCCGAAATTTTTAAATTCGGGCCGGATTGGGTCGGGCCTTGCAAATGGTGCCTCAGCAGGTCTCTGATATATATATTTCGCGATAGCAACGTGAATGGACCTGATAAGGATAAGTAATATTTAATACACGGATGATGTTTTTGAATCTTACTATTCATTCATTTTAATAACACGAGGAAAAAGATTATAAAATTCGTAAGTATACATATAATATAGGTAATTTTCTTGATCTTATAACTAGACTTTAATATAATTCCACATTACCCCCCTCCCCTTCCACCCCACCTTACCCCGACAACATTGATAAAGAGTAAAGCTAGGTCCCCTATTATATTTTCTTAAGAAGGGGGGGGGGCGTCACTAAGAAGCTCTATACCTTGGACAGGACAAAGATGCGTTTGACTTTTTTTTTTCCTAGTAACATTTTGGATAATAATGTATAGGGTTGAAACGTTATTTCATTTTGATCTATTTATCAAAATATTAGATAGCGTCGTAATTTTATCCTTATAATAACAAAAAAAAATTTGTTGTTCTTTCCGAGTGGCGTCCGCGACCTAGTCGGTTGCGGGCGTGTATCACTAATTGGATGGTTCTGGATTTGAATCCAATAGGAACAGTTTTTTTTCTGAAAGCTATCTAAGTGGTACCGTGCTACGGATGATATAAAAGAATATAGGAATCAACCACGTGATTCCATTTAATCTTATTTATAAATGTCAGCGCTTATTCGGCTCAATCTTCGGGCTCTTGTCGGAGAAATTTCCGCTACTATGTAGGCGTCGTCTTAATTTTTATATTAGTTTCTTCCATATTTGAGCTACTATCTTTTTAAGAAATAAAACCCCCGAGGGCTAAGTGATAGTTTTCCAGCGAAAAGCTTGGTTCAGCCCATTTTTTTTTACCCGGCTAAATTACGGTTTAAACGGCTAAAAATAGAGTAATTATCCTACTATCAATCTTATCGCTTCGCTATTTACCAAAATTTTATGTGGCAACCAAAGCCATACATAGTATATTCTAAGCTTCTTGCGAAAAGGAGATAAACGTAAAATCGGATTATTCTTCAACTCGCTTTTATTTTCAGTTACGACACTAACCCTCACAAAAACCCGAATCGAATCGAATATCCGGATTATTCGAATTCGATTCATATTTTCAAATCGAACATACATAATTGTATAATTGGTATCCGTTGTTCAAACGAATATTAAAAACGGATTATTCGATTTGATTCTTCGATTCGAAAATTATATTTCCCATAAAAAAAATATTTTTCAAAAATGGGCGGAAAAAAAATAAAATGTACTAATTAAATTTAAAATTAAAATAAAAATAAAAAATTGATTTTACATATAATATAAAGTTCCCGTAAAGGAACAAATGCTAAATATTTTTAAAAAATAATTCCTAAATATATTTATAAATTATTTCCGAAATAGCGAATAATTCGATTGAATTTAAAAAAACTATTATTCAACGCTATTCGTATTCGATTCGAATTGTTTTGTTATTTGTATATTCGTAAAATTGAATAACGAATAAATACGTTTTAGGTATCGCAGCGAGTTGTGACCATGTTCGGGATAAAGAAAGAATGAATGAAAGAGAAGAGAAGAGAAGAGAAGAGAAGAGAAGAGAAGAGAAGAGAAGAGAAGAGAAGAGAAGAGAGAGAGAAGAGAAGAGAAGAGAAGAGAAGAGAAGAGAAGAGAAGAGAAGAGAAGAGAAGAGAAGAGAAGAGAAGAGAAGAGAAGAGAAGAGAAGAGATGGGGTGGGGTCATATGGTCCAAAATTACCGTATAATACTTTTCTCAAAATGACGATTTATCTATTTAAAATATAGCGAAAACGAAAGAACCCCAAATTTTTGGGCAAAATATAATTTTTTGTCATTTAAAAAAAAAAATCTTTATTAAGAGTTAGTCAAAATTGATTTTAGTATCATTTCTCTATTCCTAATGGATCCTTTTGTTCTAAAAGAAACCAATAAAAAATAAGGAATTGGTAGTTTATGAAAATTAAAAATGTACAATTACTTATATAGTAATTACATAAAATATTAATAATATGCTAAAATACCATGATATAAAAAAATTTAAATTCTTGGGAAGGAAGGCAACGTCGTGTCTTGCCTTTAATTTTTTTTTTTTAAATGGGCCCCCTTTAGCCGCCGACTACGGCCGATTTGTTTTCAACATTTTTGACATGAACCTTGACATGACTCTTATCACTTTCCCTGAGTGACTGATATCTATCACCTTTCTCGATCCCTCCGAAACACCGATATTTTTTTTAATGCACATTATCAATATATATATTTTTTTTTATGTCTTAAAATGTTTGACTACGACAGAAGCCATAAAAACATGAAGAATGACAAGTTCCCAGTTCGAAATAAAGTTCACGAGACAATTGACATTATGAATAATGATTAGTTTTGTAAAACTTGGCTTAAAAGGTAATAAAAATTTTACGACCAAATAACTATGGCATAAATCACGTATTAATTTGTTTTCTAATTTTTCTAATTTTCTTCTTTCTCTTTATTTTCTTTTCTTTTCTTCCTTCTTTCCTTTCTTTCTTTCTTACTCTCTTTATGTTTTTACAAAAAAAAAAAAATATTTAAACTTCTTTTTGCAACTAACGAATTCCTCTGGATTTTTTTTTTGGAATTAAAAAAATATTTTCGGAATATTCAAAAAGAATTTAAATCAATAAAT